TGAAAAGGCCGATGAAAGGCAAGCATTTTGAGACGACAGAGCGGATCCAAGCAGCATGCACCGCCTTCAAAGGAACCTATTTTGAAAGTTTTTAAAGAATTGTGGCGATTGGGTCAATAATTTTTTTTAAATCGACTGAGTCCTATTACTTTCCGGACAAACCCTGTATATCTACTTTTTACTGTTTGTCATTTCTTCACAATAAAAAATATTATAAACAATGAAAGTAACGGCTGCGACCCGCTATCAAAAAGATTTCTAGCTTCAAAACACAACCGTTACCCTGAGGGTCTGTGACCTCCAAATCTGTACGATTATCTTAGTTTATGACCAATGAAACTGAGGACATGTTATTTTTAATAAAGAGCTACGGCGGTTATTTAGTTAATGGTGTTTATATCACGTTTAAAGTATCTTTTTCATAAATGTGACCCCCCTGGCCATACACTTCACCTGGTAACTATAGAAGCTGTTAAAATCTGTCCCTATCAAATATGTATCATATGTACATAATATATTCTTGTGATATAAACAATATATATAAGTCGTTTTTCTTAGTTGACACTGAAAAACTAAATACCGAAAATTCACCCATAATAGATCGAATAGAAGTAGACGACAGTGGAGAAAATCGTCTATAATTCCATCAGAAAAATGCCAGACCTTGTTGTATGTGCCAGAGCAAACATCGCAAGTAAACATCACGACTCCATGTCAGACAAATTTTTGTTTAATTTACGATCGATGGGCAAACAATGCATTCAATATCGCGATAAGCTAAATTGACGTTTTGCTATACTTAAGCTTAAAACAAAAGCGTCAACACAAATAAAATACTGACACTTTCAAGAAATAGACACATCAAAGTCCAAAACAAAAATCTTGATATACTGGGATGATATTGGATTTTCTACAAAAATATTTAGACGGAATATCAGTATTTTGCCACCAAAGAAAACTTTGTTTTCAATTTGGTTCCTACGCAAATTCGCGACAAAGAGAGCTCTGCTGAGTTAGAGTGATTCGCAGAATCTAATAATAACCCAATTTACCCTCGTTTTTTAATTACCATGCCAACTGTCGAAATTGATTTCGATGGCGCCTTGTGACGATATATTATTTTATTAATGTTAGTCCTAAATTCAGTGATGTGTTTTCTTTGATGACAGAACGACAATTATTGTAAGGAAATAAAGAGGTATGGTGAAACCTGAACAGAAAATGAATTTTTTATTAATGGTAATAACAATAAGGCCCGCCTAGGAAATTGTGTTTTTCTGGAATAAATGAGGTTTGGCAATGTCAATATAATATGACATATTAGACATTTTTAGAATCGGAATGAAAAACTTTATTCAAGTAAGAAAAAATCCAATATGGCGTCCATAAGAAAAATGAAGTTTATGCTGTAGGTCAAGAGAAAACAACACATGGAAATTCTAATTATGCCACCCTGTAGAGGAGAAAAGTGGAAATGCTAATGTATAAATCAAAACGATTTTGGGAAAATTGATTTTTTTCCGTCTCTCCCCGGAAGTTCTTTGAATTTCGAAACGTTCTCAGCTGCATTTTGTTAGTCACCTAAATATGCAACTTTGCCCCTATTTAAGTAACTTCGTATCTGTTACCGTATCCGAGATCCCAATGGTGCGAGTCGAATTTGAAACACCGGGTATTCCTATATATAGTTTATAACTGACCCACATACAATAAACAGTACATTCAAAAATGATGGAAATTGACTCGTAATTTGTCTATACTAGAAAATAAATAATAAATACGAATTATCTACGATCATTGCTACAACGAATTCAACCTGGTCGAATACGTTAATCACTTAATCAGTATGACCACTATAGTAACTGATACATAATAACAACTTAAAAAAATCGATTAATTTGAGACAAATTAAAAATTGTTTTTTCAATATGAGGGGGCTATCGATTTTTCAGATTCTGCGCATATTAAAAGACGAAAAAAGGGATAGAAAGGGTCCCCGGTATCTTAAAAATCACGTTGTATTTCATGAAATGTGTAAACACTTTCTGTGCACCGGGTTTAAAATAGCGATAAGTATTTTTATCTCCCATGGAGTGAATATTTTTGTGTACAAACTCATTGCGGTAAACGCCACTGCAATTGTGCAATATTCAATGTTTAACAAGTGAATCATAATTGCAAATAACAGTAATAAAAGATATTGAATTATAAGATCAATATACAACTATCAACTAGAGAAACCTTAACTCACCTTTTGGAGTTTTTGGGCTAGTCTTTTCTGTAACACAAAACCCACAAACAGAAGATCTATTTATCAGAGGAGGTCTGGGCACTTTTGTTTTCTAAATGTTTATAAGTCGTTTCTGGAGAAATAAATCACGCAATCGATAACAGTTCATACACCGGTAAAAGTCACAGAGGGTATCAACACAACAGACGTAAAATACCGCTAATGAATGAATCAAAGATAGAATTCCATGGATTTTGGATTTGCTAAACGTGTGCGACGTTGTCAGATGTAAGGTAGTTTCTCGTAAGTTGAATACTTCTTTTCTGTGGGTTCTGTATACATTATAAATTTCTTTAATTTTTGATTATTTCTCCGCAGTCCTCGCACCCCAACCCTCAATGCGTTAGATAATAATCCAAGGACAAATGAGCACATTCAAATTAAAAACATTATGTCTATCCTGTCGCATGTATTTTTGCATGTATTTTTCCATAGTCCTGTCTACTACAATTTTATAGAAGTTTTATGAGTCATCAAAAAGTTCACGTCGTCATTACATGAACATCTCAGCCACCGCTAGACCCGTTATCATAGTGGCTAGTGACTTTTATTATGAGTGATTTTAGCTTCCTTTGTAAGTATGCTTTATAAGCGTACAAATTAATTATTAGATATAGATCAAACGTGGTCCTATGCGATTATCATAACCAAATAACAACAGAAGAGAATTCCTATGTAATATGTACTGCTTAGCTGCTACATATAATTGAAATTTGGATAACATAAGGTGGCTTGACCATGGAAGGCCACGCGTACAAAGAAATAGTTATTATCCGTTTATTTACTGGATAAATGATACAAATAAATTATTATAAGTAACACTTTGTTCTAATTATGTAACTTATGAAATATCTTTCTTTATTCATTAGTCATTCCTTATTTATCTCAACTTTTATTAAGCTCTTCCGAATGGTTAAAACTAACTACTACTATCGCTATCTTAAAAGTAAGAATGTATTCGTGAAAATATTTTCAAAGTAATGAGATTTATATCGGTATTAAATAAGTTGCCAGTAAATTTTCATAATTTTGATTAAAAACAGGTCAAGTTGACCGAGATGGCCTTCTTAAGTAATGACAAAGTATACCAGATAGCGCTACAAATCTACAATGAAAAATTCATAGGAAATATCAGTTTATTTAGTAGAAAACATATGTTTAGCTGTGAGCTAGGATTATAATTTTAACATCGACGACCGAAGTAATAAGAATAACTATGGATTTTTAATAATTGGCCTTACTATGCTCTGGTACCGATACATAGTCGGAGCGTGACTATCGCGCCGTATTGAAGATGCCGCGCTGGCCAGCGGCCTGCCATGACTGATGCGTTCCGCAGCTCTCTTCCGTTTCCGTACTCGAGTATAGGAGCATGGTCTTCCATGATGCACTCACCTCATTCAATATGCCAGATTATTTTCACTTAAAAATCTGAGAAAGAGAAAAGTAAAAAATGGGTCTGTATATAAATATTCTATGCAGAATCTTTTTATAGGTATGTATTCAGATGCGTCTCATCATTAGGCTTCACATGAGGATTGAGAATATTCTAAATAGATGAAAAGGGTTTTATTTATTTAGTATTTTGCCCTTGGCTAACCCAGATATAAAATTTCACAGCTGCTGAGGATCTTGGTCTTGGCTAACATTAGGGAAAAATGTTTTTAGGATCTGGCAACACTCATTATATGAGGTGCCATGCAAGATTCAGTTTGCAAACTGCGCATGACGTTTGCGGTCTTATAGTAGGTTCACACCGCGCGACAGATACGCGATATATTCTTGAATTGAATGTTCATGAACGGCGTTCAGAGATACCGGGCCCAAAGGATGGATCCCTGGAAAATCTAACATCATCAATTTTTGTAACTGATAATAAAGTGTATAGAGGGTATCCCAGCCATTGGTTAGCTTCTGAACGACACTGTGCACAGTCTGATACCGAAACGGAAGAGTGTAGCATAACACACACACCACCAACGCGGCGTGTATTTGAATACAGGGGTATCTGCGCGCACGGACTCCAGGTACAAAGGTACGTGATTCCGTTTTAATAATATATAACATTGATTAACGTATTCTACCTGAATATTGACAACATAATACTATATTCGCGCGTCTAAAAAAATATCAGAGATGAAATGAGATACCATAGCGTCTTCTATGAGGATCTGTCACACCTATTTCTCTATTTACTATATGCATATACTTTGAAAATGTCAAGTTTCTCTGCTCCGTATTAATTAAAAGTCTACTTTGGGAAGGTTAATGTCTCGTAGTTGGAACCGTAGCTGTATGTTCATGTTTGTAGTTGGCTACAGCGTCATCTATGAGACACAACCTTTGTAAAGTAAATTCCTAATTATCGCAGAGATAAGATGTATAGCTGTAGAAAATTCTTATAGATAACGCTAAGGTATCTCATTGCATCTTGGATAATTTTTCGATCGCGCAAATATAGTATTAACTCTGCTATCTTCTGATAGAATACATTAATTATTGTATGTACATATGTCTGAGGTATATAATATTCTGGGACATAATGGATAGAACGTGTTAAAAATAAATAAACAAATTGTACGTGTTGACCCCATCGAGCTGCCGCATTTAATATGCATATTCTAAAAATCGATTTGCAATTGACGTTGAGATGTGTACTGTGACGTGTGGCCATAGTGTAACCAGTACTTTATTATAGTCATTGAAAATTGTAAGAATGGTTGCATACAAAAACGAAACTAGTAAAAATAAATCTTGAAAACAACAGTTTACTGTTTTACAAGGTTATGTTTTCTAGTCTACATTACGTTTTCACCGTTTTCATCTGATTGTAAAGTATGTTTATTCTCACATTTACGGTATTTTTGGTTTTATTAGAATCCCCATAAGTCACGCTGATGTGCCACAAATAATAACCGTTTAGTCGATCACCACCTGTACAAAAAATATGGGTCAACTTTCACTTACTACATAGGTATGTGCTTTCATAAGAACATCTTTATTTCGTATGTGATTTGATTTTCAGTCATAGATGCGTCGTGAACATGTCGTTATCCAAAATATCCCAACGTTTGTACAGTAAGTGGAACATAGTTAAGGTCAGCTCGTTGATCAACACCCTACCAAATGTGCCAAGGAGAGTCTTCAGCAGTTCAGATACTAACTGTGCTAGAAAACCCGATTGGAATAAGGCTGTGACGGAGGCGGAAAAAATCGTCGGATATCCAACATCTTTTTTGAGTTTGCGGTGGCTTATGAGTGATGAAATTGCAAATGTAGCATTGCAACTTCGGAAGCTTGTTGGATCGAATCATCCTCTGTTAAAAACTGCAAAGTAATTCGATAATTAGTATTTTAGGTGGTGGTAACTGGCATTCAAAATAACTATCTAGATTGCGATTACTTTAAAGGTTGTGGGAATTTTTAAGTGATATGAAAGCATGAGAAATTATAGAAAAAAGTTATGAATATAGGCTGTATAAGATATATAAGGGTATTTCAGAATGATGTGGCAATATTTCAAACCTAGAGAGGACGCCTAAAAATAACAAAAACAGTCCCTATAAACATAGGCCTCAAAATGTCTTATTGCCAATATATAGAATGTAGAACTGGTTGGGGTTTTTTATGGATTTCATATCAAATGTTTAAACCAGCCTTTCTCCAAAAGGAGTAGTCACAGAAACATTTCTCAAGAGAAGTGTTTCATGTACACTACCGCTCAAAAGTTTTGGGACAGCAGATTTTTTGAGGGAAATCAAACAATAGAGTGTGTTTAATCAAAAAAATAAGAAAGGAACTATTTTCCACTGGAACTCAGTTAGTTGGTAACTTATTTCTATCAAAATTTACTAAATTTGTGATTCATCGAAATGTCCATCATGAGCCCGAATAACTGCATGACAGACATGACTCATCTGAGGTATCAAATTTTCAAGAATAGTTGGTGATAAGGATACCCATGCTTCCTGCACTAGTAGGCTCTTGTTGCTTCACCTGTCTGTCCAATTCATCCCACTAATACTCAATAGGAGACAAATCTGGGGACTGGGAAGGCCATGTTGTGATTTTCATTGCACCAAGTTCTTGCTGCTGGTCCAAATAATTGCGGAATAGTCAAGATGAATGCGCAGGGTCGTTGTCTTGCTGAAATTCGAAATTGTTTCCATCAATCTTTTGTCCTGAGGGAACAGCGTGGTTTTCCAATATTTCCAAATTCTGCTCTTATCGCATTATACCCTCAATATGATCCAAATCTCCTGTTAGATTTCCAGCAAAACAGCGACAAACCATTACACTTCCACCTCCATGTTTAACAGTGGGCTGCAAACATTGCTGAGCCATGCGTTTATGGGTTTGGCGGCGTACAAACTGTCGTCGTCGAGATTCGAACATTTCGAATTTGGATTCATCCGACCAAAGGACTCGATTCCAATCGTCAGTGGTCCAATCTTTGTGTTTTCGAGTCAATGCTAACCGGTTGAGTTTATGTATAGGTCGCAAGAGGGTTAGCCCTTTGTAAGCGGCGTTTTACCGTGGACATGGACACAGGGTTTTCCCTCGTTATGTCCATGCTGTGTGTGAGTTCAGGCATAGTTAAATGTCTATTTCGCTTATTTGTTATTACTATAAACCTATCCTCAGGAATAGTTGTAACTCTGCGTCTTCCAGAGCGTGGACGATCTACGACACTGCGTGTTTATCTCTTTTTCTTCAAAATTTGAGACAGAGTGTTCCGTCACAAATGCAGGTTTTCACCAATCGCTCGAATTGGCAATCCCTCATCACGTAAGGTACATACTGTTTTCAAGAGAAAAACGTTACCCGTCTTTACCATTTTCCATTATTTTGAAAAAATCTGACCCAAACACATCGACTCGTAGTTTATACTAACCTACGTACAATTTTTACTTTGTTTCATTGATACCCAGAATGTTTATGAACATAATACATAGTACAAAAAAAATTAAGCAGCGGAAGGAAATCGGCCGATTTACGACTGCAATGAACTAATAAAAATATCGGCGTCTCTAAAGATGGTTACATTTATTCCCTTTTAAGTGGTGTTTCACTGATTCTTATACATCTTTAGCTTGAGTAGTCGTATTATAGATGGTAATAATCAATCAATGTCATATAAGCCTTATTTATTTTAAGTTCTCTTAAAAAAGTTTTTGTCCCAAAATATTTGAGCGGTAGTGTATATTAAATATGTACCTTATTTAAAAATTAAAAATAATAATAATATTTATTCGCCAAAATACAAAAAATGGGCAAACAAATATGAAAAAAAACCACAGAAGGCATTATATCTTAATAACTAATCATATGTGTATAACAATTATTATTGGAAATTCTAAAAAGTATTAATATAATTGGAATTTTGTAGTTTTAGTGTTCTATATAATTATGTATAGTTATTTGCTGCACAGTACAAACCCGGTCTTTCAATTTTCGTCTAATTTTTTTTCCAAGATTAAGTATTTTTATTTCACTTGGTACTACATTATATAATTTAGCTGCTAAGAATTTAAATGATTTTTTGAATAATGTTTGTATTAGATGTTTGAAAAAAGTCAGTGTATCAGTTTTTTGTGTAAAAATTTTAAATCATTGTTTTAATTCACCCTGATGGTATGTTTTCCAATTCTAAAATTATAATATTAACACCCTGTATTGGGGAATATTTTCTCTGTTTATGTCATATTTTCATGTTATTTCTTGATCTACTGTATGGTTTAGAAATATTACCACATTTTTCTGAAACACACAAATTGATATCTGACACGTGAATTATCAAATACATGATTCGAAAAATAGAAATAAATTACTTATACTATTGTTATATTCCTGTTACTTCATAAACTTTTTAGCATTTTAGGGGCAAATCAGGTTTAAATGTTTTATAATGCATGAATTTTATTCTTGAATCATTTAACCCTCTGATTTGTTTTTTGCTATACCTCATGGATCTGCATTTTTTGATTAGCTACACAGAATGCTATTTTTGTTGGTGCTGTTGCTTTATGGCATACAGACTGTATAAATCCTGTCAATCAATAAATGCTGTATTATGATTGTCACTGAAAGTCATACATTATTGATTTTCATACATTGATGGATTGATTGTATTTTACTGATTGAATAATAAAACATCAACTGTAAATTATGATTCATATTTCGATTTACAGTATGTGATAAAAGTGATTCATTTGCCAAGAGTAAAAATTATTTGAACTAACATTTTTTACTATACTTGAACTTGAAATGATTGAAGTTACTCATCTTTATTACTAATTTTGATGCCTTCCCTCAAATTATTAACATTGAAGTATCCACATACCACCATACTTATGTAAATAATCAGAAAATGATTGTTAATAAAACAATCATTTACATGATAGTTAAGATGTAAGCTTCATTTGTAATAAAAAATAATATCCTATTATGCAACACATTTGGTCAAAAAGTCATGTCCATTTTTATCATACTATTTTAGTTAGTTTTATATTCAATGCAGTATGAAATCAGAAAAGCATCTAATTTTATAAGCATCCTATTTTCTGATATTTCTCATTTTCTTCAACCTCCTTCATGATTCTAACTAGAATGTTTTGATTTCAGAGGCCTCTTTTACAATGGAAAAAATAATATGCAAGCATGGGGTCTGATTGTGCTTTTGGTGTCAAAAGCAGCTGGTCAGGCACCTGGTATGCCTGACATGGAAATAGACAAGGCTGCTGGAGTCTTGCACAGCCAGAGAGCACTAGCAGAGGTAAAGCAAATTATTCCATTACAAAAGTACAGATATTTTTGTCTCCATATATCTTCTATTCTATTTTAATCAACATATTTTAAAAACTAAATTATTTTGGAATGAAACTTTTACATGAAAATCAAAGGCTAAATGATCTTGACTAATGACTAGTATATTTCCAAAAACAAAACTTCTTTTTAGCAGAAACACAAAATTAGCAAAAATAGAAAGTTTAACTTTTGACCTTGTGAACAAGGTGAGTTTTATTTCTCAAGGTCATGTTATTTATTATTGAATCAACCTACTTTTAGCCACATGAATGAAAACATTCAAAACAAGGCTTTTGACATGTCTAAGTTTAAGGTCATTTCTTGAGTTTTTTTTATGGGCAGTTGATGATAAATAGCTAACAAGATAACAAAAAAGTTAACTTATGAACTTTAACGTCAGATGAGAGTCGTCATTGATTATGCTTTTTTGATTATTCAAGCTTATTTCAAAAGATATTTGATCCTTCACTCAGCCTTCGAGGGAAGGCATAGCCAAAACTAAATCAAAGTGGGAATGCCTTTCAAACAATTGATGTGATCTTGGTTCTCTGTATCACTATAACACATTTTGTTTTAGGTTACAGAAATGATTCGAACCAGTCATTTAGTGCATAAAGGCTTAGTTAATTTACAACCTCCAATAGTTGTTGACTCCCCATGTAAGTATTGTTATTAATTAAGAAATAGTTTTTCTAGAATTTCTTCAGACAGGTACTTTTCTGAAAAGAAGTTATTTATAAAATTGAATCTCTCATTTCAAAAATCACTAAAGTCTTTTTGTTTTCCAACGCCTTTTTACTGAAAACATTTCATCAAAGGTCGATTTGTATTTTGGGTATGCACCTCGTAAGTCCTTCCCGTTCAAATAATACCGCTTTCATTGCATAAACAAGTTCGGGACTTTCGTGGTTTTGCATGCATTACTCGATGGTGGGTACACATTAATGTGCTCTATGCACCTAGACCCCATTCTTAAATTCACTAACTAGAAAAATAAGGCTATGAGCGAGTACAGTATACCGAGTATCCATCATGCTCTGATGTCTACCGAGGTGAACAGCTGATCAGCAAGTGACATTTTTGTGTTAGTCTGCAACGTTGGCAATTGGGTGTAAATCTAGTAAAACTTGTTTGTAGCATTTTGTTTTTTGTATGCAAATGAACTTTGCTAAATAAAAGACAAAATGAATCTGAGCATTCAAAAAACCAAAACAAAATATGGCTCTGTTTACCTGGCATTGACGGATCCATCATATTAGACAAAAATACCCATGGTTTGAGAAATAATTGTAAAGTCTGGTTTTATTGCTGCAAGTTATTCAAGGGGGTATTTAAAACATGGACGCATAAAATGGTTCACCAATTTTTGTGGGAAAACTTTTCATTCGACAAAAGAAAATGAGAAAACGTGTTTTTTGGGAGTCTATCGAAAGTGTTGGCAGGAACGAAAAAACTCTTCAAATAAGATTTTTAGGTATTTATGAGACCTACAAAATGAAAGAACACGTAAAAAGATCCCACTAAAAATAAAAAAGTTATGGGAGAAAACCAGGCAAAATGCAGGTTTTGGCACTTGTTGCTAAAACGACGATAGTTTCACGCAGCTACTTGAAATTCGTCAAATCCGAAGGCTTCTTACTTCTAAATAACCACAACAAAATTGGAGTCGATTGGTTAAGTAGTTGTTGAGAATTTCTAATTGTTTATCCCAAAACACCTGTCTCCCGGCCATCACTACTAGTTTAGTGAGCAATATACAGGGTTTGTTCAAAGGGCATTTTATAGAAAAATACACGAATTTACCTTTCCGACATGAATCACAAGCTATTCCGAAAGATAATTGTTATTTTTATGCGGAAAACGAAGGTTTGAAATTTGAAAAGTACAGGACTTGGCCTATCCCCCGTTTCAGGCTCGACGTCGGCTTCTGGGACACGCTGTATATTGTTGCATTGGAATGTTAAATTAATAAATCTATTAGCAAACTATTTCATTCCTTTGAAAATTGCATTTATTTCTCCGAAACTAATCTCCTTCAATCTACGTAAGACTTACGACCTGCGCTTCACACTCCTTCCGCGCGAGCGGAATCGCGCATTTATCCCATTAGATGTCGATGCTATGATTCAGTGCATCGCTGTTGAACGTCGTCAACTTGAAGCTACTCGATTTGCCAGCGATTGGCGTAGCTCCGCCCACCCCGCACCCCACTTTCCGCCTGAGATGCGATTGGCAGACAGAAACGGACATGTGACTGTGACGTAATCGAGAGCGTTCCGGTACGGTCGGCCGACGCACAACGCACTGCTGCTGATCAGTCGATCTTTGGATCTCGCCGAGGCATCACGTCGCGCGCGTCGTATACAAACAAATAAACATCTGGGATGTTAGATTGTTTCATCGTGCATTGTGCCGATTTGCAATGATTTTATGGTGTTATGTTACCTATTGGATACACAAGGCTTGCTCAGGGTTTGGTAAGTTCTCTATTCATTTGTTTACACTTTATTGAGGGTGTAAAAACGTTAACCTTGTTTGATGCTTAAATCAATCAATATCAAATAAAGCTAACGTTTACGCATGCTATATTTGTGATTGACCTATTACTCACTGCTTACATCTATACTTCAACTCATCCTGGCGTTTATTAAGTGCTCCTTTGTGTTAATTTTGTAGTTTGCAGTCGATTTAATAGTCATTTTTTACAAATTTTATAGAAGTCAGAGTTTTCTAGTCTGTGTTTAAACACTAGCCTCGACAACAATATTTAAAGTGCGAATTTTAGATACGATAAATTCAACAATTCAAGTGACTTTTGAGTGTCTTTGCATAATTACTGAATACATGTACATTTTTTTACGTTATTTGGTAGGTTATTATAATTTTTACTGCATCATTGACTGGGTTATTTAATCCTATATTGGGTCTAATAGGAATCTGGCACAAATTATTATTTGATCTTGTTTCATGTTCATCCACATCATATGAGAACAGAATGCTTGATTACACTTTTGTTAGTTTTTTTAAATTTTGAAAATCATTTCACATTGTTCTAATTCCAACAGCTTATCTAATTTGCAAACATTCAATTCTGTATACATATTATCCGTTTCGGCAAGTCGGTCATACTTGAACAAAATTTTTAATATTCTATTTTGTGAAACCTGTGTTAAACCACACATTCCTGGAATAGGTAACATATTCAAAGCTTTTGATGTAGTAAGTGTAGACATTCTTTTAGATAAATTGTTTAAAATGGGATTTAGAGGTGTTTCGTACAGCTTGATTAAGTCTTATTTATATGACAGAAAACAGTACATAAAGCTTGGAGACATTGATAGTGAATGGTTATCTAGCACCTATGGAGTACCACAGGGGTCAGTTCTTGGACCTCTGTTATACAGTCTTTATGTACTAAATCTCAAGTTGGCCAATCTGAGGGGAAGATATTTTACCTTTGCAGATGACACTGTACTGGTATATACTGGAACAGACGAAATTGCTTTAACGAATCTTATTAATGATGACCTGAATAGTTATCTTAAATGGCTGTTTTCGAATAGATTAAAAATTAACATTGAAAAAACAAAATACATTATATTTAAACAAAAAAATAAGATAGTTAGCAATAATCTAAATATTAACATAAATAATATAGCGCTAGAAAAAGTGTCAAGTATTAAATATTTGGGATTACTGATAAATGAAAGTTTAAATTGGTCACTTCACGTAAATGGAATTTGTGATAAAATAGTTTCAATGCATCTGCCTTATATAAGAGTCGAGATTATTTGTCCAACAAAAGCAAATTTCAAATTTATAATGCCTTCTTTCTTACACATTTTAGGTACCTCTTGCCAGTATGGGGTATGTGCGGTGAAGTTAATTTTAATAAAGCTCAAGTTTTACAAAATAAAGTTCTGAAAATATTGTTTAATTTTGATTGGCTTACAAGTTCTAATACACTTTATTCAAATTTAAATTTAAACAAATTAAGAGTGTTATTGGAGGTGGAACAATGTAAACTTGTTTATAAAATTATAAATAATCTACTAAAAAGTAACATAAATATTAGGTTCTACCATACCGTGCATGATCACCAAACAAGATCACTAAATAATGTTTATCAAATTTCCACAAGAACTAACATAGGTTTAAAAAATCCGATCACAGACGCAATTAAGAAATTTAATAATTTACCTCATTGTATAAAAGATTCAAATAACTATAGAAGTTTTGTTAGAGAATTGAAAGATTGTAAAAATGTTAATGAATTTATTTGTTGAAATTATGAGCAACATTGCAGTGTACCTGTAGTTCATAGATATTAATTATTGTCTTGTTATTCTCGGGGCCAGTGTTTGCAAACACTGATTAGGGAATTATTGTTAAAACTGGTTATACTTTTTGTATTATTGTGTTTAAATAAATTATTTCAAAAAAAATATATACAAAAAAAATTTAATGTGACTAGAACAATTCAAATTCTCATCGATAATTAAAAACAATATTATTTTTTCTTATACAAAAATTTGGATTATTATAGAACAACTTTCTTGTAGATAGTAGGAGGTTATAACATTGCGGCATACGTAAACTTTAACCTTTTCGCATAAAAATAACAATTATTTTTCGGAATGGCTCGTGATTCATATCAGCAAGGTTAAGTCGTGTATTTTGCTATAAAATATCCTTTGAACGAACGATGTATATTGCTCAGTACACTAGTATTGATGGCTGGAAGACAGGTGTTTTGGGATAGACAATGAGAAATTTTCAAAAACCACTTAGCCAATCGACTCCAATTTTGTTGTGGTTATTTATAAGTAATAAACCTTCTGACTTAACGAATTTCAAGTAGCTATGTGAAATTATCGTCGCATTAGCAACGAGTACCGAAACCTGCATTTTGCCTCGATTTTCGGCCATAACTTTTTTACTATTAGTGGGATCTTTTTAAGTGCGGTCTTATTCTGTAGGTCTCATAAATACATAAAAATCTTATTTGAAGAGTTTTCTTGTTCCTGCCATTTTCATTCTCATTTGTCGTCGAATAAAAAGTTTTCCCACAAAAATAGGTGTACCCATTTTATGCGTCCATGTTTTGAATACCCCCTTGAACAACTTGCAGCAATAAAAGCAGACTTTACAATTATTTCGGGGATTAGACTATTGCCCAAAATCGTATTTTTAGGAGTTTTCTTATTTCCTACCACAATCAATGACTCGAACCTCCTTATTTGTATGACTGGGTAAGTCATTTGAATATATGCTGATCACTTTAAAAAGCTGACCATATAGATAGCATACACCACAACACCTATCTCGCAAAATCAATCTATTTGTTGGAAAATTAGATTTTGATGTCTGCTGGCCAAATGAGCATGTGATCTTCTACAACCTATTGCCGATTATTGAAGAAAGTTGGACAGATAAGTCTGTACAATTTTCCATGATGGCCGACTCTTGGTTTGGCTGTTAAATGAGAAATTTGATTTTTCCAGGGTGTTTGCTTTGCCACCGAAGGCGACACGATTTGTCGCTAGTGACTCAACTATCCTTATTCTTAAATCTTGGCGGTTGATACTATACCATAACTTTTTTCCAGCGGATATGATATTTGGCAACAAAATTGCCTTACTAAGCGGCGACTATCTCCTAAGCAACAGCTGTGTAGAATTGGCCAACCTGAGGAACCAAGAGTTGGTAGAGCTGATGAGTTCTGCAGTTAGAGACCTGGCCGAGGCAGAATTCGTAGGACTAAGGGATCTTCAGAATGCTCCATTGCCAGCTAGGCCAAAGAGCGATACAAAGGACTATGATGTTCTTATAGCTGATAATATTGAACCACTAGCTGTTGGAGAGGCTATGGGGAATGCCAAGGCTGAATGGACTGTTAGACATATTTTAAATGCAGGTATTCAAAAAAGATTTGTAGATAGAAAAATTGTGCGATCTAGAAAGTATTCGATTCGATTTTGATGAAACTTTGACTCAAGGTTACTGCTGTACTAAGGACGAAAAAGATATGTAGATTGTGAAAATCGATCCTGCAGCAGCGGAGCTATGGATTCTGTTATTTCAGGGGTTCCTGAGGATTTTCATAAAGTTTTTTGTAGTGATTAAAGTTGGGGGTTGTAGGGGTGGAAGACGATATATCTGAATTTTTCAGCTATAGTATATTTATACGCTTCCAACCCCGGTATTACTCATGTTTCACATATCATAGATTTTCGGATCACTTGTCCTTGAAACTTGACAATGATAGAGAAATATTTTGAACACATACGTCGCACGCAGCGCAACCAACGTAGGATCTACCTGTGTCGGGGTCTGACTGTTGATTGGCAGGCTTAGCATCGTTGTCAGATGTTCGGTATACAGGGGAGAAACTCAGATCGCAACGTGGTAAAATAAAACTAATCTTGAAATTCTTTTCGGGGTCTTGTACAGCGAGGTTTAAACTTTAATTCAGATACTTTACAACATCAAAAATTATAATTTTTAACCGAGTATTTAACCATTCAATAAACCCATTTTTACATTAAATCGCTTATAACTCAAAAATGGTCATCTTTAGAGAAAAGTTACGGCCGGCCTTTTTCGTCTAAAAAAGATTCAAAAAACGCTTTGCCCGGACAGAAAATTGTAGTTTATTTAAAAAACCTGCTTAAACAAATTTGATCTGGGTTGCAGTGCGGTATGTTTAATGCTGGATTAAATACTATAATTTTCGAGGTAAACAATCTAAATTGACGGTAAAACGTTGCTCCACAAGACCTTGAAGGGTATTTTAAGTTTAGTTTATTTTAAAGCGATTTTTATCCTTGTTTGTTAGTGAATTTTTTGGTTTTCGCAGACTGTGCTTTATGATGCAGTGGAAAAATGTGTTAATTGTGGAACGCCCGTTATCTTTAGGTATCTCCCTCAGGCCGTGAACTGATTTCGGGATCAAGAGTCGATATTTTGCCTACACATCTCTCAATAGAAACAATCTAAAGCTAATAATGTGACTGTTGTTCGGCGACAAACTATCTCTAGAACGTACTTTGGTCCAGAACGTGTGGTGGTCCAAAAATCCTGTAAGTTTTACGGTACGATTTTACATGCTATTTAAGGTGGTCTAGTATTCCTATAGGTTTTACGGTGTGGGTTGTTTTACAATTTTACATGCTATTTTAGGTGGTGTAGTATTCCTATAGCTGTAGTAAAACTTATAGGATTTCTGGACCACTACACGTTCTGGACCACATTAGGTGGTCTAGTATTCCTATAGCTGTTCTAAAACTTATAGGAATACTAGACCACTACACGTTCTGGACCAAAATCGGTGGTCTAGTATTCCTATAGCTGTACTACTACGTTGGTTGTCCTTCACTTATGTGGGGCAAGTCATGCTTCTATTTCCATATGGTAATCATTAATGTAGTATGAAAAGTCGCTATTCTCGTTTTAGGAAGTTTACTAGGGAAATCCTGTCAAGGCACGCTGAAACTAGCAGGACATCCAGAAGAACTTCAACGTCAAGGCTATCTTTTCGGCAAGCATCTCGCACTCGCCTGGCAAGCATACTTGGATCGTGAACCATTCACGCCTGGTTCCTTTGGATCATTCAGTTTGATCAGTGCTCCAGTATTGTTTGCGCTGCAACACGATCCAAGTTTGTATGATTTCATCGAGAAAGGATTAGATAACGTCGAGGATGTCGATTATGAACAGGTTAGGAACTTTTGCCTTGAAGTATCCTTTGAACATAGATAGTTAACAGTTCTGTCTGTACCAAAAAATTGCGTTCGACAGGTCTATACTTGAAGAACATTGAAAAATGATCAGGAATCTGAAAACGTAGTTATTTTTAAAAGTTTAACCCTCCTCTCAAAAGTATTTTTAACTATGATTTGTTTTGCACATACCAATATAGGGGTAATTCACAAGTCGTAACCAAAAATGAAAGATCATACACATGACCGCATGTTAAGGGGAGTTTTCTATATAACATTTTTTCCTCGATGGCTTTATCAAAAATATACGGGGTGTTGAAGTTTAAAAATTAAAAACATTTTTTTAATATCTTCAAAACCGTCAACTGGAATGAACTAAAATTTGGTATGTGGATTTACCTAAGTATTGTCCACATTTAGTAGCCTTTATTTAAAATTAACGCACCACTGGCGGAGATACAGGGGATTAGTGGCATTATTTTTCCAAATAAAAATAGTACGCCACTGCTTTTTTTCAAAACGCGCAAATTTTCGAATTTTACTTTCAATTTGCTACAAATAATTACTCGTGTGTTTTTTCCGATAGTGCATTGTTTTCGTAAAAATAAAAAAAACAAATTAGGCAATCAAAGATTTATTTCAATAAATGTTCAAAAAGACCACCATTCTGACGGATACAAGTGCGACATCTTTTTAATAAAGAAAAACGTATTCCAGAAAAATTCTTTGTGGCTTGAATTTGATGAAACGCATTATCTATTCTTTCTTGTAATTGATCAACAGTATTAATTTGTTCAGCATACACTAGTTGTATGAAAGCGCCCCACAAAAAGAAATCCAGGGGGTTCAAATAAGGGGACTTCGTTGGCCAATGTACGGGTCCGTTTCTGCTAATCCATCCTTGTCTAATGATTATTTAACCATGCGGTTATATCACGACGAACATGCCGTGGGGCACCGTCGTGCTGATACAATATTCGTACTCTCGTTGCTAACGGAACATCATCTAACACATTTTCTATGTAATTTTCTAGAAAAGCTAAATATGAGTTTGCATTTAAACGTTGCCGCAATACGTGCATAAACAGTTGGCCACTGAAAACGCCGCACCAGACAATTTTTAGAAAGCCTGTGTTGAAACGAGTGGATTCTTACAGGACGGGGATTTTCTGACGACCAAATATGTTCATTATGAAAATTAAAGGTTCCACCCCTCGTAAAAAGCGATTCATCTAACCACAAAACCAAATCAATAGAATCTGCATTTTGATTATGCATTTGCAGTAACCACCCACAAAAATTTCGCCGTTGCACTTCGTCGCCGATTTAAAATTCTCCACGCAAGACTTTGAGGACATGGTAACTGGGCTGCAATCCGCCTAGTACTTGTTCTAGGATCATCCAACGCCAAATTAAGCACTTCCAGCTCCTGTTGAACAGTATGTCGGACACCATGGCCTCTAATTCCGGGCTCTAATTCCAGTTGCCGAAGTCTTAGAAATGAACGCGTAAAAACCTTTGGGATAGGTTGGCGTCTGCTAGGAAATCAACGTTGATACTTCCAAAAAGCCGCTAAAGCATTTCCATTACAGAACCCGTACACAAAAATAATATCGGCGTACTCATCATTGCTAAATTCCATTCCACGACACTCAAAAATGGAAAAAAACCTTTGACTTGACTTCTACAAAAAAAATAATGGTAGTAACGTTAACAACCGTGTAACACATAACTGACAAACTATCTCCGAAGTTACGTCAATTTCTTTTATATTTATTTTCATGAAAACAGTGCACTCTAGGAAAATAATCACAAGAGTAATTATTTGTAACAAATTGAAGGTAAAATTTAAACTTCATCTTCCTTAAAATGCGGTCCTATGTATGATCTTTCATTTTTGGTCATGACTAGTGAATCACCCTGTATAATTTTCATGCCTAAGTCTGTTTATGATTTTCAGGTTAGAGAAAGAGTAATGGTTGGGCCAGCTCTAGAATTGACAAAAAATTTACAAAACGATCATTCTTCAGCTGCCCTTGACATGTTAAGGAAACTACCCGACAGCGATGCGAGAACAGCTCTACAAAATATTATAGCAGCTATGCAAGACTAACACTAGTAATAAGAAAAAAATACGTAACATTCCAAAGATCAGGTGAATTGACAAATATTACAGTACTTTTGTACCTTATTACATATATTTAGTCTTATTTTGATTGCTTAAAAATTGCTCTGTTGATAAATGTTATATTACATTATAGGATATTTGTTAATGGTAACATTAGATTTGGTTCATGAGAATTATTGCTCAAGTATCGATATTTGACTTAAACGATTTTAGTGATTCTATTGGCATGGTATAGTTTATTTTGGCAATTATGACCATTATTTACAACAGTACTTTTTTGCTCTCTCACACAAAAATATATTTTTTATCTTTGTATCCAGGCAGCTGCGCCATTATCACTCCTTAAATGATTTTTAACAAGCAATGCTTAAAGACAAGTATTTTTCCTTGATTGATAGTTATAGGCTATAAATAGTGCACTGGCAATATTATTTTGCATATCTAGACTGCAATACAAGCCAGTCTATATTCTGGGGCGCGTAAAGAAGTTTTTATCTGGAACGATTTTCGAATAGTGATATATGAATGATAGGCATTTTGCGGAAAGCCAAGTATCTTATATTTTTTATATCAAATAATATTAAATAGGTTCAATATACCTTGATATATGAAGTATTTTACATTTCTGAATGTTTTTAGATATTTTTTAATACCTTTATTACTAATTCAGAGAATTTATTAAAGATAATGTTTCCATTCATTTGGAGCTTTTTGGGAACATCATTTTCTAACACTGTGTTTAATCACATTAGGAAATTTTTGGCACGTACTTATGAAGTAATATACTGTGATACATGTATTAACAGTTAAGTTTTTTACTCATTTTATATTTTTATACTTTGATGGTGGCGGTATACATTTTATACATCTATATAATAAATTATCAGAAAATATGTCTCGTTTATTATGGACCCTGAGAAAGAAAATATTATAAAAAAATGTCTCGTATCAACACACACACAATGTCTTGATAGTCAGAACTCCAATTTTATCGTAATTATTCACAAATTACAAAAAAACATGTTTTTATGAAGGGTACGCCCTTCAAAATACCCGTGGAAAACTTACGTTGAATGTGTTACACGTTTCTCTCAAATTTCGCGCAATTTTCCGTCCAATTTAAACAGACTGAAACGAAGAGGCTTTTTACTACGACTGTGACGAAAATTTTTGTCTAGAATCTCTCGTAGCTGACAGTTTTGTCACTTTAGCTGCTGAATACTAATCCCATTCTCCTTACTGAGTGTCGCTATGGCTATCTGCAGTTTAAATAAGTTACATTGCTGCGATTGTTGGAAAAAATCTTGGCTACAATTCGAGGACTCTTTTTCTGGAGCAGCAAATTATCATATTTTGTGCTTTCAACTATTTTTTATTAGACCGAGTGCTAATAAATTTTCAGTTTATGCCAATCATACCCAACAAAGAGCTGAGTTTGTTGGCCTCCCTATTACACAATACCATCGCCCTACTTCACACCCTGTATGATTCCTTCACATCATTTTTGACAACCATTGATGTATGAAAATGGTAACCATAGTAACCGAGTTTGAAATGTATACAAACATGAGAGCTCTGCAGTGCAGTTTTTATTGAAGTTGGCCCTTTCATTATACAGTTTTTTTACACAATATTAATTAATTTGAACATTTCCTGAACACGATGAGCAGTTGTAGCAGTTCGATCCAACCGCAAAAATCGGCTAAATCTGATAAGTCTCATGACCAAAGGTAAAAAATATTAAATCAGTGTTGATAATCGTTAAAGTTGTTTGGTGGTTTCTGTGCTTCAAATGATCTTGTTGATTCTCAACAGTTGTACAAGTAGGTTTTCAAATAGTTTAACTCGTAGAAAGTATGCTGATATGTGTGCCAAATCCTTGTTCACTGAAGCAGCAATAAACAAGGTTGTATTTCGAATATTTAAAGCCACGTGTTTTAGTTGAGCATTTCTGATAAAACTTGATATGTATAAGTATTTCTCATCATAATTGGAACAGAAAAACAAGGTCCCTCATATTAAGACGCTATAAGTATCGCTTTGTTGAAGAACCACAAAGCGAAATAAAATAATGGAGCAAAAATAAAAAATAACAGGAATAACCAGTATTCCGCGTTTATAAAAGAGATTTGCTCAAATGTAAAGAAATTTTAGGCTGAGACTTTCCTACATCTGAATTTGGTCAAAATTATTCAATATTGCAGCTGCTGAATTCCACAGTGAAAAACATAGTTGTTTCATGACTATTTATATATTTAAAAAATCAAAACTTCGATGGTCTGATTGCACAACTGTGGTACGTTAATGTCTTGGAAACGTAAATCGATTTTGAGAATGAGGGAATCTTCCAAAAACGCCAATGTAATCTTACTATCACTAACAGTAGGGGAAATAACGCAGAGCAATTCACTCCACCGAGTATCCGACCAAGTACCCGCTACTCGGTATTTGAATCCGACAGAGTACCCGGTACTCGGCCTTTTAAAAAAAGTAATATACGGTGCATCCCTACTAAAAACCGTGCATACACTTTAGGACTTCTATGGTCTCTTTTAGTCCCAGGAATGATCGAAATGTAATAATACTCAAGTCGATAATTCCCAGCTAACCGATGAAGCATTCCTCAACTGATAGGTTGAACTTGTTTGATATCTTTCAATATTCCGGACGAAATTGATTGTAGGAGCAAAAGTTGTGATACAGTGTGTACATCGGACTCCAGCTGTATTTTGCAGAGAAGAAAACCACAAAATCCGTTGATGTACTCTATAAGAGCGAACTATTCGAGAAGTACCCCCAGCACTGCTGTTCGACAGAGAGTTTTGTCTGCCAAGTTGTTGAAACTCAGATCTATACAGAGTCAATTAAATGATGCCAACTATCATTTAGCTGTGAGTAAAATCAAGAATGTCTGATGAAATATTGTCTTAAAAATCCAATTCTAATAATATACACATACACCTATAACAGTTTTAAAAAATTTCAACGACACGCAAATTTGAGGCGGTTGTCATTACTTAGATAACGTAGAATTTTGAATACTACTCGGCATACATTTAAAAACATATTATTTTGAGCTTTTCGAATACGATATTCTCTAGTGGTATCCGCCAACTGTACATTATTGAACATAGTTAACTTTTTATTTCCCACGCTAACCTGCAAGAAAGTATCATATTCGCGAAAAATTTCCAAAACGAGATATTGTTTTTTGGTTTGTCCACTAGTCCTTAGCCCTCTATAGCTCGAAAAGTACTCAGATTTTGATGAGATTTTGACACAAGGTTACCAGTATGCTAAGGACAAAAGAACTTTGCGATTTTTCAAAATTTCTCCAGTGCTATCGGCGCTACGAGTAAAAAGTAATCGTTGACATTTTTTTGACGTTTCCGAGGTCCCTAAACATTTTTTAGAAAACTTGTGGGGGTAAACAATTTGGGGTGAGCGGTTGTAGGGAAGGATCTATTTCAACTTATTGGCGTTAGTATATTTATCGCTTCTAATTTAGACATATTTCACACATAAATGTTCCCGTGCATTTGCTGTTAAGACTCAGGATAAATATTTTCAACACCCGCGTCGAAGCAACAATATAAACCTGTTGCGAGTTGGCCGCTGGCGAGGCTTGGTAATCGCAAATGTGAACGCCATTTCGGATGTTTAGTAGAGCGAGAAATTTATAAATCGTAACGTTGTCAAATGAGTGGGGACTGAACGGAAATTGTATGGATCTATTTGACTGACTTGATCAAATTAATTCTGTTGTTATACTTGTTCGTAGTAAACTTCACCCTCACAGGGGCTAAGTTGTGCCGTACATGTTTTTTATGAACTTATTTATGAACAGCGTTGGGTGGAAAGTTCAGTCAACCTCCTTGATGCCATGTTGTTTTATTTTATCAGTTTCAAATAATCAGCAACTTCAGGTGTATACCTTTATACATATTTTAGGAACTAACAAAAGAGAACCAGATTTTGAAAAACTTGCAGAAACGACAAGATAAGGCCCTTTCCAAGTGAGTATGTTGGTACAATCTACCATAGTATGTATGGTCTCGAAATAATAAGGCTAACTATTTCTCATATATTTTCTTAATGTTCGATGATATTTTGCTGGATTTCACTTGATTATCATGAAATTTTCTAGATACGAAAACACAAGTGCTGATTTACCCCGCCTTCTGCATTCTCACGAAGAACAGTTGCGCGTATTGACCGAAAAGAACAAGACCCAAAAAAAGACGATAAAGGAGCTGAACGATCAGCTCAAACTCAAAGACGACGAGTTTAACAGGATGCAAGAGAGATTGATGCATTTAGAAAAACTAAATAGAGACAAGCGACTGTTAGAGCGGGAAAAGATGGCGGAGATCATTGAGGATCTGAAGATAAAGTGTGAGAAGGCGGAAGATATGATTATTGTGTTGAACAGAAAGTTGATGCTGGAGAGTAAAACTTCCAAGCAGAGGCTCAATTCTGAGGTGATGAAACATAAGGACACGGAGAAGGAACTGATTAGAGCTTTATCGGAAGTTGAAAGGCTTACTGCACTTCTAGAGGTAACAGTTTCTACTCAATATCTAACGGCCTAACACATGTTTCCTTATACCCCTGGGATCTCGGAATCAGTAAAAAATACGAAGTCGGTCTAATGGGGGCAAATCCCAGCATGTTCGGAGATAGACGAAAGAATTTTCTCAAAATCTTTTTTTTTTTACTTTATTAGAGGTGATATTTCAAAATAAAAAGTATATCAATATGATCTCTTTCTCCCCTTTACAAGGTCGCTTAATTAGAATTTCAATATGACATTTCGTCTCTTGTCTTCAATCATCAAATTTATTTTTTGTTATAGACGCCATATTGGATGTTTGCTCAGGTGAATAGAGTTTGAAAATCTGATTCCAAAAAACTATGTCATGCATTGAACTTAATTATAAAAAATGGCCTATTAGGCCTTGAAACTTGCTTGGTATTATAAAACTCCAAATATCTAATAAGTAATCTTCCTATTTATAGTTGGTCTTAACTCATCGGAAAAGAACAACCTAATGCTAAAACTTCTCCTATAATTTAAGGTTGTATTGAAAATATTGGAAACAGTATTATTTCATGTAATTTTCAGAAGTAAAGACCACGTCTATGTTGCAGCTTCCTGAACACATTTCATATCTCATAACTAAACCGATGCACACATCTTACATTCACATACGGCTGAGGTGTCATGCAGAGCACTCCATCGTGCTAAAATAACGCTTGTTTCAGTCAATAAATGTAATTTTTTATAAATCTTTAAAACTGTCTAACCTTTCAAATTAAAAAATATTTGGTTAGTACCTAACACAAATTGCTTGTACTTACTGGAGAATCATTTCCATTTTAGACAAAAGAAAACTCTGTCCAACCTAGGAAAAACAGATTCTCTCATATAAACCCTAAACAGTCTATCTCCATGGTAACGTTAGCAGCTTATCAGTCGAATAGAACTCGAAGCAAAGATAGACTGTCGACAATAGAAGATTCCGAACCACAAACTCCTGTCACTGACGTCAAACTGGAACCAATAAAGTACAAAAGAGAAGCTAACTCGAAGAAAAGCAACGGGTTTCTTAGTATGCCTTCGGAAAATATCAGAAATAGGTTATCCAGCGGATCAGCGAAGAGTAGAGCGAGTCAAGAAAGTTCTAGTGGTGTCAACGAACTTAAGGTACGATTTATTGTTTGAAAATGGAAACGCTCATCAGGACGTAAGCGCTACTTGCTAATATTCTTATGTGCTGATTAATGCGACCAATAACATCACAAACTGTCAATGAATGCTACCATTGATTAATCTATTCACTAAGAAGTTGCTCAAGCCTTTAACCTGAACTAGTACTCGACACCTCACATATTGTTTGTCATGTGATGAATGAATATAAGGCACAACAGTTTGACGTTGAGACGGCGAAGCAAAATATCTGCGCATTTGGGATCTATGAACAATGCAGATGCAGCACTAGTAGTCGGAGATTGCGTAACAGCCAACCGGTATGTTGCGATAACACTTCTAGTTCTCGGAGGACTTTTGGCGATTTCGGGACGATGGTCGAGAGGACGTATCAAAAAACAATAGCTTGTAACTTTGGAGGGGCTGGACGTCCGCCGTCCATCCATCCATCCATTTCGGCGTGATACAGGACCGTTCAGGCTGTTGTCGCAACACACTGTATAGTAGCTAAGAAAAGACAAAACAAATGTCACCTGGCAAACAGAGGAATGGTAAACTTAAAAAATATACTGGCATTGTCATTAATTTGTTCTTTGACAAAGACAATGGTAGCCGAAACGTCAGTACAAAGTAATTAATACTACATAGGTGTATTCATTTGGCCAGTCAATCATGGAGATCTATTAGCATGAGAACTACAGGATAAGTTTCAGATGTTACATCAAATTCTCTAACAACCCATTCTCTCCCATTTAAAAAAGGAGTTGTAATGATGGTCAAATGATAATACGTCTTTTATTTGAATTGGGTATCATCCAGGGTGGTATAAATTGTATATATGACTTATTTGTATTCTGCTTTGAGCGCCATCTGAAGACAGTGACTTCCATTAACTGTACTGAAAATACATGTGACATGGGCCAACGTTGGATTGCATATTGCAACCGGTGTGGAGAACTTCAGATAGATTCTTTCACCAATTCACAATATATTGCGATTTTTTTATATGCTCCAACCACCACGGAAGCCTAAGGCCTAAACACCCATGGGGTACCGTGGGGCTATAGGGGAAAGGGGGAACGCCACACGGACTGTCTACCCAAGAAGAAATCTCTGATTCTGACTAACGGCAAAACCTTTCGTTCAAAATTTAGAAGTAGATGGAATCAATAAGTGTATAAAATGATAGTATGCAATACATGTAATGATAGAGGGCGCAAACGTGGCTTCTTTACAGAAAACGACATTATTCAATCACACTTATGGTGACTTAGTTGTCGTCACTTTCTTTAGATGGCGTTGCAACAGTTGGTACTAGACAGTAGTTAAGAGAGTATTATCTGTAGTGTACCAATGATTTTTGTTATCTTCTGATGGAGTATGTTGTTCAACGATGATTCAGAACTCATCACAACTAATACGTTTTAGGGTGTTAGTTCAGGATCGGAAGTGTCACTGAACAGCAATGAAAATCTTACCGAATGTAATATAGAAGACGAGAAGAAACCTGTAGATAAAAATCGACCTTCATCTGCCGAAAGACTAGATCGACCTTCATCTGCCGAAATACTAGATAAAATGTCTGATAGTTTGGATACTGCTATGCAAAAAGCCCAGCAAAGCGCAAATGACGAATTTGATAAAAAATTAGGTAGTACTTCAATTTTAATAATTTTAACGTTCGCACCCCATTACAAATCAGTACCTAATAGCTTCTGGAATATCGCTAGCATCGCCGCCTAACCAGCGATATGTGCTAAGTTTACAATAATTGTAAATTAAGCACATATTCATTCATCTAGTAAGAGACCTATAGCATTGTTTTTGATGTTTTGATATTAAGAAGGCTTTCAATGAGTTGCCTAGCTGCTCTCTTATAAAAATATTCCTCTTATGGCCTCCTACTTTCTGGATGACTTAGCTCGACGCTGTTTCTGTTATAAATTGTTGCCCATATTTCCTTGATGAGAAATCGGATTCACAGCTGTATTGCAAATAACAGCACCTTACATGCAGGCATGAAGCGCACCTGACCGATCTCTATGGTTAAAGTGGAGAGAAAAAAAACTATGAAGATGAATTGATTCTTGGATAGATATGTGTTTCCTGTATGATAATAGATCAAAAATAGAATTATCTCTCTTACAGGTAGCTATTGCGCAGATATAATAACGAATGTGAGACAATGTAGCGAACGTATACAACTACATAAAAAAAGTTTGACCATGTCAAAAGAAGACACCGACGTTCTTCTCGAGAGTTTCACCAAAACGCAAAAAATGGAAGCAAAACTGCAGAACTCCTTTCTCGATATAAATGGAAGTGATAATGTAGATTTCATAAAAGAACTGTTTAACGACGAAGTATCCTTCGAGACGATCTTACATAAAGATAAAGGAAAAGATAAAAATGGTAACATCATGAAAAACGAACCTCACGTAAAAATGAAGGATAAGAAAAAGTTACTCGCTACATTGAAGGCCATTGATAACGGGGAGAGTTTTGATAGTTTAGAAGAAAAATCAACCGAAGGACATGACTCACATTTACTGAAAGAAATCTATAATGATCTTGCACAATAAAAATTGTGTTTTATGTATAACTGTGTAACCTATTTTTATGAGGAACTGTATATTGTAGGATATATGAATAAATTTAATCGGTATTTTAGGTTTACGTATTTGTCTATGTTGGTTCTTCATACAACTAATAAAAGATTCAAACTTTTCCCCCTTTGAAATATTTGCACCACCAGTTTTTGGATGAAAATGGGGAATAGGAATACGTCTCTTCTATTAACTTTCATCTCTTTCTTTTTATGTTTCTGTGTTCATAGTGGGTGGGGTTTGTCCGTGACCTTCATTGACCCCACTTGACCTTCAGTTTTGACAGTGACATTTGATGTATTAGCGAGGTTATTTGTTTATCTGATAAATTAGTCAACAAAGCAAAGATGGTAGGTTTTGAAGACAAAATTATTATTTGTTTAATACAAAGGTACCGCTTTTCTTTTAGTCTGGTGGTGTTGGAGTGAATATTTGCGAAGTCACTGATGAAGTTCAAAAAGCGCTCAAGGAATTTAGGTTTCGCAAAGCCCAGGACACAGCTGTTTTGATTTGTTGGTATTCAGTGTAACTATAATTCCATAAATAAATGTTTGATTTTTTAGTGAAAGTCGACAGGGAAAAACAACAAATTATAATAGACGAAAAACTTGATAATATTTCAATTGATGAACTGCAAGACATTGTACCAAGTCATCAACCTCGGTACATTGTGTTATCATATCGCTTGGTAAGTCTTTTGAAACCTTATCATTGTTACTGGTTACTGACTTTAAAAAGACGATTGTCTGTTGATATAAATATTAATGACATGCTGTCTCATCCTTGATAAATAATGAACTAAAATATTGATAGCCAGATAAAATTATTGAGGAGATCCAAACTGTGTAAATTACAAATTAGATATTTTCGGTAGCAATAGTAAGCACATGCAAAATGATTCTATTTAACATTAGTCTTTTAGGAAATACAAGTAAATTACATGAATCTTTAGGTTCCTCTTTAGTTTAAGAATTTATATAAAGCTATTGTAATCTGGTACAGAAGGATAATGTTTTTTATCTAATGGGAAACAGAAAATAAATAAAACTTTGATATTCACTTTCCCACATCCTCTATGACCATAACCCCAAATTTCTATCCCCAACAAAAAAATTGCCGAAAATGATCAGCAGCCCTAAAAAGTCGTTTTTCACCCCTTTGCTCCACCACTGGACCAATTCATAGTAGTAACTTTGTGTGAAAATTCCATCCATTTCCGAGTTATAGATGGGCCAATGATTTGCAGACAAATGGATCGACAAAAATGAGTAACATGGTTTTTCATGTTGTACATCATGTCATATAACATTCAAAAACATCTCATTTTCGAAAATTTTCGCTATTACAATACTTTCTCGCCAGTTGGCGAGGTGCTATAAAGATGAACCGAAAGGGCTCTCAAATGTCAAAATCTGTGAAGCCGATTGGCCTGTAATAGAAATTTGAAGTTGTAGCATGTGAAATAAAAATTTCTATTTTATGGGCCTCAGGTTAAATGGCTTGATAGATTTTGACATCTGAGGTATCATCTCATTCGTCTTGATAGCACAATTAAAAATTGATTCCTTGCACTTGCAGCAGCTGGACTTTTTGTATATCTTTTTAAATATACTTGTTTTATTTTTATCAAAAATGTATATGACATAATAAGGTTGAAAATTTAATGTAGATTATTAACGTGGAAGATAATATTAATAGGTCATGAAATGCTTTCAAAAACCTCAAAATAGGAACCTTTCTCCTTCCTCAAGGAATAGCTCTATCAATCAAGAAAACTTCACGAATTGTTTGGTCTGATCGACGATTTTTAAGTTGATTTTCTTAGACTATTATGGCTTTTGCAGATAATACACAACACATGAGTGACCATTTGAAACTCTCTAGTAAAAATGATTTTTTTTTGGAAAGACTCCGTAAAGATTTTTTTTTAAATAATGTTAATAACGACAAAGCAACTCAAAAATCACATCTGCTTTTTAGGAGCATAAAGATGGTAGGGTATCCTATCCCCTAATCTTTATCTACTTCACACCACGAGATAGTCATGCTGAGCTTCAAATGATGTATGCTGGGTCAAAAATAGCTCTTCAACAAAAAGCTGAAGTCAACAGAACTTTCGAAATCAGGGAACTAGAGGACCTTACTGAGGAATGGTTGTTGAGTAAGCTTGGTAACTGAGAAGTGATCAAAATGGTGGTAACATTACCAATGATGTTTGACTCTGACATCTATATGTATACATTAGTTGAAACATAGCCATTTTTATATATTTTGATCGATTCATGCAACGATAGGAGTACACTATCCAAAATTATCAAGTGCAATTTAGACAAAATTGAAGGCACAAGTGGATAAAGGCGTCATGTAACATTTTTTCAAAATTCAAATTTTTACGTCAAACTAACCTTAAGGAGTGATTATTTAATTATGTAATTACTTTGTAGCAAAAACAAGATAATAACAAACTAATTAAACTAAATATATAAAATTTCAGTAAAGTAAAAAGTACCAATAAAAAATGTTTTTAGGCAATTTTCTCCATACAATGATTTTGTTACATGACACCTTTATCAACTTCTGTCTTCAATTGTTTAATCCACAAGATGCATATACATAATTAGACTGACATAAATTCGTCTTCACACAAAATGTCCACTGAGAATTTTCTTTAACGAAAGGTCTGAAAAAATGATTATCGATTTCTTTTATTTGATCAAAAACGAATAACTGAATTGTATCTTACGCTGAGTGAAGTACCATTGTTACATGATGGCATTAAATAGCTTTGAACTCAAGAAATATTACTCAACCAATAAAACAAGTGCTAAATTTGAGATTTAAAGTTCATATTCAGTTTACAAACCAAATACTAGAGTTTACAAGACAAGCATTTGTATTTTTTGTAAATGTGCATTTTTCACATTCTAGCATGCTATATTTTGCTACTGTTTTTGCATTTTTGATAACATTCCATTTCTATTTTAGAAAGGTCGACAGTGACCTCTTGCATTTTGTATGATTAAAATTATTCCATATGATGAGTTTCAGAAGCTTCAATTAAACATGCGTTAGGAATTCAAGATATTGTAATATCACATGTTGTTCTGCACTGTGAAATTGTGATGCAATTTTTTCAATTTCACATTTGGTACCTGTATCAAAAGATTATATTTTTTACTGATTGTATGTATTCAAGAGCTATTTCAAATTACCTTATTTCTTGAATTGTATTTGATATTCCAAAGCAAGGCCAAAAGTAATAAGTTTTGTAGCTTAGGACGAAATATGATGAAACTTCTATATTTTTTAGCATATATATTGCAGCACCTGTCAGATGCATTCATTTTGTCTCAGTAGTACTATCAATAAGCATAGTTATTATTTCTGATTTTTTATACAGGAATCTCTGTAATGTTTTCAGTTTATTTTTTTGATATATTTTGCAATTATTTTTTCTCGTCCTGGTCTCTTATTATAAAGTCTGATTTTCATTTTTCATTTAGTTTTAATCAGACAGGTGTTGTTTGAGCTTATAACTGGTCTATTTTTATGTATACACAAAACAAATTATTTTACATTTACTATACCTGAATTAGGGTAACTAGACATGTAAGGCGATAAATTTTATACTTTATATTTACACCTTTTTGAAAATAAACAGCAAAGTAAAACATATTTTAGTGTATATATTTTATTTGTACAAAACATTCAGCAGTGTTACAATCTAATGTACCATTTAAACAAAATGATTAGAGTTTACACGATAAATAAGAATGAAGTACATACAACAGAATTTACTAACTTTTACATTACAAATGAATTACATTCAGTCCCAATTTTAAGCGCCAAAGCTCCCAGAGCAGCAAACCGAATATCCCTGCTGTCTTTTTATTTGTTATTAGGTGTTCAAAATCTTCATTTCTTGACCCACTTTAGTTGGATATTAACACATATATCATTCTGGAACAAATACGGAAAACATTAGGGAATTCGGTTTCATGCAGGGTGTCCTGTAGCAGAATTTCAGTTACTACTACTACAGCAATTTTTCAAATTAACTGGGTTGACGGGAATTTTGACCCATCAAAGAATTTTTGCCATATACTAAGTTACTAAGTTCACAATTGTGAGTTAGAAGCGATCCAAATAATATTTTTGGAATTCACTGCTCAATAAAGGAGAGCTGCAGTTAAATTGTGTAGCTTTTAGGAGTAAACTTTAAAATTGAAAAAGTTATGATTACAACGATATACTGTGCTTTTCAAAAAAAAGCACTTCACAATTTATTTGTTAAACCTTTCAAGACACTAAAATTCGGGGTGATGAAATTGAATACTATATTTTTACATAAAAGTGAGTTTTTATATTTCAAAATTGTTAGAATCTGCCCCACATGTTATCACACATTCAGTGAAACCCCTCAAAAAAATGATTAATACACTATAGAATTTTGATGAACAGTTGGATTAAAAATGATTCAATCAAAAAAAAATTCGCCTAACTTTGACGGTCAACCAATTCCTATATAAATTTACACTTTATGATTATAAAATGCTCAAAATGAGGTATTATATGCCCCCTACTCCATTTGAATAAATCTTTTAACATATCACCCAGCAGCCAAATTGGATTTTTTTCCTTGTATGTTATAATATAGTCCTCATGCATAAATTTCATTACCCCAAATTTCGACTTACCAGTTTGACCCCATCAAAAAATAAAAAAAATCTTTTTGAAAAACACTATGTGTCGACCACCCTTTTTACGTGCCACAGTTACCACCTCTCGGACTATTGTCGCAGGTTATGGGATTTCCTGACGAGAAATTCTAATAGGAAATCTACTGCACTAAGAGGCAGATTTAGTGGTAATCTTTCCTTGGCAACTTGGTGTGACAAAGTTTACTTTGAAAGTAGAATGGAGTATGTTTTAATTATTTATAATGTCCGATTTTTCAATCACGGGTTCACTGCGGCTTCATGGTTGATCAGAACATAACTCTCGAATAATAACGTTTAACAACGACAGATGAATGAATAAGTTTTTTCGCGTAATAGTGCACGATTCGTTTTATATGGCACATGACAAAGTCCGAGCTCTGTAAACGCAGAGCGCACAATATTATCATAGGAGTGGTCACATCAACAATTATGAGTTTGTTACCCAGTACTTGAAAAACACATAGGTTAGAGTTAACCAGAAATTGCATACATAACATACAACATATAATTGGGCATCTTCTTGGAGAATACTTTAAGTTAATAAATAATATTATAAATTATAACAAATTATCTGGCATTTGGGCATCTTAAATGCATTTCATGGTCGATCCGCCAACAATCGCAAGCAAGCATTGTAGGTATTTTGTCAGTATAGAACGGCGAAGTTAGCCTTTATGATCAGTACTTGGAAAGCGTTAAGTTTGTAAATCTAACTGCAAACAACGACCTCTACTTCATCAGACTAGCAGAACTTCTGATAGTGAATGCCTTTGTGACAATTGGAGAGTGGAGGTAGGATGTGTCGAGAAAAGCGCACATCCTCACGATTTAGGTCTAGCAAGATAATTTTCGTACCAAAATAAGATAACAGCTTGGGTTTTTTGGGGTGATGAATGCCCCCCCTCTTAATCCAAGGCCCTATATGATAATATTGGAAATAAAGCTATGTTAATGCTCGCAATTCAAGATCTAACAAGCTGTGCTCTGGAGTAGTGAACCTTATCTGTTAAACACATCTACATAATCCTTGAAATACTCAATTATGTCAAGTGTTAGAGGGACATTTTATCCTAAATCACGATGTGAAATCCTAGATTTGGCACAGTATGCCTGTAATGTATATTTTATTTTTAGCTTGCAAAAGGATCTGCTGCAGGACACTGCAAAAGCTCAGTAAAATCACATAAAACAATAAAAAATCAGTCACATAAAACTAGAGCTAATATTATTGCTGATAGGTGAATAATTAGAATTTATAAAAATAAAATAATAAGGGTTTTAATGAGTAGAGCCTAGATATTCCTATAGAGTACAGAACATCTTTATACAAAGTTACATTTCTATCATGATAAACATATTGACCACCTTGTTAGTCATCAATTCTGACACTACAAACTTATTTTTATTTATTTAGCACTGTGAATAAAGTATTCATATCCTTGAGCATGTGTTAACCACAATATGCATCATAAAAATCTCATGTTTCGTTTATTATGGTAGAAATAAAGATCTGCATAAAATGTTATCATAGAGTTTCATCAAATAACAGCTATATCCATAAATTGTACATCTATTGTTTTAACAAACAATAAGTCATACATAAGTTTGATTAAGGAACTAATATCCCAAAGTCCATACATCAATTATTCCTTATTGTATATTAAATAAGACTTAAAAAATCAGTCATGTATCGAGTTAAATTTAAAGAATTTTGATCTTAGCACATGTTAGCCTTTGCAAGTCCAACACTTATTATATATATATATATTTCTAACTATATGGAACATACATTTTATCTTCATATAGTTACAGTACTCCTATTCTTTATTTGTCTAATGTTAATGCACTATTCCACTGTATATTGCATAACAATAACTACAGAAGCTTTAAACCTCTGATTTTAGTCAAAATCTTGCTGATATGTGCTATGCAAGAGAGAATATGATTTCAAGCCATATCTGTTATCAGTAAAGTTACTTATACATATACTTTATTTTTGACTCATTAACTTTAGAGCATGTCTGTTACATCATTTCACTTTTACAACTATCTTTTATAAGCAAAAAGCTTGTAATAACTTCACTGGATAAAAAGTAGTCCATATTTACATATAAACAATCTTTCTACATCATTAGAATTTTCTCCAAATTAGACCTCATAATCTCCCAGGCAATCATCATGTATGTTCCACATGTTCCCGTTCTAGCTCTAATGCAATAACATACCCGTATAAGTAATAAAAGAAGCTTAGCAGATAGAATGCCAACTTGATCCAGCCCTCTCGCTGGCATCTTGTGAGCACATCTGCATTCATGATGCTCGTTGGATCATAGATCCCATACCCAGACATCACTGGTCTTGTTCTGTAGCGATTGATGTGATAGGCTATGAGTGGTATGTTTAAGAATAACGAGAACCATTCTCCTGCTACTGCAAAGAGCAGGTTGAAGAGTAGGTGAAGCAGGTACTCCGGTAAGACGAGCTGTAATGAAATGGGTTACTGAGATTGCATTGTGACGATTTTTAGACTAAACTTACCGGGTTTAGGCTGTTACATTGGTCTATGGGGTTTTTATAGTCGGTCTTCAGCTCATCGAACGCTATAACGTGAAACAGGGAGAAGAATATGAGGAATGCATCGATGATTAAGGCAACTATGTAAGAAAATGCAGGGAAGTTGAAAGCCATACTATATTTTTAAATTATTCGAAAAAATACTAATGACTAATGGTTTAGGTTAATTTGTTGTTATTTATGACAATTGACAGCAGCATCACGCGACTCCAAGTGCGAACTAGCTTGTACATAGTCCTAACCGTTAGAAGAGACCAATGTTCCTGTCCGCCATTTTCGTCCCAAAAATTGATTATCGCTATCAAGTATACCAAGAAAGATGTTAGAGATAATTTCCACGTCAACTCAACAATTGAGAAGTTTAAGAACGCGGGTTAGTCAAGTTTTATGAGCGGAAATCTCTTTACTCCAAGCAAGTTTCCGAAAATGACCCCGCAATAACTGAATGGATTGTCAATATCTCAACATTTTTTGAGGGTGCAACATGGTTGCCAGATTGTGCATTAATATCCCGCAACGTTAAATTTGGTGGGATATAAGAGATCTTATAACAGTATGCTTGCTATGCTTTTTCGCTTTCCTGTCACTTTCTAGCTATATGGCGAAAGGGGTGAAAGCTAATCTGTGGCAACATCTTGGGGTTTTTAAGAATTTGCGAATCTTTAAAAAACCCTTTACGCAAAAAATGCTCGATTATTTTGGAGACAATCAAAGACTGCGGTTACGGAGAATACGCGGTGACAAAGACACCCTACCGACGTAGCTGGCGTTTGTATTTCATCAATGCGTTTCTTATATCGAAACCAAAACTCATGTATGTTTTTTTATTGACATCACAGATCTGAATTGACAGAAAATACTAAGTTTTACAACCTTTACTATGCAACAGATATACATGTTTTATAAAAAACTACGATGTGTAGTGTTGGGAGAAGGGTACTGAGACCAAATTAAAGCAGAATATATTTTGATTATTTTTATACATTTGCTGCTTCCAATTCAATCTCTTGTCAGCTATCAAGAACATTTTATTCTAAGATATCACAAAATATTAGTCGAAATATTGAAAAGCATTTTACTTATCTACAGAAGAAATAGGTCCAGCAGAAGCTACTAATAAATCAACTTCAAGAGACTTTATAATTGTGCTAGAATCACTGTGATAATATTTTTTTATTATATGTTCATTTTTAAATTTAATAGGAATGTTCAAAGTTCAGATATATACATTTTTTTATAAAAATATACACATTTTTTACGTTACAATTCCTCTACTTTTGCAACATAGACCAATAAAATAAAACACGATCAACTTTTTGTGCACCTTTTAGGTTCATTCTCAACAAAAAACTAAATTACAACAATGAAAGTTAACGCTAACTGACGTATCTAATACAGGTTACTCATAATTTTTTGAAATGCTTATCCAAAATGCCCAAATATTCGTTCATTGAACGCATTCTCAAAGAAGATGCCCAACCCGATACTCTATTCGGGCGTTCTCAGATAATTTCCATCACCACGTGTTATGCCAAACAAAATCGAAGTAATTCTCTCAAAAGTAACAACAATCTCCATTGTCCTTTCAAAGCAAGGTTATTCTTAGTCATGACATAAACCTTGCAATAAGCAGCATGGTTTAGGCTTGGTCCCAGGTAGGACAAGGAACAAAAGCTGAGCAACTATCCTCCATCCAGGATATAAGGTCTATCGAAATAAAACAGCATGAAGTGCTATAGGTTGCTAAAATCGACCACTGATGAGTTGCCAAATAGCACGAAACATGGTTCGTCGTCTGTGGTCGGATGAACGAAAGCTATATTACTAGTTTGTTCAATCGCGTGTAAACCGTATATAAATCCTATTTCACGAGTATCCATCACGTTTTGACGTCTACTGAGATGAACAGCTGATCAGAAAATGATCTTTGAAATAGTCTATCACGTTGGCAATATAGTCTAATCATATTAGACAAAAATACCCCTGGTTTACGAAATAATTGCAAAGTCTGGTTAAAGGGGGCATTTGACACATGGACGCGTAATATGGGAACACCAGTTTTTGTCGGAAAACTTTTTATTCGCCACAAAGAATAAGAAAACATCTTTTTAGGATTCAATCGAAAGTGTTGGCAGGACCGAAAACACTCTTCAAATAAGATTTTTAGGTATTTATTAGAAATACGAAATGTTTGAATTTGTTTAGAAGAACCCCTTCGTTATTAGCATAAAAATAACAATTATCTTTCGGAATGGCTTGTGATTCATGTCGGCAAGGTAAACTCGTGTATTTTGTTAAAAAATGCCCTTTGCACGAACCCTGTATATTGCTCAATAAACTAGTAGTGATTGCCGGAAGACAGGTGTTTTGGGATAAGCAATTAGAAATTTTCAACAACTACCTGAATAATCGACTCCAATTTTCTTGTGGTTATTTAGAACTAAGAAGCCTTCGGATTTGAAGAATTTCAAGTAGCTGCATGAAGTTACCGTCGCATTAGCAACAAGTGCGAAAATCTGCATTTTGCCTCGGTTTTCGGCCATAACTTTTTTACATGTGGTCTTATTCTGTAGGTCTCATAAATACTTAAAAATCTTATTTGAAGTGTTTTCTCGTTCCCGTCATAACTTTGATTTAATTCCAAAATAAAAGTTTCCTCATGCTTTGTTGTCGAATAAAAAGTTTTCCCATAAAAATTGGTGTTCCCATTTTATGCGTACATGTTTTAAATACCCCTTTGAACAACTTGCATCAATAAAACCAGACTTTATAATTATTTCTGGGAAATTTTCAAAAATGGACTAATAAAGAATCGGGTATAAGCTATCTAAAAATTTTGCTTGTAGCGTCTTTTTTGTATGCAAATCATATTTTCTAAATAAGAGTTGTTAGCGTACAAAAAAAAAAACCAAAACAAAATACGTAATGGATACTCGTGAAAAAGACAATAGTATACCACCAAAATCGGCCACATTTGCCGACCACAATGGTGACCTGACTGTCAAATGCGAACTGGGATACAATTCCAACAGACATCTTGCTGTTTTTCTCTCGCTGTGGTCGATTCTGGTAACAGATGACATTTTGTGCCGTCTTATTGCGGACATACCTTATGTTCTGAATAGACGATAGTTTCTCTGCTTTCGTTCATTGTTTTAGCTGAGACCATGCTGATGTGTTGCCAAATAGCACAAAACAGATGTCCATGATTGACCGTCTGTGGTCGAATAAGCTATATTTCTAGTTTGACATGTTCAGGTTATAAACAAAGGTATCAGTTGCTGATCAGCTGTACGCATCAAAAAGTGATGCAAGTATCCTGAAAATTGAATTACCTTTCTATTAAATCTGTCTTTTTCCATCTACTTTTGACGGCTTAACATCCAACCACACTAACGCCGACTAGCGGGAGCGAAATTGGACGTTGCAGCCAGTGAATTGGGTATCTTCTAGTAGAACATGTTAATCAATCTTTAAGGTTGCTACACACAGTGCCGCCGGGCAAGCCGCCGTACACCCGGCGGCATACAAAGCCGCCGGCCTTGCCGCGCAAAGGAGCCGCCGTGGTGTGCCGGCGGGTTACGCGGCTTGCCGGCGTCACTTCGTTCCTGGCATTCGAGCGGTAGTGTTGTGCGGTTTGTGTGTTTAAACAAATTAAAATGTCGTTTAATTGGGACGACGAAGCTGTGCTGCTCTTTATTGAAAAATTTCATGAAAATGATATATTATGGAATCCCAGAAATGCAGCACTTCACTAGCTTTCTATGTGACTGTCACAACCGGAATGATGCTTGACGGCTTGTGCCGGCGGCTTGTATTGCCGGCGGCATTGCCGCCGGCACTGTGTGTAGCAGCTTTAAACGTCTGCCAGATTGTGGTTATATGGCTATTTCATAGAGAGGATTATGTAGATCTAAAGACCACAGAAATATAATTTCAAGGTGCTGCTTCAATTAATCACAAAAATGTTCTAACCACGTTGCTTATTTATCATGAAATATATAGACATTTTGAAGGTTCAACATTTGATAAATTTATATAACTTTCTGTTTTTGACGAGTATTATTAATAAATATTTATGTCAACTAAATAACAAACGTATTCTTAAAACTATATTATTCCTTAGATACGGTCATATCTAATTGATAACAGATAAAAAACAAATATATAAGAATGAAAAATTCTATACACAAGATATTTGATAAAAAGTCTAGGTATATTATATACAGAGAACTATTTACACAGTAATTTGAATTCCCATATGCTAAAATAAAAAAGTTTTTGAATATCCAAAAACAAAAGTTTTCAAAATTCGTACTCTGGATGGAACTGAAAATCTTTGCATCTTCATAAGTATACTTAACTCCCAGTTCAGTCACAATTATGAATAAGCATTTGTGGGAGGCAACCTTAGCTAGACTTACTTCTAACATATATCAACGAACTTTAACATGAGCTGCATTTGAACGATGAATTTATCCAGAGCAAAATACGAGTTATATATCTGGGATAGATGATTCAGACAGACCATTCAAAAACTTTTTTAAGATACATATTGCTCAAATCTTAGATCTTAACATCGAAATTTGCGATGGTGTAAATTCAGCCATCAATGATGGGAATATTTACAGTTATTATATGGAATGTGTTAGTTGGAAAACTACGGATTCTGAATTGTTTGCTTCAATTACACATCTTTTTATATTTACTCATTGCCATAATTCTTATGTCCCATTCCCCAGTTAAGGCCAAGCTTTGCTTTTGCTATTTGTAAGCAGTGCCAGTTTAAACAATGAGCAGTTGAGATCAAGTAACATTTGTTTAACAAGGCTGTTCTTGCAGATACCATACAGGGTACGTCAATGTTTATGATAAAATCAACCATACACGACATACGTGCACTTATTACCAGCTATGAAAACGTTAACATGTAACATCTGAAATTTATTCTTTGTTTTTGGTGTTGATAATCCCCCACGCTTGTCAGGCCGAATCAAAACCACATTGTTTAAAATCCCTCTTTATCGCACGACGTTTCGGTCCCAATGGTGGCCTTCAAGTTCACTTGACTGTGTTGGGGCCGAAACGTCGTTCAATAAAGAGCAATTTTAAACATGAGGTTTTGATCCGACCAGGCAAGCATGGGGGTTGTTAAGTGACATGTCAAAAAACAGTCAAGTGTCTGAGTTTGTGTTTTTCCGAGGGTTGATGCCATGATTCCTTTGCATGTGCTTGTTTGAAGAGTACTGTTAACAGCACAAAAGCTGATTCAGGCGAAATATTGTAACTACCCCGGTTATGTCCTAGGTCAGATACCTTTTTACGTCAAAAAATGACCGAAACGATGCGGCCGAGCCCGTACTGTCAATCGTCATTGCTGTCAAAACCTGTTTCTTTTGGGGTAGCAAGTTTCCAGGAATATGTTTTTGTTGTTGATGTGCCCTTATTAAAAAAAAGAGAACACGCGAGCTTTTAACCATTGGAGACATTTGCCCCACAAACATATGCACCTTCATCCAAAGATATTTTCGTCCCTTATCACGATGGAAAATAGTTATGCAAGAGCATTCAATGATTACAATAATTAGCCGAATGCCTCATAGATTTAACCCTGTAAGACACCTTGTAGCTATATGTCTACAACGATCTTTTAGGTATCTTCTAACGTTTTCTATCCCTTGTACACTCTATTGCTCGATGTAGACATGTGGAAACAGCCTCAAGTTAGGCGCAGTTACCATCCGCCATCTATTAGCGAAATCGAGAAATAATTTTTTAATATGTCAACCGGCAGCTGTTCAGTTCGTTTCGCCGGCGTCGTTGCACTGGCGTGTTTGAGAGATAATTAGGTAGGTAAATTTTCATAAAATACATTAGTATGATATAATATTGGTTGTACATGTCCAAAACACATAATACATGGTAAGATTATCCAAAGTAGCATAGGAGAGTATAGAAAATGAAGTTTGAAAACGATTGTAGCCATATGTCAACATTGAACCTTCATGGTTGAGCCAATGTAAGATACTGTTTTATCCATTTTTGTTTCGTTGCAGCTTGAAAAATGGATCCTTTCGAAAATCTAAAAACCATTTCGGCGAGGTGTTTTTACAAAAAGAAGACAGACTTTATACCTGTATTGCCGGCTAATCTAGAAATATCCGATATTTCAGATAAAAGTGATTCCGATAATGAAAATTTGGAAGATGATGTGTTACGCCTCGGAAGTAATGATGCAGATGATGTAAATCCGTTGCCTTGCTCAAGTAGGTCTACAGTTGAAGTTATTCAGAATAACAGTAGCTCCTCGGATGAGTCAGATGACGAAGAAATAAAACCAATAGCTTCTAAAAGAAGGAAGAAGAGCAATCGAAGGATCCAAAAGGCTGATGTCGTATATAATTGGGTAGAGGAAGATTTACCTAATTTTGAAAAACCTACGTCAGATGTAAACTTTGGAGATGATAATTATCATTATCCATTACAGTACTTTTTAGAGTTTTTCTCATATGAATGCATTGAACTGATAGTGAAGGAATCAAATTTGTATTGTACTCAAATGACTGGGAAAAGTCTAGATACAGATAACAAAGAAGTTACTAATTTTATTGCTATCCTTATCTACATGGGCGTCATTTCTCTTCCTAGTTACAAAGATTATTGGTCGGCTACTCTAAGAATTGAATCTATAGCGAATGTTATGTCACTAAGGAGATTCAAACAATTACGCAGATATATACACTTCAATGATAATTCTTTAGTTGGCAGTTCTCAAGATAGGTTTTATAAAATTAGACCGCTCTTGGACATAGTCAACAGAAACTGCTCTAAGTTTGAGATAGAAAATCGTTTCTCCATTGATGAGACAATGGTACCGTACAAAGGTACACGGGCAGGTAACCTTCGTCAATATATGAAAAACAAACCACACAAATGGGGTTACAAATTCTTCATGAGAGCTGGAGTATCGGGATTGATTTACTCTTTTATTCCATATCAAGGGAAAAATACTTTTTCTTTATTAGATGGCACTGCCATGCAGTTAGCAGAAAATGAACTGGCTATGGGAGTTGGTAGTAGCGTAGTTATTGCTCTCACTAAAACCATCCAAAACCCAGCTCACAGCATTGTGTACTTTGACAATTATTTTTCGAGTGTGAACTTATTTTTATATCTAAAGCACAGATTCAACATTTATAGCTTAGGAACTCTTCGGAACAATAGACTAAATGGCTGCCAGCTGATATCTGATAAGGAATTGCTAAAAAAAGGCAGAGGAAAGTATGACTACAAGTCCACAAACAGGGAATGCATAATTGTCAAATGAGCTGACAATAAATGTGTTTTGATTGGAAGTACAATTCATGGTGTATCCCCTGAAAATACGCTTCGTCGATATTGCAAAGAAAAAAAAGGTAAAACGAATATACCTTGTCCATCCATTATTATGGAGTACAACAGGCATATGGGAGGTGTTGATAAGTCAAATTCGCTGGTCGGGCTTTACAGAACCCCTGGTCGTGCTAAGCGGTGGTACTTCCCGATTTTCGCCTATATCATCGACATGTGTATAGTCAACGCATGGTTACTATACAAAGAGAACAATAAAAATGAAAAGAAGTGTATGCCCCTAAAAGAATTTAGATGTGATATTGCAAAGGGCTTGTCCACCACTGGGAAACCGAAACCTGGAAGGCCGGTATCATCACCTAAGTCCAATTCAATAATAATACACCCAGTCGTTCCAAGACCTTCAGATGTTACCAGAAAGGATACTGTTGGTCATTGGCCAGTTCATACGACAAAGGGAAGATGCCGAATGTGCACTACGGGATTTTCTCGAATAATGTGCCGAAAATGTATGTGTCGGCTATGCCTAAATGATAAAAATAATTGTTTTGTTCATTTTCATCTGTGAGATAGATTCCTTTATGTTATAATTTTCACATTTGTCTCACCTTGTATATTTTTTATACGGAATATATTGTTTTTCGTTTTTGATGGAAATACTTTGATTTTTTTTGTAATAAAATATTATTGCAATTTTTAATGTGTTTTGTTACAATTATATTTTTAATCCGCTTATAGACCGTAACGGTCAATGTTGACATTTGGCAACAATTGCAAAGTACACTTTCTAATAACAATGACTTCAATATATGGATCTAAACTTGTTCCTACAGTGATTTTTTATAGCCAGTGAAAATTTACGAATTTTAACTTAAAAAATAATAGGAGTGAACCTTACAGGGTTAAACAATATTTACTCTACATCCACTAACGAAATTTTCGATTTATAAAAAAATAGGACTCCGACCACAGAGACCTTCCTTTGTTTGGGTTTTAGGTGATGACCAATGACAAGTTGCATGTGAAGCGTATAAAAAGAACTCTAGGTCTATGTAAATACCGCGGTCATCTGAACTGACAACCGTACAAGGGTTACTTTATGATATTCATGACCAAATTCGCTTAAACGGCATTGATAATTAACAACGATGAAAAAACGTGACTAGTAATTACCGATCAGATATGCTCACCTCACTTCAGTTTGTTCAGTTTACTGCACGTACTCTACCCAAACTTCAGTTTAAATGAGGTGGGATTTCTTTCTCCCTCCTTACCCCAACTGTATTACTAAAGTAGCTTCCCTTTTGCAATAGAGTGATTCACCGCACAAGTGGGGAAAGTGAATCTTCTCAGATGTCACAAGAAACGGTCAAGTGAGAATTCCATCTCACACGCACGGAACGTATCTAGAAGTGAGATTTCAGTGTTCTATGATTTTTTTATCACTATCGGCAAGTGTATTACGTAAAAAAACGATATAATGAAATTAAATATCGGTATGACAATTTGTCTAATAGCTAGTCGCTCAGGTAATACAATTCACAGCTCAAGTCATAGCTACAAATGCTCCCCGCTAGTGCCATCTCTGAAGCAGATGTTACATCACATCGCAGCCGAACCATATAGCTCAAGTGTCATGACGTTTAGGCAACACGTACAGCTACTACAAGTGAAAATGAAGTGAATGACAGTTCCAGGATGACATTTTTTCGAAAAACCTATATAGTCATTAAAAATCGCGGGAATGCGGAAATAACATTCAGGCATAAGACCGTAAGACATCAACAAAGCTTCTGGTCTGGACTCGATTCCTGCCATTGTACTGAAGAGGTGTGCAGCGGAGCTTGCTCCAGTTTTTTCGCGTCTCTTCCAGATATCTTATGAATCCGGCACCTTCCCAAAAAAAAACTGGAAATTTGCCCATGTTCATCTCAGCTAAAAAAAAAGGACCTAAGACCGACCCTTGCAACTACAGGCCTATAGCTCTGCTTTCTGTTATAAGTAAGGAGATGGAGAGGCACATAAATCGCCAGCTTCTGGACTACCTCGAATGTCACGGCTTGGTTAGCGACAGACGGTATGGATTCCGGCACCACCACAGGCGACCTCCTAGCTTACGCCACGCAATTGTGGAGTAAACTCATCCAGTCTTATGGTGAGGCTCATGTCGTTGCTCTTGATATCACGTAACCGTTCGATCAGCTGTGGCACGCTACCCTATTATGCAAACTTCCATCCTATGGCCTCTCAGAAAAGCATTGCAGATGGGTGGCTGACTTTCTCTCTGGCCGCAAGACATCCGTCGTAATTGACGGCTTCACCTCTTCATCCCACAACGTTAACGCGGGTGTTCCCTAGGGATCGGTTCTGGCTCCGACCCTGTTCCTCTTACATATCAACGACCTCCTTTCCAACACGATCCACCCCATCCATAGCTTCGCTGATGACAGCACTCTATATGCAGGAATTCGGAGTGACAAGCCGATCTCTGCCGCTGAGCTGGAAAGAGCCGTTCATTTCGGCTGGTCGGAGTCCATATCACCGAGGACTTGATCTGGCACGAACACATATCGTCAATAGCGGCAGGTGCTGGGAAAAAGCTAGCTATTTAGCATGTTCTTTGGTACAATTTGGGAATTTGTAGTATTTGGCCCACCCTGCTCTTCAAAAATGTCTCCGGGGCGTCCATGTCGAGATTTTAAGCGTGGAATACGATTTTGTGGAAACTATCGTGGCCTAATGTAACATCTAAACATATCCTGTGGTTTCCATGTTGACCGCTACTGTACGTCTCAGCTACTACTGTGGCCTTTTTTAAGTACAGTGACAAGGAGGGCCTCCTGTAAAGGTATAAACTGACCAAAACATTAAAACAGTGTATGATACGGTGTCACAAGACGGACGTATAGCATTACATGGAAATATTATGCAAACTTAATCTCAAAATTGCGAGACGCTTGTAAGAGAAGCATCGAGAGAACTTTGGAAGTGGCGTATTGCTTCATCAAGACAATGGGTTCCAGCCATACCTCCTGTATTAATGAGGCTGTCAAGCAGGGTTTGAATTGGTAGATTACCTACCCTATTCACCAGATTTGCACCACAGTCATTGGTTTTCAAAATTAAGACAACCTTTTCCTCCACGTTATCGCCGTTTTCTAACCAGGCTAGACAAACTAGACCGAGTCTACCTGAAAATGGTAACATAACACTGACGCACCTTGTATGTCGACCAGGCAGTTGGCATTCTCATCACTCATCCTAAATAATCTAATTTCATCACATATCTTCATTAAAAAAGGAACATTACGAGCAACGCAAAGGCTTTTCAGGCATTTGTTTGCTCAAATACGGGATAACATATGGCAAAATCTCATCACTATTACAGCAAAAATGAAACTAAATCACTTTACTTTAAATGCTAGGAAACAGTCATGCAAGAAATCAGCTGTTGGCAAAGTTGGTTGTATACCAAGTGGTCCCCGCTTATCCTGCGCATTTTCAAGCCTTTCGAGTCCTTTTGCTTGTCGACGACCCTTAGTTCTATCTGAATACCTCCTTCGTATTCCAAACTCAAACGGTTGCCTACTTCCTTCGAACTCAGGCATGTTTTCGGCGGGATCTGATCATTTATCGTCTTTTTCACCTATAACAGACACATAAAAGTAATACATTTGAAACCTATCCTGTGGTTTTCATGCTGATGATTCCTCATTTTTTTTCTGGGAGCTAAATGAGACCAGGTACTACTACTACTACTACTACTACTACTACTACTACTACTTGTGCCATACGTATCTCATTAGTGTAGCCTTTAATAACTTACCATTTCAAGTATGTCAGTGCTTTGTAACTTGGAGCAAACGTCTGAAAGTTCAAATTCGAACGATCCGGAGTTTTTGTGCAAGTTGGAAGGGGAGTTTTCTCGATCTGGACTATCCTGAACTGCAAAGTGACCGAAATCGCCCAAGTTCAGTTTGAGATTCTGGAATATCTGGAAGTTTCCCGTCGTTGGGGCTGCGTTCGAAAGCTCTTGGTTTATCTGCATTCGTTCATAGTTGTGGTCCATTGATCTGAATTAGAAATAAATTACTGTCCAAGATGTTTAAAAGGACATTTTTTAGTTATCGTGCTGATAATAGACGGCGTCAGTGTGAGTGAATATTTTCGTTTCCTGTAAAGAAATTATTGCTTATGGCAGGGTCGCTTTCATCAGATTTTGCTGCCACAGATATTTTTGGAACGTATTCAAGAAAGTATATGTTGCATTCATTTTACACAAAATCTCAGATACGCTCATCTAACTTCAGTTTGCTCAGTTTATTTCCCTTTTTTGACAAAACTTAATTCAAATGAGGTGAGATTTCTTTTTTCCGTTACCTCAACTGCATTAAAAACAGGCCAGCCTCAGTTGACAGAGATTTGTCCTCACCAGAAGCTTTTAGGTTAAGTTTATTTGGTTTATGTACAAAATATACCGAATTCAAATTGAAATGCTTAGTTATGGGGTAGCTCCATCAGAAATTAAGAAAACATTATTTTTTAGGTTATATTATGGTCAAAGTTAGCTCAGCTATTCTTTTGTACTCTAAAGTGAGTCACACATGCGCTGATTTGGTATCTTTATCTCTGTTTGGACTGCCTCACTTCACTTGCTAAACGCACGCAACTATCATCTGTAGTATACTAATAGTCTATGAGATAACTTACCTATTCCTGATATCAGCATCAAACGCATGACTGCTCTGCGTATTGCTGCTACTACTCGGACTCTGATTTCCTATGCTGAGACTATCGTTGCTCAGCGAATCGTCTGAGTAGCAGGAGCTCTTATCCGAGTTTCTCCTCAGAAAAAACTCGTCCCCATCAGGTGGTCGAGGCTCGGCCTCTTGGCTGGTTTTCCTACCGATACCGCGTGTTATGGAGGGCAGGTTCTCCGAGGGTTCGGATATTATGAACGAAGGAATCTTTGGGATTTTGTGGTTGTCCAGGCTATCCATGGAGTCTTCTGAGGTGTCCGAGCCGGCTACCAGCGTCACTTCGCTCCCTGGAAGAGAGAAAATGAATGTATTGCTGCTAACATTGGAAGGAAACTAGTAAAGTATCAACGAATCGATGGAAGATCCTCCCTTTCAACGAATCATGAGTAATCGATCAGTCGGACGGCCCTCCTCTAGACAGCACTGAGCATAAATAATGTAGTCGGGGCGGTAGTACTACAAACGTGTGAGCAATACTCGAAGCTCTACTTGGAGATGTATAGAGTGAGGAGGTCATGCCGAGAAAAGTACTTCTTAGCCCTAAAATAGTCTCTTTTTTCCAGCAGCTGCCGCCAGATCAAGTCCTCCGTGATCTGGACTCCGACCAGTCGAAATGAACGATTCTTTGGCCGAACTCGGCCATCCAACGAAACAGGATGATCGCTAGGACGCGTTTTGTTCGCTAAGGTACAGTACTGTGTTTTGGAAGCATTATACTGTACAGGACCCCAAGCAATGATAGCCTCCAGGTATCTCGTCAGAGAGGATATCGCTGCTAGTCTTCTTGTTCCAGCTCACCGTTAGAGATCGGCTTGTCGCTCTGATTTCCTGCATGTCATCAGAAAGGCGGTGAATTGGGTTGATCGTGCAGGAAATGAGGTCGCTGATACGTGAGGGGAACCGTGGCGGAGCCAAGACCGATCCCTGGGGAACACCTGGGTTGACGTTGTGGGATGAAGAGGAGAACCCATCAATTACGACGGAGGCCACAGGATGGAAGTTTGCATAAAAGGGCAGCGTGCCACAGCTGATCGAACGCTTTCGTGGTATCGAGAGCAACGACATGAGCCTCACCATAAGACTGGATGAATGTACTTCACAACTGGGTGACGTAAGCTAGGAGGCCCCCCTGCGGATCGCTGGTGCCGGAAACCATCCGAACTGTCGCTAATCAAGCCGTGACCTCTGAGGTAAACCAGAAACTCGCGATTTATGTACTTTACTTATAAAAGAAAGCAGAGCTATAGGCCTGTAGTTGTAAGGGTCTGTCATAGATCCTTTTTTTTGGGATGAGTTGGACATGAGCAAATTTTCCTTTTTTTTGGGAAGGTGGCGGATTCGTAAGATATCTAGAACATACGCGAAAGAACGGGAGTAAGCTCCGCTATACACCTTTTCAAGGCAGGAATCAAGTCCGGGCCAATTTCCTGGATAATTGAAAATAATTTAAAAAATTAGCAATTTAATTTCCAAACATTTAATACCAACACACAGCCTATGAAAAACCCAACACCCTAAGAATATATATTTGATTTATTTTTTTTTTGTGTGGAAAAAGTAAATTTTGCATTTATAAACATCCTGCACAGGTAAATCAAAAAATTAAAACCATCTAATGAAGAGAAACTATGGGATTTGAAGCTGATTTTGATGAAAAGTTTGATACTCTATCTGCAAAAGTGACTTACAAGCTGTTGAAGTTGAGGTGTTTTTTGAGACCCGTAGTCCCAGAAGTACCGACTCAAGCCCTATAGTATGCGATCCCACATTTCAAATGAAGATGCTTTCAAGGATATACTAAAATATACAGGGTATTCCATTAAAAAAAATGTATGATGTCACGTAATTACCATGTTAAAGAACGGTATATGTTCCAAGTAAGGAGCTTACAACTGATATAAATATTTTTTCAGATATATTTTCTACAATAACAGAGCTATCGACCGATCCTACACTTAAAACTCAGCCTGTAACTTCAATGGTCGAAACTCGGCTAGAATCAGGCGTAATATACAAGTTTTTGTTCCGATGACGCAATGGCAGATAACTTTGAAAGCTTTTTCATAGGAAACCTCAAACTTTATAGCACTTTAATGGCAAAATTTACATTCCCTTCTGCCATTGTTAAAGGGGAATGAAACTTGGTAGATTCGGGTACTTTCGGCGGCCGAATGTAAAAAAATCGTGAAATGCCCTGGGGCAGACACTGAGGTATACAAATGGTCGCACGAGTCCTGCCGTGGTTCCTAGCCTCACATTATATCAGAATCAAGATATCAAGAATTTCAATGTACTGCTTGATATTACAAATGTTTTTCTGAATGATCCCGCATAACATCACATACATAGCATCAAAAAAAAAAAATGTTTTCACACCTTCGACCTCCACCACTCTCTGACTCCTCCTACTTGTTATAATTTCTCATATCGTACGGATGTCATTCCTTCATCCGACTGCTATAATTGACACCTCCTGATATAAACAACAGAGAATTTAATGTTATTCAGTGTTTTCTCACTGAAGCGTCTTTATCTTATATTTTCCTTACCCAACACATCCGTAACGCTAATCTGCGGATGCCCTGCCGTCTGCCCCTGGGCCCCCATAACCTCCTTCTGCTGAGGCTGCCCAGCAACGTGTATTTCCTCCTGGATCATGTCCAACCCGGGACTTCCAGGATTGCTAATCGGCGAGTTAGTTAAACTGCGATGGCCATGCACGTTCAGGATATGGTGGTGGTGATGCAGTAGGGCCGAGGGGTAAGCGGGACCAGGGGATGCCCCTGTGGGATCATCCAGGGGCGCCGAGGGTGGCAGGCCTTGCGTGATCGAGCCGGTGGGCGAATAGCCGCCTGGGGCTCCTGCTGCGCAAGTGTTCAACCCGCTAATGCCTGAAAAAAAAAGCGGAGTGAATTAGCCATACGAGGACTGCAAATTAAGTGATGAGACTGGCAACGTAGCGTTCGAGCTGGCAACACTGAAGGCTCCGGGCTTGGGGGAGACAAGAGAACAAGTGACGCGCTTTCAGTACAAGTTTGACCTCGCTCGAGTCAATTGGTTGTCCGTAGCGATTTTTTAAACTGTTTTTTTTATTGTGTTCTAAAAATGAGTGTGCTATCAGTGCAACAATAACTCTTGCTAAACAGGCCTACGGAGATGGTGTTTTGTCAAGAGCCCAAGTTTTACGATGGTCACACAGCAATTTCAATAAACTAGTTTTTGGCCAGTAAAACCATTTCTGTGGCTCATCAGCCTCGTTATTCGACTGACTTAAGACCTTGTGACTTTTTTCTCTTCCCGTAGTTGAAAAATCACCTTAAGGGAACTCGTTTTGGTACAGTCAAAAACATTCAAAAGGCTGTAACCGACCAGCTGAAGGCTATTCCAGTATCGGTGTTCCAGCACTGCTATGAGGAGTGGAAATATGTAATTTTGATAATGGTAGGTGAGAATTACAGTACATAGCGTACAATTGTAAAAAAAATTATAGAAGAGTTCTCTTGTAACGCTAATATTGCTGCAGATAGAATTTCCACACACTATGCACCCTGATGTTATAATGGCGGGATGTGATCTGATGTAATTCTGTCTTGGTATTAATAACTATTATTATAAACCAGATTTCTAAATCCTCAAAAATTATTTACTTTCGAGTTAGCGCACTAAAAATGATAAAAAATAGCGAGAGATGGGTTGCCGAACCAGTTAGAACGGGTTTGGAAATTGCTAAAGTGGAAGTGGTACTAGCGATAAAACGCACAAATGACGCCCAAGTTCCGGCCATTCAAAAATTCAAAATAAATACCCACTATATCGAACTTTCAATTTTCTGGATTGGTACGAAATCAACACAAAATCTCGTAAAATCATAGGGTTTTTAGTGTTTTTGCTGGTTTGTTATGATTTTCCTTATTTCGATTTCGAAACAATCCTCCGTTAGTCATGGAGAATAGGGGAATGCTTATTTCGTAAGGTTATGTTTTCCTTATTCAGCACTACTGCCGAAATTTGTAAAGCTGGATAAGCTTAATTAAAATAATTTTAAGTTATGAAAAATATCGATTAAAATATAAACATACGATGTTTAGATAATAAAATAAAGCAAGACATGCGCAGTGTTCTAAATAAATTTTAATTGTCCTTTTACTTAGTTCTGCTGGTTTTGTGGTCACTTGTCCTTCTGTGGCTCTCTTGATTCTAAATCTATTCATTTGTTGTCCGGTTTGGACAGAAATATTACCGAAACTTTTGTGGATTGTGGGGTTTATGGGGTTAGCTTCACGTCAAAATCGAAAGATCAAAATAAGCAGCTTATTCTGAGTGTCAGTAGTCAGTACTGACATTAGCACGGTTCACTTTAGTGGTCATAAAACTCTTTTTTCGTCGACATTCGGTCTTTGTTGTCGCTGGAAGGCAAATAATTGTTATTTCTGTTGCACTAAAAACTATAGTCTAATAATATCTAGAAAGCCTGCCTTAAAATAATCATTATGTACCAACTAAAAACACTCACCTTGCGTAATGGATGACACACTACTCCCCATCCCAAAGACTGGCGACGCGCCTCCTCCTGCCGGACTTAACAGCGGATTCAGCACTGGTGAACTGCTGCCACCGGCCGCCCCCGCGTACAGCTGCCCATACGAGACAGGGGAGGGCGTGCCGCTGCCCCCTGACCCTGTCCCTGGGGCCACTGCGGTGTGCAGAGGGCTGTAGGCGGTTTGCTGGGAAAGTTTTTGAAGGTCCTGCATAGTGACTGTTTCGGCTAAGGCGGGGTGCTGCTGGTAAAACTGATGAATGGGAGAGGTGCATTCGGACATCGGGTGGCGGAGGTTGACGTCGGGGGTAGCCCCGGGAAGGAGCTTTTGGTGGATCGGGGAACCTGGAAAAAAAATGGTGATGCTTTGATATGCTCTACTAACTGCAATAGGATTATACTATCTGACCGAATGCAAGAAGCTAAATTATTTATTCGCAGTTTGTTACTATTCATTGACCACATTATGTATAGTATAGGGTGACAGGTAAATAGGTGTAAAACATTTTAGGAGGTGATAGTACAGCTCCTTTGCTATCAAAATTAGTATATAATACCATACCCTATATTCAAAGGTTAAAAAGTTATGGAAGATTTAATTTTTTAAAAAAACAACCCAGATTACAGAGTAAAATAGTTGAGATAAAAAAAGTTGGTGATTAAACATTCTTTTTTTGGTGGTTTCAGGTTATTATTCAAATAAATAATTCTCATAAATTAAAAAACATATGAAAACACTACTGAAAACGTATTTATTACCATTTAAATGTTAAATGAAAATTTTTAATTTCAACTTTCATTAGGTTTCTAAAATGGTATAATAACATCAGTAAGTAAACTATTTAACAAAACAATACTACTTTGCTAGAAAGGACCGCTAAGCGCATTTCATTCATACTGAGCAGGTAAACCGAGCCTTTCATGGTTCGACCCTTTTTGTTATTTTTTGTGCCCTGTGCCGTTATTCGGGTTTAAGTATTCGGAATCTGTCGTCACTCCTCGGAAGCAAGCTCTGCGTGTGTTATGAATTGACACAGCTGACGGATCAAGGAAAGGGAACTAACGCTTAGGTTAGTTAGTAGAATATCAACCTTTAACGCGGTAGGACGTACTTTTACTTTTTTGATCAGTTTTAATAATGGCCAGTTACCGTAACGAAGAATACGCTGATATTCTGTTTTGTTATGGTTTAAGTGATGGAAATTTCGTTGAAGCCAGGCAAGAATACAAAAACCGTTTTCCGAATCGGCGAATACCGAGTCATCGAGTATTTGCTTCTGTGTACCAACGCGTCAAGGAAAGTGGACAGGTTCATGAGAGACGTCATGATGCTGGTAGACCTCGGTTGTTTGACGACGAAGATCGAGAGGCAATACTGGAATGCTACGGCAGAGACCCGACGACGTCTACACGAGTTATAACAAAGCAGCTTGGTTTAACTCAGTGGAAAGTTTGGTTCGTTTTGCATTCGGCGAGACTTTACCCTTTCCATTACACACCGGTTCAAGTATTAGAAGAAGGAGATCCCGCAAGAAGAATTGATTTTTGTCGATACATGCTTCATCGGGATCAAGAAGAAAACGACTATTTAACTAAAATATTGTGGACCGACGAGTCTAAGTTTGACAGAGAGGGGACAACAAATTATCACAACTTACATTATTGGGCCCCACGAGAGGCAAATCCCCACATGGCAAAGCCAAGAGCCCATCAAAGAAGATTTTCGGAAACGTGTGGATGGGAATCATTCATACGTATCTAATTGGACCAGTTTTTTTGCCTGACAACCTGAATGGCGTTTGAGATCCGAACTCTGGGAGTATCTCGAAGACCTGCCTCTGAATATCAGGATGCAGATGATCTACCAACACGATGGCTGTCCCGCGCATTTCCGTCTGGCTATTAGACAGTGGCTGGACGAGAAATATCCTTGTCGCTGGATTGGCCGAGGTGAACCGACACCGTGGCCAGCGAGGAGCCCAGATTTAACACCGTGTGACTATTATTTATGGGGGCACATGAAGTCACTGGTCTACGCTGAGCCCATATACACTCTTGCACAGTTGAAATAAAGAATTATTGCTGCTGCTGACACTATCAGAGGACGACTAACTGGCCGCATCACGCGTACCAACGTGAGAAAAAGACTACGGGCTTGCATAAAAAACGGCGGGCGTCAGTTCGAACAACAATTGCAATGAATTTTACCTTCATTTCATTATTGTATTTTACTTACCAATTGTAGTAACTTTTAGTCAGTTTTTATTATTCTGTAGTACAATTACAACTGTGTAAATAATCTAATCGTGTAACTTAACCGTAGTTTAAAATAATAACTATCCCATAGCTTACAGTTACATTATTTTCACAAAAACACTTTGTTATCAATCAGAGAGTTGTGAAAATAGGAGACAAGTCATTGGTAAATTTACTCCCTATTGTTGTATTACAATACATTATGTTTAGTTTCACACAGTTTTTGTGCACTTATCATACCAATTTAGATTCCTTATGAAACAAGGATATTATTTAAATTGTTTTTTGTATACTGATTTTTTTGTAAAACACCTTACTTACTGTAAAACGTTCTTTGTTTTTCTTAGTTAAACATTTTTGAATGAAAATAAATACGTTGTTTGGTATTGATTTCGAATCTTTTTTAATTTATAATAGTTAATTATTGAAATAATAACCCAAAACCACAAAAACAAATGTTTAATCGCCAACTTTTTTCTCTCTCGACTTTTTTACTCTGAAATATGGATTGTTTTTAAAAAAATCTTAAATCTTCAATAACTTTTCAACCTTTGAATATAGGGTATGGTATTATATACTAATTTCGATAGCAAAAGGGCTGTACTATCACCTCCTGAAATGTTTTACACCTATTTACCTGTCACCTGTATACAATGTGCATGTGAGGTCATACAAACTAATTTATCAACTATCCCAGTAAACAGTTACAATGGTTAAGCAATGTTTTTTTCAAATTTATGTTCTTTAATGACATTTACGTAAAATATAATTTAACTTTAGGTCTTTTATTTTTAGTCATGTTCAGTCGCGAGTATGGATTCTTTAGGTACTTAACATTACGTAGTGCATGAGTGTATATTTCTGCAAAGGTTAGATATTTTTTAGATTTCTGTATACAATAACATCGGACAAAAATATAAATTTTTGAAGTGATTTCTGCACGTTGATCCATAACCGGAATTAGTAATTAATTATCCTCAAACTGTTTTTTGTAAAATCAAAATTTTGTTCGATGCTACTGAATTTCCGCATTGTGCCATATGTAATGTGTCTATGGAACACGCTGAAGTACACTACCAGCAAAGCAAATATTTAGTGATTATAGCAGAGATTGTCTAATTTTTGATGTGCTCTAAGATTGTCAAGCTTTAGTATACTCACTATAGACTGATCGAGATTATTGAGATTTACGTAAAAAAGTGCGGGTGCTCCGATTTATTTAATATCTTTTTTGAAAATTATAATGTTTATAACTCACCTGGTATGGATCTGGGTGGGCTAGACCTCAGACCTCTCTGTAACATTTGACACTCCTGCTGTGGAGTTGACGGACTCAAGTTTCTGGAACCACCCGCCGAACCTTCACTTCCTCTTCTTACAGGCGAGAATCTTTCCAGCGACTTTTGTTCTCTACCTATGTTATTAGATGCATGAAATTAAAATCTGTCAGCCAATGATGATAATAATTTGAAATTTTACTTTTTCCGAATTACTTACTCAATGTTTAGTATGAGTAAAAGAATGTAATTCTGCTAAAATATTGCAGAATTCAGTAGTAACTTTTGATGTGTTTAATATTTCAAAATATCCAAGCTTTTTGTTAATATGGCGGTATAGATAAATACCCATATCATATATGTTAAGGTTGACACAAACTATATCTAGGGAAGGTGTTATAACAAAATAAGGCCAATTTTCAATCGCCGTGTTTACTTATCGGCGTGGACTAGTAATTTGATATTTATCCCAGAAAATACTGATGTGAGTGATATATAGCTTCATCAATATTCTTAGGCCCAAAGATATCCCAAATCTGCTCTGTCAGATTACGCTCTAATACATTGATACCTTTTTGGTAATCTGAAAACAATATATATTTGTTTAACTAGGTAGGGTATTTATCCATCAATCCTTTACTACTACACACAACATCCCAAAAAAAAAGCAAAATAAAAAACCTAAGCTAGTGCAAAGATGACCTGCGCGTTTACAACCCTACCTTGCAATTCTTGAACCGTGGGCAACTTCGTCATGGCGTTGTGCCTGCTGTGCTTCCTGGCAGCAGTCGGCAAAATGGTGGGCATGTAGTTACGATTCATGCGAGCCTCCACTTCCATTACGACCTCCGGGGGAATCACTGGCGGGCATGCATTAACGTGTGTCAACGGGCAACGAAAAATAATAAAAAAAAAACAATAGGGAAGGGAGAAATCAAAACAATGGGAGAGGCGAAACAATTATGTGTGGTGAGTGGGTTTGAAATATGCAAGAGAACAAATGTCCATCAAGTAGGTTGACTCTGCACTTTCCACGCTACGTTGTCACCAGTTCATAACGGGTTATATTCGGACCAAACTCCAATGGTTTTGAACTAGCTACAATATGTATAACAAGAAAATTAAATCTGTAAAGTCAGTCAAACAGGCCCATATACAATTAGTACAAACATAGTCCCCATACATTTGATAACGCTATCGCAAGTTTCTTTCCTGCCCAAAGTATCTGGCAACGCTGCTGGACACTCCCGTCAAACCGTCATAAGCGCTACTATAACATGCCTGCTGGCGATGCTGTCAGATCTACGACAGGGTTCATCGTATGAAAGTTCCCTTAGCATCGCAGTTAGTAGTTATAGGGGCAAATTAATGGGGAAATCTTTTATGTGTCAAATATGTACTGGTAGGTGCGAAAAATAATTGGGGTTGGAAGCGTATAGATATACTGCTGCCTACATGATATAATATACCTACCTCCACTCCTACAACCCCACAGCCCCCAATTTTTAACCAAGTTTGAGCGATTTTTATTTTTTCGTGTTTTTGCCCCTAGCTCCGATGCCACTGGACCGATTTTCCAAAACTACAACGCACTTTCGTCCTTGGCATAGTAGTAACACTGTGTCAAAATTTCATCAAAATCCGAGAGGTACTTCAATGAGTGACATGGCTTTTTGTGATGTACATGACATGTAACATCCAAAGTGCCGATTTAGTGATACCAGGTGAGAAATGGTAAGCAAAAATAAGACTAGGTTCTGATGACTGATTTTTATACATACTTTATAAAACATTATTACAAGGTAATAATCAGCCTTGCCAGACACTCCATATAAATTAATATCTCTCTAACTTAGTTGTATGGGTGTTTAGAAAAAATATAAATAAAACAAATGATTAACTGGAGCTATAATAAACAAGGTGATTCTTATCAAAGGGTGGTTGGTATATGGCTGTCATCTGATATAAAAATGTGTGACCTCACCACAAACGGAAGAACATTCACTTAAATAAGATACAACCTGTAATAATCTTAGCGCCACTGTTTCTAAAAACATTCCCAATTTGTGAAACACCCAAAACAAGGCTGTACATGAATGATTATCGATTTTCAAAATCATAAAACCAGGCAGTGCAAATTTTCATTTGTTAAGCATAAAACACCATTAAAAAAAACACCATTTCCAAACCACCCACCACACGTGATGGAAAATGCAGCAGTGTTATAAAAAATCTAGAACTACAACAATCAAAAAGTGACATCGAAACGTTACCCTAGTGCTCGAAAACATAAAACAAACACCAATATAGTGCAAATAGCTGGATTGAGGTTTACCTGGTCTTTCTGTCACTGTCAACAAGCCAGTCCTTCTCGTTCTACCTCCTGGTGTGCCTGTGCTTTGTAAGGAATGGACGTCCTCGGGATTTGCCATCGTGTGGCGTTTGGTGTTACCTCTTCCTTGCATATACCTACATTAAAAATAAAGGTTGTTGAATCCGATAAGCGTCTAGAACGTAAAACTTCTGTTACATGTACATGTAGGAATATTTGGCTATGTTTACATCCTAGGCAGCAATGCGCTTACTGTCTTTTTCACGAGTGTATATTACAGTAAAATGAAAGCTGATTTAGTGATAATTGAAAATTCGCCATATCAACAAGTGACACAATTTTGACGGATCCGTCAATTCCAGGTAGGCAGAGCCGCGTTTTAAAAAACTGGAATCTCACCTTGCTACTGCCAATTCATCTAAAACGTGCTGGTTGTGCTCCAAAGGTTGCGTACCAGTGCCGCTGCTCAAACTAGGGTTGCCACTTGAACTGGTGGACATCATAGACAATTGTTCATGGGAACCAGGCGTACCCCAAGCCATGTGGAAGTTAGCACCACCATCTGCAATTATTGTCGCGTCACATTTGTGAATATAAGATGCTCGTATTTACTTGTAATTCAATATTCTGTTATGCAGCCGCGACTCTTATTCTACAGGGTGTACAGTGGGAAAGTTCACATTTCAAATTTGATTACGCGGCAACCGTATACGCGAGGAAGTGGGGGGAGGTATTGATCGACGCGTTGGACGTGCAGGTTAAATAGTCACAATGGAACGTTGGACCGGAGCGCAACGTGCTTTTGCTATCGAGGTTTACTTTAAGAGTGGCGATTCATACGCAGCTGCCCTTCGGAAATTTTGTGCACGATACAACATTCGCCGACCAAGAGAAACATCAACAGCTACGTAGTCGAAATGTGACTGTTTGGTGCGCCCTATCCTCTCGCGGTATTATTGGGCCGTATTTCTTTGAAGATGAAAACGGTCATGCATTGACCGTCAATCCCGAGCGATACAAGGAGATGATTGACACTTTTTTTGCTCGTATTGTAAGAATAGAACGTCGATTTAACAGAAACACGTGGTTTCAACAGGATGGGGCCACTGCCCATACTTCCAGAGAATCGATGGACACGGTGAAAGCACTTTTTCCTCAAAAAGTTGTATAGAAGTTTAGAGACATTCGGTGACCTCCTAGGTCACCCGACCTCACGCCATTCGATTATTTTTTGTGGGGTTAAAGTCAAAAGTGTATTCCAATAATCCACGAACACTGGATGAGCTTAAAGACAATATTCGACGAGAAATAAATAACATCACTCCGGAACTATGCAAAAGAGTGTTTCAGAATTTCACGCACGATTAGAAGAGTGTGTCGGAAGGGATGGCAAAGATTTGGACGGAATTATATTTAAGAAATAAAACCCGCCGAATTTACGAATATGTCGATAGTAAGAAATATTTTCTTTTCATTAAGTTTGTATTTTTTTTTCTTAAATCAAAAAGTTAACTTTCCCACTGTACAAAAGTATTTGTCAGGCAGCAGCGGTGGCCGTAGTAGTAGACTCTTCGGTCTCCTGATCAGTCGCCGTGCGCTGTGCGGGTTCGAGTCCCGTCCCAGTAGAAATTTTTCTCTTGGCTATGGATGTTGTGATTGTCCGTAGGCGGTAGATGGTCTCTGACTGTCGAACGCGGAGGTACCACCCGGCGGTTCTCGTAGGCGGAGCCAAAATGTGTGCATGTTCCCTCGCCAGAGTCCGTGTGGCGTCCCCCCCTTTCCCATGTATCCCCATATAGCCCCACGGTACCCAATGGGTGCTTAGGCCTTAGGCCTTCGTGGTAGTTGGAGTATAAAAAAAGCAGTCTAAACTTACCAGAGGCTCTTCTGCCGAAGCCTCCAGCTGCACTGAGTACCACAGGGGGTTTCAACAGATGCGGATCCTTTCCGCTGAAATAGTGAGGATTTTGTTGCGCCAAAACGGGCAGATGCAACGGCAAGTTGGTGTGAGGCAGCAGTTTGGCGCCGTTTTCGTCTTGCTGTTGTGGGTGGTGCATGTAATGGTTCTCCAGTACCTATAAATAACAAATACAATGTTTAATCATACAAATACAATTTTAAAGAATATTTGGAACAACCACAAATAGATCTGTTTCATGTTGATGCTAATTAAGAGTAGCATGTATCGTTTCACCAGTCAAAGAGACATAAATAGAACTGTTTGCCATTTTTATATAACCAATTTTCCAATAAAAAGTCATAAATAATTCACGAAACTATAACTTTACTGTTCATTAAAAGTCTTTATTCAGTCAGAGATAAACTTTCGATAATTGAACTGATAGCATTATTGATATAGTACAGATTTCAATTCTCTATCTTCAATTTTTGAGGCACAAAGTTACGATGTATAGTGACAATGGAGACCTCAAATCTGGTGGCACACCACGAGAAAATTTCAAAAACAAATAGAAGAAACTGTACCTGTTCATGTGCTGGATCACCAGGACCAACAGTATGACGTCTAGCAGTAAGGTATTTGTCACCAGATGACGCACAACTACTGTAACCAGTGGTAGAAGATTGCATTGAAACTGTGGCTGAAGAGACGTCTTCCGCTGTATCTAAATCCATCTCGCCAAACTGGAAAATAGAAAGGATTTGATCATCCAAAAAATAAGCCCTCTTGTATATAAAAGTTTATATTTCACAACGAAATGATATTCTTGATTAACCTCATAAATTTCATCTATAAAATGTTTTCAGAAATTCTAGGTGTCCGGTTACAATAGATATCCTATGCATCTCTTACAATAGAGAATTTAAGGGAATTCTCTGGAGTAGTAGTACCTTTCGGTCAAAGTTCCAAGACAACTTTAGATATCTAGATGCTAACGAGAGATACCAAACGACCTACCTTCTCCAAGGGTTGCTCTTCTCCATCCCCCACAAGATACACAGCCGGTATGGCAGGCATCGAGACGAACGGCGACCCTGACTCCTCCTCAACTTTATCGCTCTTTGCCGTACCCCTCAAACAGTTCTCGTTGAAACTGTCCCTCCTCTCGGCTGTCTCTTTGTTGGAACCGGTGGTAGAGTTGTCGGTCGTTCCAGTCACGGCAGTGTCCATTTTCTGGTGAAGCTGTTGTTCGTTGAATGAACCGCTGCGTTCGGACATGCGTGCTGGTTTCGACAACGACTGTTGCACTGGAAGAGAGATAAAAATCTATATCCGGAAATCAGGAAAAATCTGTATCCAGGGAAAGCACTGTTTCCCGACAGTTCGCCCATTGTGACGGTTTTCCCTTATAAGCACAGTACAAAGGGTACTATAAAAGTTCTGCAATATGACTGAACAAACGGACGCAAGAGGCTGCATGTCCATGAGTGCATAGTAGCCACCAGCAGCACGTCTGTTGATTTAGTTGTCAGAAAATCCCGATCTGTTAAGAAAAAAATGATAGTTGAATTTTTCTAATCGTTTTGGACACTCAGAAGACATTCACAGCTAAGTGGTACACGGGACAGTGTCATTGTCTATGAAACACCTGTGGCCAAAGTCAAGAATGGACATTTGACACCATGACAACTCTCCAGCTCTCTGCTCCAAGCCTGCACCGAGTATTTGACCACTACTGGACTGAAACTTATTGAGCACCCTCCTTACAGTCCAGACCTTGCTACCTGCGACTTTGCACTGTTTCCGCATGTGAAAATGAAGCTAAAAGGAAAACGGATATTATAGCGATGATGACCTGAGGGCTTGGGAAAACGAGTGAAACTTGCCAGAGCTGGTTTAAAGACAGGTTTTGCCGGAGGGAAAAAAGTATTTAATGTGGGGGAAATTGTTTTGAACGAAGTCAATAAATAAAGCTGTATTGCAAAACTTTTATGTTTATGTTTTACTATCTCACGTATTTTAAAGATTATATTGGAATAGAGGATGGAAATCTTAGCATTATGATGATAATATGATATTTTTAGAGTAGTTTATTTGATCTTTTTTTATCTCGATACATTTATTTTGCCTTTCAACTTTTTCGAGCGACATCTCAAAATCAGGTGCTGGGGTCTCTGGGCCTAGAACTAGGCTATCTCTGCCTCTCGGTGAATACACCACCATTTTCCAGGCGGAAATCTTTGTGATTCTGGCTTGTGTATCTCACATTCTGGAGGAGGGTGGGCCTAGGAGAAGAATAACAATCTTATCCGACAGCCAGGCTGCAATGAAAGCACTAAGTGCCTGTAAGATTACTTCGAGTCTGGTATTGCAATGCAGGGAGGCTCTGGATTGCCTCGCAGCGAGGCATCCGGTATCGTTAATATGGGTACCGGGGCACGCTGGGATAAGGGGCAATGAGACGGCGGACATTCTGGCGAAAACAGGATCAGCCAGCAAGCTCGTTGGTCCTGAGCCAGCTCTAGGAGTAACCGCGCACAAAGCTAGGAGGAAAATGGAGACGTGGGTTGCAAGACAACACTCTCAGAAATGGAGAAGTATCTCTAGACATCTCCGCCAGGCACGAGAGCTCATTGAAGGGCCCAGTGCTAAGGATGGACGCTTCTGCCTATCTCTGGGTAGAGCCAACCTAAGGTTGCTGGTGGGACTGTTGTCTGGCCATAACACGATAAGGCGGCACCTGCACGTGATGGGGGTGGCTGAGGATCCCTTGTGCGAACGCTGCGGAGTAGAGGAAGAGACCTCGGCGCACGTTTTGTGTCGCTGTGAAGCTCTGAGCTACTATAGGCAGACTATACTGGGGTCCATTACTTTGGACCCTCAGGACGTAAAGGAGCTTGGACTCAAGGCGATTCTCAACTTCGCTAAAAGGGCGAGGCTTGTGATTTAAGTATTGTAGAGGTGCATAAGGGCCCGCTTAAGCGGCCTATGCACTGGCTCCTCATGGTGGCCGGGATGCCTCTAAAATTTTTAAGATTCATTCATTCACATCTCAAAATACCGACAATTATTGTAAAATACAAATTCCATGATACAGGTTCCTGAAAAATCCATATTTTAGACAATAAGAATGAGTTTACATTAAACGGTAATATTTTTAGACAACTGTTTCAGGTGGGATGAGGATTGAGTTTATTCCTAGCTTTCCTTTTTGTAATGTTCCATATTAATCCTATTATCTTCCCCGAAAAGCCGACGTCACTGATTCGGTAAATTTTAAACTTCTCCCAACTTACCATCTTGTCCTTCCTCGATGCTCCTCCTTTGCTGGAAACTGATCGTCCTCTGCCTCAACTTATCCAGCAACAGATTATAAATCGCATAGATATGATCAAACGCCCTTGTCTTCAGCGAATGCATGATTACGTTGTGGTCCAAATTGGGCAGTTGCAGCATATGTTCAACTACTGTTGCATTAGGTTGTTGCAAGTCAGGGTCAGGCCCTGTGTCCACGGGTGGGGCATCTGCCAGCCACCGGTGTCTGACGATCTGTTGCATGCTTAGCCGGCGATCAGGGTCCACTACCAGCATGTGGCGGATCAGGTGCTCGCAGTCTGGAGAGTGAAACAGCAAGTTGAAATTAAGGATCGTTAGGTACCGATACGTATATCATCAATATCGGTTTAATTTGCCATATGTCTGCCCATACTGCCGATATATGACAACAGATTCAAGTTTTTCTAACTGTTATTCATTGTCAACCTGTCAGTTTGATGTTTGATCGTTTACAAAGAATAATTATTTATTGGGTTGTTTTGACAACTTTCTCGTGTACTTTAGACCACAGACAGACTTAATTCTTGAGGCCATAGCCTTCTTGGGTGCAATTTGCACTTATGTTAAAATGCCTGATATCGCCAAAAACTTTTGCACAATGAACGAAGGATGGGCGAACATTTTAGTCACCAATTTTTCGAAAACATTTCAACTTCAAACTCTCGTCTGGTATCTTGCAGGCGGTTCATTTGTTGATGTTGAACCCACAAGACAATTCGCACATTAAAACACTTGCGTTTTCGATTAAGCATATGAGTTACTCGCCTTTACGATAAAACATTCAAACATGCTAACGTCATCAACTGGGGATTGAAATTAAAAGAAAGTTGACCCACCCATCTCTAGGTAGACACTAAATCAGGTAAACTAACTTAAATCATACTAAGTACCTTGGAAAGTTTGTGTAAATATAAAATGTGCTTTACCTTGTGACATAAAGTATGGAATACGGAATTTTCCTTCTATGACTACATTTTTCAAAGCGTGCAGCGTGGATCCATCAAACGGCAATGATCCACAAACTAATACATACAAGACCACTCCCAAACTCTGGAATAATAAAAAAAATATTATATAAATTTTTTGACATTGGGGCATAACTCGATTTTGTATACTTACCCATATGTCAGCCTTAGGCCCATCATATTTTAGGCCCTGGAAGAGTTCAGGCGCAGCATAAGGGGGGGAACCGCAAAATGTGGACAATAAACAGCCTTCTGTGAACTGGTTACTGAAGCCAAAGTCAGCCAACTACAAAAATTTCAAAATTTAATAATTCAGGGTGGACGCAAAGCGGTATGAATCCGAACAGACAGACCATGGAGGTTATAACAACTACTTGTTGGATGAAAAAGAAATAAGTTACTTTTTATTGATTTTCATCAAAACTATAACTTTTAACGAACTGAAGTATAAAAACAACAAGAAAATCATTTTGACGTTTAGATTATATAGTTTTATTGAAACGAAATACTTATCAAACGGGCAACAAATGTGTTACAAACTAGTATTGAAACAATACCTTAATTCGTCACATCTTGATGGTATCACAAACTATATTTGTTATAAACTGTGGATTATTTACCTTTATGTTAAGATTCTGATCTAACAATAGGTTTTCAGCCTTCAAATCTCGATGTACTACCCCTTGCGTGTGACAATAGCTTACAGCTGAAACAATTTGACTAAAGATTCTCTTCGCTTCTGGCTCTGACATACGACCTTTCGCCACCAGATAATCTAAAATCAAACACACACATGTGGACCTCAACAAAGTAAATGAAGTCACATCAATATTTTTTATATTCAAACCTCCAACTATAAATCCATAGGACTAGTTAAATCCAACAGAACTAACAAACGTTTCTCTTGACAGTGCAGAGCAGTGATCATACCGACCAGTTCTTGATACGAATAGCATAAATAAAACTCAAAAAGTATGGCATCTTTTCTTACTTACCAAATATCTCTCCTTTACTTGCATACTCAGTAACCATATAAATAGTTTGGTTTGTTTCCATAAGCTGATACAGCCTGGTTATGTGCGGATGTCGAAGTTTCTTTAGAATTGCAGTCTCTCTAAATATTTTCGTCAAATTCTCTTCATCTAGTACAGTCTTATCTATGATCTTTATAGCCACCTTTAACAAAAACAACATTTTAAAATAAAACATGAATTTTGTGGTACATATAACTGTTTTCAGTGGAATTCAAACAATTAACAGACTCGACAGCGCTGAGCTAGGTGGCAGTGTAATGTCAATCTACTTGACGCGATCTTGACTTCCATACATATGAGGAAGGTTTCCGAATTTAGTGCATTTTAGGACGATCTGAGTTGAGTTAATATTAAGTTCTCAACTTGCTGCGGTGCGCGACTGATAATGTTGTTACCCTTTGGAAAATTGTGTATTGTAGATCAATATACGAGGGTAGGATGAACAGTTCTCGGACTGACAATGAAAACTGCCATTAATTTTTTACATAGTCCCTTATGACTCAAACACATTTCGGCATGGGTATTACATATCTTGGAAAGTGATATTATTATGACACTGGAATTTTACTTTTGCGATTGTTGACATCGTTTGTGACTGTGCTGTCAGTTTTGTTGATTTCCCAGTGATTTATTTGATTTTAATACGGGTGTTGGAAAAAGGTGGTCGACAGCAGAGAAATGTGTATTCTCAAGCAACCGTTTTGTCGAACAGGCAAAAAATCTCGAACGCGCCATTAGCTTTGCGAGATTTTGTCGAATGACAAATGTCGCCAGTAAGATGCAAGAAGGCAGTCTATGAGTGTCTCTAACTCGGATGCAATAATAGTATTTTAGCTCAAATGATTTGTATTATACAAGTTTTGTAACAACATGGCCCCAGGTACTTATATTCTCAAGTTTCAACAGATACATAATTTGTGACAACCATCATCCTCATTCAAAATGATTACGGGATCCTTTCCTCGTTTAGCAACGCGTTATGTTGGATATGATAAAAAGCAACAATATGTTAAAAAAATAATTATTCAGAAGCTGTCATTGCCGCAGGCAAGCAGCACAATACCTTCCGCGAATGGATTTCCAATGTATGCAGAGCGTATCTTATTTGTTTTGGTTATCTCGGCAATGATCTAGCCAGCCAGGTTAAATATTCAGATCTGTCTGCCTACATATGCGTGAATTATACATAAATATATGCTATAACAAAACGTATGTTTTCTTCTAGTATCATAGAAACGGATTATGTTACATTGGTTGGAAGTACAATCATCCACTTTAGTTAGACGAGATGCCATGCAGATATTGAAATTATTATAACCACTTCAAACTGATTTTTTCGATATACGCGTATAAGCAGCGGAGCTGACGTAATTCTCTTGAAGGATGATCAGTTAAAACGCGAATTGAGCAACGATTTCAAAAATCTGCATATTTAGCATGATTTTGTCTACAATTTTGGAGATTTTCAGACAATTATGGGGACATACACCTACAGTCTCACACAATGTTATATATTGCTGATGATCGCTCTCTATGCTTTCGTTGAAGGTGTCAAATAAAAGGGATCAAACTATACACATATAGCAAATCTCTATCATATTTATGTTTCCATGGCAAATGTAGGGGAAATATGTGGGACTTTTTACGTCTAACAGGTGTAGCAGTGTGTCAGTAACGACATCACCGCAGACCAAAGCATCCAAAAGACATATCTCGCGATTACGAAACTTCCTCGCCTATTTTGACATAGGACATAAAAATTCTTCAAGATGGCAGCCGTTAACACGAACACACTGTCGAACACTATTCGGGAGCTCTAAACAGTCGTTTACACATTTCGTGGGGAATAACGTTCTGTTTTTCAACAGTCCGCTGTCTTAGCTAAAAGGTTGTAGCTGTATCTCCATCCGCTAATCCCTCTTCCTCAACGAGATCTTCCAATTTGAGTTGGAATCAGATGACTTGTGGTATGGAGCTGCTGCTCACACGGCCCAACACTCAATGAAAGATTTGAGAGACATGTTACGAGAACGTCTAGTGTCGTTGGCAAGTGATGTGGAGTAGCCTGCGCGGTCACCAGATTTAAGCATCTGTGACTTTCTTTGGGGACACCTAAAGGAAAAGGCGTTTAGGCCCGTATCGTCAGTCGTCCCAACAATTGTAGGGCGCGTTTATGGCCTCCTTGATTGTCATCCTCCTTTCTCTCCTTCAAAAATTTCTAGATTACACTTGTCCCGTGTCAGCGTCAGCGCTCTACTATTGTGAAGATGTTTTCTTTTTAAATTGTAGGAAATTTCAGGCTGATAAAACATGATATAACTCAAAAGCAAGCACAATTTGATGCAAATAGATGTTTGTGACATAACCTCAAAATAGGGTTCCGACACGGAGAAGCAGAAAACTATGACAATCAAGGAGGCCATAAAGGCGCCCTACAATTGTAGGGACGACTGACGATACGGGCCTTAAGCATCATTCTCACGCTTCTCAAGCTGTTCGGAGCTTCTAGAGTACTTAGCTACTTAGTTTCTAACAGTGTACAGCCATCTTGAATAAATTATTGGAAAAACAGGATACACGTAAAATCAGTTGATTTCGAAATTAAAAACACTTTTTTCCTATAAATCCAGATGAACTTTTTAAAAGTCTTTGAAACTGCTTAGTTGGTTGTGCAGCACCCTATACAAACATAAGATAAAAATCAACATATTTTTTATTGAATCTAGACACTCCTGAACGGCATTTTCAACATTATAAATAATTATAATTACTTAGACTAACCGCCATAGACTTGTCCTTAGATATGTTCATAAAACGAGCATTTAAGTCGAATCAGGCGAGTTTCTATAGTTTTTCTAATAACGCTCGTACTACTACGAACGTAACAGGTCAATTCTCTAAATTAAAGTCAATCAAATAAATTGGAATCGCCATATGGCCATGTTCTCAGAGACACGCGGCACCTATGATCTCTTTGGGTATATCCCTAATTATAACAAAATAGCGAATTTGACAGTCTCTGAGAGTCATGATGGAACAATGTAGCGGTCACAAATAGTGACACAGTGTGTTTACTGTACAGCAAAGCATAACGCGCATCCGTATTATTATGCAGAACGTCCCGGCAGCTCACTAGGGATGCGGGTTATTTGAAAAATAACCGGTTAACCTATAACATTAATCTGCATCAGTTAACCGAAGCGGGAATAAAATCGGTTATACAGTTTACCGAAAATTACAGTTATTTCAATACATTAACAATTCAAGTTGTCACCATAGATACCCTGCTATGTGACAAAGCATTTTCTTTTGATAAGGCTCGCGCAGGTTCGCGTACGAAATCTCGCTGCCTTAGTTCATCCTAATATTTGCCCCCCAAAAAACACTCCTCCTTTCAGAAAAAAGATAACAACTTATATGTATAAAAAATGAATTAAATAGTCAGTGAGTCAGTCAGTCAGTCAAAAACGCATATACAAATTCGACCTTTTTTTATGAGGATATTTGAGGGATGGGGGTTGTAGGAGGTAGGGGAGGGTATATGATTTTTTTTATCTTAGTATATTTATTCGCTCCCAACCCCGGCAATTATATGTACCTATAAGCCTTACTTCACACATCATAGGTATACCCGTACATTTGCCTTTAAAACAGAAAGAGAAATGTTTTCGATCCGCGTACTCCTACCTATGAAAGCTCACCACCTGGCGATTGAGTCCGGCTTATACATATATGTATTCATACTGAGGCGCAAAAAACGTATGGACTGCACTAAATCAAAGATAACTCACTAGAGCGATGCTGCACAGATGTGAAAAGGGACAATGTTGCCACATGGTTAGAAACTACCAGTAGAGCATTTAAAGACTGTCTATGGACTAATTGTATGGGCTTGTCTAAATGACTTAATATGTTTAAATTCTCTGTTGTACATGTCCATAACTCAATGTTTTCTCAGAGGATTTAAATTGTGCTGCACTTAACCTTTCATGAACTGATGGCGGTGTTGCGTAGGAAGTGCAGAGTCAACCCACTTGACGCCATTTTTTCTCAATCCCTAAAGCTCACTTCCACTTTTGCTATCTAGGAGAAAGGAATATTTGAAACATGTAACCCAGCCACGCGTCACGATTGGTCCTGGCATCTTTGCGCAGCGTCTGTCGAGGTCATAGAGATTCGCCCAAAAATTCAGCGAATTTCTCAAGAAGGCATGTTGGTGGATAGTACTAAATATGCTGTGGTATGTTAATAAACAAATTGTCATTCTTCTTTTCTTCTTCACAATGGTTGGCATTGGTTAAACCTTTTACATAGCCATATGACAATAATTACACTAAATAAAATTCATGTTCAAGTATTTTCAAAAAGATCTAGTTTCCCAAATCCATGAAAAAAAATTATCTCAGTTCTCAAGTCTGAGGATATCCAAATGAACTTTTGCAGATACTAATATATCGCATAGAAATTCTAATTAAAACTATCTCAAGATGGGATATTAAATACTATTAATTCAATTACGGTTCTATAAACTCTAGGCAGCAGCGGTGGCTGCAGTAGTAGACTCTTCGGTCTCCTGATCAGTCGCCGTGCGCTGTGCGGGTTCGAGTCCCGTCCCAGGAGAAATTTTTCTCTTGGCTATGGATGTTGTGATTGTCCGTAGGTGGTAGACGGTCTCTGACTGTCGAACGTGGAGGTACCACCCGGCGGATCTCGTAGGCGGAGCCAGAATGTGTGCATGTTGCATGCACACGTGTTCCCTCGCCAGAGTCCGTGTGGCGTCCCCCCTTTCCCCTGTATCCCCTATAGCCCCACGGTACCCAATGGGTGTTTAGGCCTTAGGCCTTCGTGGTAGTTGGAGTATATAAAAAAAACTCTCATTTTCTAAAAATTTTCAAACTAGCAGCAGTTCAATGACAGTATAAGTTATTAAACTGTGAATACACTGACAATTAAGATTTGGATAATTAGAGAAATTGATATTGAAAAGTTCTTAAAATACTGAAAACTAAAAGAAGTTGAATCTTCTGTAAATCCAGCATATTTTGGAAAACTGAAAACTCCAAAAAAGTAAAAATGTTCGGAGCTCATCAAAATTTTTAGTAACCTAAAAACTTTAGCCATGTTCTGGAATCTAAAAACTGATTATACTCTGTGTAATGGACTTTCACATATAACTTAAAATAAAAGTGAATAGAATTAGGAATTTATTTTTGTTTTACACAAAAATATATCTTTAGGTAACAAGTCCGAAGACATAGGAACTGACACAAAGTTTTATCTGTGCTATGGTACCTTACTGTATATAAGAAATAGTCAAGGAAGTTTTTTCAACAGGAAATTCTCATCCATTTTCCATGACATTTTAAAGAAGAGGTAAATCTATCAAGAGTCTCTGAAAGGTTCCTCTTCCAAATATGATGTCCCCTTTATTGTATCTTATCTGACTGCAACTAAATATCACCAACACTCTTAGATCTCTCCAGATCATATCTTACTTCTGCCAATTTTTAAGATGCAAATAATCAAAATCAAATCTATTAAACATTTTCAGTAACCAGAAACATCCTTCTGATGAATTAGATCAATTTCATTAAAACATTCTGTTAACATTCTACCTAATTTAGTCTGATATAAAAATTTCATAATACTGATTTTTTAACAATTGAATTACAAAAGCCTTCAAAATAATATCTGATTTAAATCAAGAGCATATCCAACCCTACCTATGGAGGGGGCTATAAGATGTTACACCTATTAACTCTACTGTCAAAAAAATAGTCCCTAATCACACATAATAAACTTGAAAGGCATTTTCTACATTGTTGTTTTGTTAAGATTTTTTGCTTGACATTTTGTCACCACTTTCTGCCTCCATCTCTCTATATGAGCTAGTAAAGTAGCTATAATCAGCACAATTTCAGGTCTACACTGTGATTATATATTATATTAATAAGTATTATGATAATGAATTCTACACTACTAAACTTTTGATCAAATCTGTTTTGTTTTTGCCAATATTTTTTTTGCTGCAAAGCTAGATTATCAGTACAGTATCAGAAAAAGACAGAGGCTTCCCCACAAAACTGTAAATGCAGAAAAAAAAATCAAGACTTTTTGAGAACCATGTGTCCTGTGGGGGCAAGATACGGACCTGTAGATGTTTATAGATAACTTCTGGCATTCAATCTTTCAAATGTTTGAATGCAGTGTACAGTGTGCCTAGGTTGATTCCTTATGTATTGTTTTTAATGTCAATATAGGCATCAACATTTTAGTTGGTTCTGGTGGGTAGAGAAAGTGCTAATGCATCCAAGAAACTGTTTAAAATATGCACCTTTACATAATAACAGACTTTAATGTTTACTAAATGATAAAATTTCCAATGCCAAATTCACAATTCGCCCTTGAGCGTACATAACCTATAAATATTTACTGAACAAATTAGTACCTATTGGAATATTTCAAGATTCACGGATTATTCCGCGTATTTTTTACTGCTGTCGAGCAGCTGATAAAATGGTACTTTTGCGTTTTCCATACATCTGCTAACTAGATAGTGTACAAAATTTGATGCCCAATGTAGAGTGCGCAACAAAAAATAAACAAAACAAAATTCAAGTGGAAAAGTACGAATTTTATGCATTAGTAAATGATCATAATTGAATTTGCGGCGAAATTAGGAAAGGAAATAAATATACAAAAATTACATGCGTTTTGACATTTGAGATGTTGTTATCCAGATAGATACTGCTCACCTTAGTTCTTGTGACTATGTGTGTAGCTAGTTTAACTACAGCGAAATTTCCTTTGCCTATGGTTTTGTCCAACTCGTAATAGCCGACCCGCACTAGTTTTTCCACTGGAAAACCTTTTGTAGACATTTTTCGATTATATTTCCTTTTCCCCGATCCGTTGTCGCCACATAAAAATCCACAGACTAGACGTAGACTTCAGTACATTTTCGCGATGTTGCCACTTCCCTTCAGATAATCTCCAGGAACCAGTATTTTTCAAAAATCTTATCCAATTATATTATTAATAAAAAGTGCGAATACTGAGCAGCAAAGCATATGAATTTATATTATGTTTTTTGAACATCTACCGACCAAACATTCATTCAGTGTGTTTCGAAAATATTCAGTAAGCATTTGATGTCTGATTCTTTGAACGACTGAACGGTGAACGGCGCTGTTTAGCTAATTGATGAAAGTATTCTAGGATAGCCAACCTTATATTGTATTCCAGCCCCCAAAAGAGATGTGAATGATATTAACGGCATCTGTGAGACAGGAGCAGAACAGAAAAATAAATTTAAGAATGGACTTTGGAAAGTGTCTGGTTTTGCTACTGTCTCATCCCTTTTGTGCCGCTCTAATGCCTATTTTAATTGGGAATCATCAAGCACTGATTAACGTATTTAACTTGAAACTACCCGATTGAAATATACTCATTCAATGGTCCAAAATGGATCGTAGATCCCTCGTCAACTATGAAAGAGTAACAGAACCAAACACCCTAACTCTTTTCAACATAGATCACTAAATTCAGTTTTGTGATCTGCTACTGTTTCATAAATGGTGTTGGTGTCTTTCAGATTCCTTTTTGGACATATTATTTATCGACTGCTTCCATCATCTTGGAAATATATGTAGTACACAAATTATGAGATTACTTTTAGGCTTCTGTGTCCAAATTCTTAGGGACCGAGTCAAAATGAAGGAAGATTGTTTTTTCAAAAGCTGTTAATTTTTTCAATATCAGACAACAGTACTTTTTCAGCAGATGTATCAGGTTTCCCAAAAATATCATTTTTGGGCAACAATTATATGATAGGAGCTGTTTTTTATTTAGATTTTTTGTCGTGTGGTATATTAGTTGAATCTACAAAATCACGTGTCAGGCGGCAACGTCGCACTTTTCACATGTAGATCTTTCTTATCATTTACGTCATTCGACGTCATCACGGTACGTTGCCGGACGAAAAATTTTAGTTTTCCCGGCAACGTTTCCGCCAATCGATTCTAGTTTTCCTCTTGAACGTTCTCTTGCTCTTTTTGTACGTAATAACAGCAGGCAGCCGTGGAATTTTGAGTCTCAGATCGAATTTTGAAGCCAAGCAAGCCGGGAAGCGCAACGTGTTGCATAATTAGAAGGCGCTTTGCTTTGTCTCTGCACACAGAAAACTCCCCGCCAGGAAGAATTTTTAGATGGAAACGTGATCATCGACTTTTGTTATAGGACAGTCAAACTGGGGACAAGACATTTATTTAGTCCAGAATTCGAATATTGCTTTCTAGAAAATGTACCGTAAATAGTGACGCACGTTAGGAGATATTTATATACAGCGAGTCTCAAAACGTAAATAACAAATTCTTATAAAAATTTCTTAGGAGTTTTCTTTATAAAGATATGGGTATACGGAATGTCCTAGAAAATAAAATTCTTTAGGATGCTTCTCGAACACAATGCCACAAATTCCCAGGACCGTCTTGAGCTATTTCGAAAAATTGTCAAGATATGGGTGCAGCATAAGCCTGCATAGATAGTTATAGGTGGTCCATTACCAACATTTTTTGTAAATAGTTTGTTAAATTGTTGCTTCCTATCCCTTACATTACTTCCAAGTAAATATTGTGTAATGAGCAAACATCAAATTAAATTCATGTTATTTTAAGAATTTTTCAACATTATGTTGTTTTTTTTTTCAAAAACGAACATACAAATCGATACCAAGAAACAAAAGATTGTTTTTTATGCTTAATTTGAAAATATATATATATATATATATATATATATATATTTCTCAATCTTATTCTTGAGACTATTTCCTGAGAAATACCATTCTCCTCTAGTACATGCTAACTATTGACTAACGAATTTCACCTGCTAACTAAGTGTCTCATTTCAGTGAATAACTGCCAAAATGCAACAAAATCGGCAGCAGGATCTTCGAGACATTAATAAAAAAAACAATCCTATTTAAACTTTAACACCATGTATCTTGAAAATCAGACATTTTATATGAACTTTTCTACTTAAATTTGGTTCAGGAATACACCCTAGCCCATCACCAAGTAACATCCTACAGTAAAGAACTGTCAATACACGTGGTTTTATTGGCCAGACAAGCTTGGGGGATTACCCTGTATATGGTTGGTCAAAGTCACAGAGACTGAAAGCAAACAGGTCTTATTCAGTCTATATTTTTATAATGGTGTCGAAAAGTGGTCACCAGCGATAGCCTAGTGTACCGACACTTTAAACCTGAGAAAACACCCAATCCTAGTTTTACCGTGCTATTTTTAAAGCCATAAACCCGATGACGTAAATAGAGGTACATCTGACACAGTTTACACGTTAAATATACCTCATGCACGTACTCTCAACCCGCTCGATGCATATTTTTTCTTTATCTCCATCTTTTGACATTAATAATTGAAAAGCAGTGACGCAAAACACGATTTAATTTATTTCCGCCCTTATTCCTTCAGCTTAACCGTTGCTGCTGATGGCTGGAAAAAGCAATGCTAATTTTTCTGAATATATAATAGTATTCACTGTAACTAAATTTAGAAAATAAATCTCAGAACGATCAGAATACATATTCATTCATATGGATACTTATATTGCCGCACTATCCTTACTTTTCTTGAGGCGATTTTCACTTAATTCTTAATGTGTGAAATAAAAAACAGGGGGCTAGTCTTGCTGATGGTTCAGTCTGTCATTTAAAGGTACAAACAAGTACAACTGTGACTTGAAAATTACGCTTTTACTTTTTTGCTTGTGTTCCTCAAATTTCGGAAATAGATTCCCAAGTATTCATTTGACTAGAATGTCGTTTTCGTAAATAAAGGCAAGCGCCTTCCAAATCATAATAAGAAAACTTGCCAAGAAATATAAAACCGAGACAAATTATACTGGTATAAACTGATCTGTGTGTTTTATTTGCTGTCCAGTATTTTCTTATATTTTACCGAAAAACCATACGTCCTCTGCATAATTTATGAAAAGCTTTTAGAAAGCACATTTTTGAATACTACAAGAGAAGCCTAACCTACTCAAATGTGGCGACTGTCGGAGAGGATAGTTATTTCTCATACAACATTAGTAAATATTCCTTTTATTGTCAAAAGATGTTCTTCACATGTATGTTGAACCCAGTAGTGTGTCTGTGATTCCTTGAAAGCATCCATCTCTTAAGAGGAAATGGCAGTGAAGTCATGAAGCAAGACATCAGAAAGTGTGTGTTATTCATATTTTGAGCAAAAGTTTAACATCTTAACATTATAAAATCTTTGCCACATTAGTGTATTTGTGACTTCTTTGAACTTCCTCTCTGTCTGATTGGAATCTAATTTGAACAAAATATGAATACATAACACAAATTACATATAAGTAAAGCATTACTTACACAATATATAAAAATAAAACACATAGACTGTAAACACATAAAAATATACTCTGTAAAATAAATTACTTATAGGCTAATATTAATAAGCATGTTCACATCTTGTAGCTTAAAAATGCTGTGGTGAATGTGAAACTAGATGAGTCGGAACATAGCATACATCTTTTATTTGAATCCTAAATCTAGCTGCCATTCAATGAACTATATTTGAACTGACTAGCTGTGTATGGAAAGGCACCTAATAAATATGTGCTTTAATCCTATACCACTTAATAGCTTCTTCATTCAAAGTTCAACAATTAAATATCCTATATTTATATCTGGAATCTATATATATTGAGCAAGGTGATATTTGAAAGGTTGCAGAAAAGTTAGTTATTTGCATGTGTGTTGTCTAAAAGGAATTAAGTTAGAACCTTCCAATTTAGTATGTGGTATACTACATTATTAAAGACAATCTTTATCCATTCACATAACATTTGAAGCTTATGTGACTCTTTGGATGTAAACTATTTTTAAAAGCTATATCAGATTGCATCAACTAGTTCTATCTTAATGACCAATTCATAAGAAATCTCAGTTTTTGAAGTTTAAATAAGAAGATTCTACCTTTATCTCCCTATTGTCCTGTTTTTAGGAGATCATCTAGATCAGAATATGGCAGAAATATGTATCTAACATACATAATTTTAACTAAATGTTGTCTACAGTAACACCGATCCTAAACTCAGTAGCTGGATCTTGTAATACCTGTCTAACATTGTTCTCAAATCTATTCCTGATACTTGAGAACTCCATAATGTCTTTGGGTTTACACTCAACCCAAAATCTGTCAAACTCATAAAACAGATAACTATAAAATTGATGAAACAGTCTTATAGAAGGCAAGCTTTTTGAGGTGTTGTACACAAAAGTTTTTGCACTGCCATCTCTTAATAGTATTAGGGCTAAACTAGTGAGATTGATACCTGTAAAAAAAAGTTTCTAGTAGTATTGTTTGTGTGTTAGAAATATTTTAGTATGATGAACTTATTTAACACAAAATGATATTACTAAACTAATGTATCGTTTTTAAACACTATATGGTATATGTCCAAATATACATAAAAATATAGTTTTAATAATACATACCTACAATGGCAAAGCAGTAACCATAATTTGGATGATGAGAATGTGACAGTACATGTTGCGCTGGAGTACGATATTGTGTGGCAAAAAATAAGAGGTTTTCTAGACCTAGCAGGCCCATGCCTCGAAAATCAGTTTTCGGATCTTCACCTTGAAACCCAATATCTTGCCATTGCTTTGTTATCCTATCTGGAAGGTAATACAAAAGTACTGAAACTGACACCTTTGTTTTGTTATACTATCTAGAAGGTATCAAAGAATAAAAAAAATTAATAGAAACAAAATTAATTTGAGTATCATACTTTGTAGCCTTTCTTGTGGCATTAAATTCTCCCAAAGCTCATACAGCTTGCTTTCATGGTGTATGTTTTCACTGTCAAATGTAGTCCTCCGGAGCTCTTCTGCTTCTGCTATCAATTGCCTGTAGCCCCAAATTTGCTCCATACATTTACTGAAGCTGGTTATAAATTGATAATGTACCCTTGGATTTATTTTCTTTACTAATAATACTGTGTTTACAGCTCCTCTGAGAATCTCTCGTTCGTTCGAACCAGTGAATCTTTGATTGTCAGATACATTGTTTAAACGTTCTATAAGCTGTCTGATTTGTTTAGCTCGAGACATATTAAGTGAGTATTCCACAGCTTTCACCCTAGGCGCACCGCTTACTTCTCCGTAACATATCCGTTGAAGCTCGCACAAGCCAGTCGTTTTCCTCAGAAACCATTTTATTATGGGCCGTACGTAGTAAGAAAATAACCACCAAATTGAAAAATTCATCATGCTGGATGTGAACATCTCAAAAATTTTATGAAATGCATCATAAATTGTGATAAACGTTCAGTACAAACACCTTTAGACTAAAAGTAAACACAAACGTTTATGTAGGTTAAGATAAGTTGTCAATGTCAAGAACTATCGTTTCAAAGGACACTGTGACTTAGATATGAAGATTGTGAAGTCATTCAGTCTAGGAAAGATAGGGAATCCGTTTCGCCATTTTATCTTATGCATTTATTTGTGTCAAAAGAATGATATGTGACCTAAACCATAGCTTCATGTACCAAATTACATTTTTCATATTTTACCATTCTTTTTATTTTAGTTACGAGTAGTAGATGGTCAATAGAAGTATTTTTAACACTTACTGACAGGGCCGTATGCTCCGCTGTTCGATTTTCGTCCCACGGCGCGCATGACGTCACGCGGAGAGTGATTATCATTTGGGTTAGTATGGATAACGTGCATATTTTCACTTACAGGCCAAACGGCTGTAGGGATTTTCACATATAAGGTGTCGTTGGATTCGTCTTAGCGATGCGAGAGACACTGGTTACATTGAGATTTTATAAAAAACGAAATGGTGGATTTTAATAAAAGATTTCAACCCTGTAATTCCTATTTCACAGGCTATAGCTTAAATGGCTTTTAGCTCCACAATAGAGCGTATCGTCTCTTCACTGTAAAAACAAGATAACTCCATTTTTCTACATTACCTATATTTTAGTATGTTCTGTGGAGCAGGATTAACATGTTCATGTCATAATACTGTACTACATTTATCCTTATTCCACAGAACATCCTAAGGTGGTGGTATAACAATAAATGGAAATGACTTAGTTTAAGCAACAATTTTTTTACCATTTCCTTTTACGATTTTTCTGGCCTTTCAAACTATTATTCAGTTCTTTGATCCGGAAGAACATCCTTGACCTGAAAAACAGTTTTTTAGCTTTTGCAGGGCAGTCAATGTTGCTGCTCTTCAACAGAAGTTCACCTATAAAATTTTGCTTTTTTGTGTCTATTCCGTCCCCATTGAATGTAGTGAATACCTTGCACAGCTTCTCAATTTGATTCATGAAAGTTGCGGAAGGTTTTGATAATCCACCCTCACTAAGATGGTCTATCCATGAATAAGTATCATTTGAGGAACTTTTCAACCTCTCATCCTGCAATTTATTTTGAACAAAGCCGGCCAAATTTTCCAGCCCGTCATACTCGAGCTCATCTATTTCTTCCACTAAACCTTGCTCGGTATAGTCAGCTGATACTTCAGGTGCATTCAGTTTATTCTCATTAATGATGCGGTTAGTGGTTAGTGGAATGTCTGGAATATCCTCTGACTCTACGCTGCAATAGGTGCTCTGAGTATGCGCCTTCGTTTCGCCCCAACCTATATGACCTTATTCTATACTTAAACTCTAGTGAACTGTAGTAACGTTACGACAATCCTGCCGCTGGTAACCACGAGCCGACAACTCTCCGGGTGACGTCACGAAGCTCCGCCCACATGCACATTATCCTATCTCCAGTGTATGTGTATCGTGAGTTACTGATATTTTCGTTCTGCTTTCTTTGCCATTGGATAAACAACTGTCATCGTCATATGGTTTTGTGATGTTTTGTGTTAAAATTGACACTGCAAGGACGTCAAGGATATTCTTGTTTTTCTCGTTTCCCATATTTTAAACGAAATGACGTGATTAATCAATAAAATATTCTAGTAAATGGTGACGTTAATTTGCTTCTAGTTTATCAAAGAACCTCATATGCCGCGAATTTGTAGAAAAATGGACGAAAACAGCGACTTCAGCGGAGAAGTTACCGTTGTAGATGTTTATGACATTGCTTCTGATATTGGGAAGGAATGTGAGAAGGTGATTTTCATTAGATATTCTAATAAAACCGCCCAAATGATGAACGTTTACCTTTTCTCGTAGATAATAGATTTGTACGGCGCTGATGCTGTTACAGCTTTAATGCCCAAAGTGATAAATGCATTGGAGCAGCTGGAAAATCTGGCTACTAAGAACGAGAGGGAAAACACCTTATTGCATGAATTACAATCCAAGATAGCACAGCTGGAAAACGATAAATTAGAGAAAGCTGAATACCGAAAAAAATTCGAGAGGGTAAAATCCTTACAAATGTTGCCAAACCCCAAGTGAATATTTTTTTCTAGGAGTTAGAGGCTATAGAAGATCAATGGCGGTCAGAGACCAAAGATCTGATATCATTAGTATCAAGACTACAAGAAGAAAATCGTCGTCTTTTAAAAGAACAGAGCCCTGAAATGACACCTACACAGTTACCTGCAACACCTGATGGTGATATGCTGCAGAAACTGAAACAGAGCATTGAAAGGCAAAGAGATGAGATACGCTTTAAGGAAAAGCTTTTGCAGGAAAAGAACTCTGATGTTGACAATGTGAGTAATCAAATTGAAATTTACAATTTATTTTGTGACTGAAGTTGAAGAGTACAAAAGTGCAGAATTTTGCAATATGCAATTTTTTGTGTATGTAATTTAATTTATGTATTAAGTTTTTATGATTTTTACGCATTTATTAAATAATTGTATATGTATAAAAAACAAAAAATATAATTGCCTCCTGTGAGGTTTGAACTCACGACCCCTGGTTTACGAGACCAGTGCTCTACCACTGAGCTAAAGAGGCTTGGCAGGTGGTTTATCCAAAGAGCATATTTAAGCTAGAGGACCACATAACTTTGAAAATATTTTTTGTAATGTAGAAAACACACATGAAAAACAAAAAAAAAACTGGCTGGTATCATGAAAACACATTGTTTGCATTGTAACAACAAGGAAATGATTACAGTAATTACAAAGGCTGTTCAGAAAGTTTATCTAGGCAGTTGAAATAACCTTAATCAAGTGATTTTTTTTTTTTTTATTTCGAAGCAGCCGCGCAGGCAGAAGCCCAAATGCCGGAACACCACGGCTGCTATGATGATCCCAAAGAAATTTTATTAATACGATTTTTGAACTGCCTAAGGTTAATAGAACTGGGAAAAGCCTCCTCTTGTAGATTATTCCACAATCTCGGGACAAAGGAGCGGTCGTATCGGCCGGTTCTGGATGTACGAAGTTCGACACGGTTAGGATGGGACGCCAAAGTTAGGCGGGTCTGTATGGCAGGCACCTCGCGCGACGGCATCATGGAAGAGAGCTCCGAGGAGCAAAGGCCGTTGGTGTAACGGTAGAAAAGAGCCGAGAGAGTCCCGAGACTGTCTGTTAGAGAAGAGTCATCGATCAGTCGGACCGCCCTCCTCTGGACAGCATCGAGCATGGATAATGTAATCGGGGCGGCAGCACCCCAAACGTGCGAGCAATACTCCAGGCTAGGCCTTATCTGGGCCTTGTATAGAGTGAGAAGGTCATGCGGAGAAAAGTACTTCTTAGCCCTAAACAAATAGCCTAGCTTTTTTCCAGCAGCTGCAGCTATTGACGAGATGTGTTCGTGCCAGATCAGGTCCTCGGTGATCTGGACTCCGACCAGCCGAAATGAATGGCTCTTTGGCAGAACTCGACCATCCATCGAAACCGGGTGAGCGCAGGGACGCTTCTTGTTCGTCAGAGTACAGTACTGCGTTTTGGAAGCATTGAACTGTACAAGATTGTTGCGTCCCTAAGCAGTGATAGCCTCCAGGTCTCTTGTCAGAGAGGAAGTCATCGCTAGTCTTCTTTTTTCCAACTCAGCGGCAGAGATCAGCTTGTCACACTGAATTCCTGCATGTAGAGTGCTGTCATCAGCGAAGCTGTGGATTGGGTTGATCGTGCAGGAAAGGAGGTCGTTGATATGTAACAGTGTCGGAGCCAAGACCGATCCCTGGGGAACACCCGCGTTGACGTTGTGGAATGAAGACGAGAACCCGTCAATTACGACGGATATCTTGCGGCCAGAGATAAAGTCAGCCACCCATCTGCAAAGCTTTTCTGGGAGGCCATAGGATGGAAGTTTGCTTAAGAGGGCAGCGTGCCACAGCTGATCGAACGCTTTCGTGATGTCAAGAGCAACGATATGAGCCTCACCATAAGACTGGATGAGTTTACTCCACAATTGAGTGACGTAAGCTAGGAGGTCCCCTGTGGATCGTTGGTGCCGGAAACCATACTGCCTGTCGCTAATCAAGCCGTGACGTACGAGGTAGTCCAGAAGCTCGCGATTTATGCACCTCTCCATCACCTTACTTAAAACAGAAAGCAGAGCTATAGGCCTGTAGTTGTAAGGGTCGGTCTTAAATCCCTTTTTTGGGATGGGTTGGACATGAGCAAATTTCCAGTTTTCTGGGAAGGTGCCGGATTCATAAGATATCTGGAAGAGACGCGAAAGAACTGGAGCAAGCTCCGGTGCACACCTCTTCAGTACAATGGCAGGAATCAAGTCCGGACCAGAAGCTTTGTTGATGTCGAGCGACAAGAGCACTCGTCTTACGGTCTTAGGCCTGAATGTTACCTCCCGCATAGTGTAGGGAACCCTTTGAATTGACGGCACTTGGGCGTTGGGGGGGACGTCCATGGTGGAGATGGCAGCAAAGATCTTGGCTAGCACTTCCGCCTTGGCCTTTGAGTTGAATACAATAGTTCCATCCTGACACATGAGTGGTGGAAGGCTACTGTGTGAGAAGTTCTTTTCAGTCTGCTTGGCCAGCGTCCAGAAAGACCGACTACCATTGCGCTGCGACATTACCCTGATGATATGGTATTAATTCATTGTTAAAAATAAATAAATGGTAGCATTTTGTAAGTTTGTTAGCTGGCGTAACAAAGAATGTAGTTTGACTCAGTAATTCCCATTCAGTAATAAAAATACATTTATGAGCTTGTACACATTTACCCTATTTCACAAGTATCCATTATGCCTTGACAACCATTGAGGTGAACAGCTGATCAGCAAGTGACATTTTTGTGTTGGTCTGCAACATTGGCTATAATGAATCAGGTATATATCTAGCAAAAATTTGTAGCGTTTTGTTTTTTGTATGCAAATGAACGTTTCTAAATACACGAGCTTTTAAAAACCAAAACACAATATGGCTCTCTCTATCTGGCATTGACGAATCCGTCAGCATTAGCTGTCCTTTGCTGACATGGGAAATTTTGAAATATTACTAGATAACCAGATGTCATTCTACCGTGATGGATACTCGGGTATACAAATTCTGAATGTGTAATTATTTGGAACAGTTGAGAACCCAAGTTGAGCGCCTAAGCACGTCAAGCAGGGAGCTGCGTCGCAAGCACAAGTCAATGCAAGCTCAAGTACGAACATTGTGCGATGAAAGAGCAGATTTTTTGGTGCAACTGCAAGATCAGCAAAGAGACATATCTGCTTTGAGGCAGAGGTTGGGACTTGCTCAAAAGGAAAATGAAGATTTGGTTAAGGTTGGTACTGTTACAATCTGACATATTGCAATTATCTATTTTACATGTAAATTTTCAAAATGTTGTCAGATAAGTAATTTGAGATGCTAAACTCATGTAATCCAAAAAAAAACTGAATTGAACCTCTAGTCTTTCAAATTGACATCAGATTTGGAATCTATGCATTTGCTTAACTCAGGGAACATGCGTTCATTTAGATTACAAAGTAGTTAAGATTTGAAATTGAATATCTTGTTTTACTTACAGTTTTGCCATGCAAAATGAATATTTTCATAGTTACCTCTGTAGCAACCTGGTACATGGTGTAAATTCCCATGGGACCAGTGAATTTGAATAGTAATAGTTTTATAGCATACTTTTGACTCATTTGACTACCAATAATACTTGCTGGTGGAAACATCTACCTTCATTACGTTGCTCTTTGCAAATTATGTAATGAATACCATTTCTTGAAGTCGTCTAACACCAAAATTATCTGCAAACAGTCGCACTATATATACGAATTCAATGATAGAAATGTAAAAAAATTTAATTATGTCAATTGCATTTTGATTCTGACAGACTATGAGAATTAGGAGACAAACAAGCTAGCTTCTTCTACCTAGTCTGAATTCGTTGAGTGGGGCTGAATAAAAAAAAATGAGTTACAAGAAAGTCCTGCTGTACCTTTCAAACACCCAACATCTTTTTTTTGAACTTTTTTTCCGAAATAAGATAGGTTATTGTTTGTTAATTTTGTATAACTATTCTGTTACACATATTTTGAATAAGTTTTCTGTATTTTTATTATACTCCAGCTACCACGAAGGCCTAAACACCTATGGGGTACCGCGGGGCTATAGGGGGATACAGCGGTAAGGTAGAACGCCACACGGACTCTAGCGAGGGAACACGTGTGCATGCAGCATGCACACATTGTGGCTCCGCCTACGAGATCCGCTGGGTGGTATCTACGCGTACGACAGTCAGAGACCATCTACCACCTACGAATAATCATAACATCCAAAAACATCTCTTGGGACGGGATTCAAACCCGCGCAGCGCACGGCGACTGATTAGGAGACCGAAGCGTCTACCACTGTTGCCACCGCTGCTGCATAGAGAATTTTAAATTGTCTATTAAAATTATGTTTTCTACGCATTTTGGATATTGATAAAATGATGTTTAATGTCACTTTGAACATTTTTAAATTCGAACACTGATTAAATTCTCCCTTTTGAAATAAATATTTGCTAGTTATGGTACTATTACAATTTTATAGATGAAAACTATACTTACTCCAGTTTCAAAATTATGATAATGACATGATTAATTTTGTGAAGTTTTCTAAATGTGGTGGTGCCAAATGATTTTTCAATTAAATATGAAAATGAGCCCTAAATATCATCACATACAACGACCACAGATCTTCTAGCATAGACTCAGTTTTAGCATATTTGTTTTTGTTTGAAATGATTCTTATAGCTCTGTTTTGTAGGATTTGTAATTCTGAAAATATGTTTTCATTTACTGTAAACAAAATAGTTGAACAATATTAGAAGTGGGGAAGGATTAGGGTTATACACAATTCTTTTACAATAAATACATTGAGATTATGGGAAACTCTATTTATTTATCTTTTTTGAAATTTTAAAAAAATGTAATCATAGTGATGTTGTAGTTTACTATCCATATATATTCACAGATATTTGAATGATTCGGCTACTTCAATCATTTTTTATCATTAATCACGAACCTAATTGTATTGTCACATAAATGTTTCCTCCCCCCGTTGACACGCATTTTGTTTTATTAGTGTTTAATTTCAGTTCATTACTATTAAACCAATGCATACTTTTTTAATATCACTATTTAACAGTTCTAAAGCAATGTTCAAATTTTTATGATCAGAAATTTTAGAAGCATTTAATGATACAATTATTCTATTACGTAATGTTCATTTTAATAGTTTATACTATTTTATATTTAAAAATATTGGTTTAGTGGCTCGTCCAATGGCTAGACGTAACATACTTTTAATCTGACGACGCAATAAACGCATAATATTTAAATAACGTATGCATTTGACAGTGTGATCTTCCGATACCGAGCAATAAGGCTGTATACGACTTAGATGACCCGAACAGACCTCGATTCACGACTCAAGAGCTCAAGGACATCTTACATGAACGCAACGAACTCAAGGCGAGAGTCAGCGATTTAGAGGACGAGCTGGAGACATACAGGCCTAAGAACAAAGCTGAAACGTAAGTTTACATCTGATTAGAATGTTAGAAAGCTGTTCAAAGAGCATATTCGTTAGAATTTCCTCATTCACGATCGCTTCTTTACGATAAATTTTTCTACAATGCTTATTTAATGTATGTTTTTTGGCGTTATTTTTATTATTTGTTGTTTAAATTTTTTATTTTTTTTTGTAGTTTGAAGAAGCTTGTACCTATGATAGATAAAATAGAAATAGCATGTGATAAGTTATTGAGCACAAATAAAACAGCGGCACAACCTGCTCTTTCGCCAGTAGTTGATTTGTCGTAAGTTATTTTTTCTTTTTTTAATTGGTCCCTCTTTATGATAATTTAATTGTTATTCTTATTTGCGATCGTACGCTAAAAGTATACTTCATGAACAAATTTTCTGGGCGTTGAATCGCACAGCCCACGGATTTCTTTCCGTTGGACATAATATGGCGATCACGGAAGCTGTCCTTATTTGTTTGCTAGGCAACGACGCAACTATCGGTGATGCAATAACACGGTCAATTTATGTTGTGTTTTTAAAATATTTGAGTTTTCAGGTGAAGTAAAAATCTCAGTATATTTCTCATACAGCTGTCATTTTAATAATTGAGATTGCTTTCCAAGCAAGCTGAAATCAATTCAATGTTACGCTAATTTTTTTGGATGGTAAATTCATGTTTTTACTGTATTTATGTAGACCTCTGGACGAGGATGCTCCTGTACAAGGACCACTGCCATATGAACCGGACGATGCTCCGTGGAAAAAGTCTGAATCCGGAATTAGAAAGTTGTAAGTAAAATGTTCCATTTTTAACGCAAGTTTATTCTATGAATATCCGTTCACGTTGGAATCTTTTGGCATGCGTTTATACGCCAGACTCTCGTTTTCTGTATTTATGTCGAAATATTTTGCTATAACCAAGACAAAATATTTCAGCATACGGGACGGCCATATATCCTGGATATGAGCTCTATCTCGTCTCTATCTTGACAATATTGTCTGCAATACATGGACACATGCGCTTGTCAGAATTTCTCATCAGACAACGCTTACTAGGTAAAACGGTTCTCGGGCGAAAAGCAGAGCAAAAGCAGGGAGAGACGAGTTTATATTTAGCACAAAGACGCTGCTATCATCAATATATCATAAAATACTATATCAAGGATATACAACAAGCAAAGAATCAGTAGGTGTCTAAGATGATGCACTTTCACAGTCAAATCCTATGTTTGAAGTATCTTGAGTGCAGAAAAATGCGCGCGCCGCCGCTTTTACACCTTTGGTCCGCTTTTGCGTACGTCCTTGAACTTCCACATTTTTTGTACGCTTCTTCAACATATATTGAATTTTTGTGCAGTTATGGCCCATCCGTCTGCATTTCAGTCTTTATACATATGTGTATATCCGAGACTCAACCTTTCAAATTTTTGGGCGTACGCAAATTTCGTTTATAAAACATTAGCAAATAAAAACATTGAAACCTGCAGTATTGTAATATGATCGGAATATATAAAAATAATGTAACATCTGAAACTTATCCTGTGGTTTTCATGCCAATAATCCCCCATATTTCTCTGGCCAATCGGAACCCACTTATGTTGAAAAAATATTCTGTATTTTAAATGTTTCTGTCACAACAGTGACCTTCTTCATCATGCATGCTACAGGACCTTTCACACTATTAGGCCAGAAAAGTCAAACATATGTATCACTTAGCACACTGATTCGTAGCAATATAGCCGGGATATGCCAAACATTGCCGATATTGCTGGCTAGACAATGCAGTAATATATTGCCTGTTCAGATGCTCCATAATATCTAATTGTAAACATATTTCATTCAGATATGTATAATATCACGTAACTGTAAAGGTATCTTAATTTGCGTTGATAGCCGTATCATCACTATGACCGCTTGGTGTCGTCGATTCTGGCGATACTGTTGATGATGGTCTACTCGTTATATTCTGGTATCTGGTAATAGGTGGCGTTTGTGCTATCATATTAGGATAAATACTTTCAATAGAGGATTCTTTGCTGTGCTTTTATGCCTTGTCCTAACCAGATACCTAGCCTAGGTTATATCATGATTGCCAGTAAACGTGAAACAACCGTACGCGGTTGTTAGTCCTTCTTTAGCTAGTTTTTCATCCATATATTTATTATTTTTATCAGGATTTAAATCAATTGTTCTTTCTTCCTAGTTTTCGGAAGCTGTTTTCGGAGACAGGTGGCCCGAGCAGTTTTCCTAAACGTAGTCTCTCCACCCTGTCTAAGATGGCTTTGTCTTCGACTAGTGAACCCACGCCTGTGTAAGATGGTACCCGGTGCGGCCTGGTGGTCGCTCGATGAGATCGTATGGCGCACTCTATCGGTTAACGACCTCGGATACGTTCACCATTGCATGTAATTTGTCTCTCTATTGGACACGATGAAGAAGGTGCTGAATGTATGAAACACAAAAACAAAATCGGAATAATATCATTTGGACCCTTTAACATAGCGACATACCATACACTATTCAAATCTCATTTAGACCGCATCAAGGTGGCACGTTCCATTTTTTTTGATTTTTTTCAACTACCTGTTTGCTGCAATCTTGTTCATCTGATAATTTCATGGTATGTATATATAATTTTTTAATTTTTTTTGTCAAAAATGCATTTTTTGTGCATTTTATTGGGCATTTTTCCTTCAATCGGAACTTGTTAACTGATATAAGTATAGCTCTGAAATTGTGTGTGAATATTCCTCTTTTATGGAAGAATGAAACAAGATATTACATTTGTTCTTATCACGTTTCCTCTTCGAAAAGACTTCGATTTTCTTGAAGCCTCGTCTTGCAGCAGGTTGAGTCTTCAAGAAAAGCAAAGATTTTTCGAAGAGAAAAAGCGATGAGAATAAAAATAATCTCTTGTTTCATTCATCCATAAAAGTGGAATATTCACATACAATTTCAGAGCTGTACCTAATATTTTGTTACGGTAGAAGTAAAAATCCACGATAAAATGAACAAAAAATGCAATTTTATGACAAAACAAAATTAAAAACGATGTTTTTTAGTCATCTCTGATGAAGTAATCAGATGAAAAGGATTTAGATTACTGATGCAAACAGGTAGTTGAAAAAAAACGAAATAGGGACGTGAGGCCTTAAAACAAACACTATTGCGTGATCTTCAATTGCTCGGGCTCCTATTGGTGAGCGAATCATAAATGCCTTCGTAGCCATATGCGAGAAGGAGCGCGACAATTTAGTGATCAAGTTCTCGTGTTTATTTTGACGCCATGTTTGAATACGATGTGTATATCTGTATTATCAAAGTAAAAACGAGTTCTGTTTCTGGCCAAACCTATCATTTTGGCAGATCGCTTAACTTGTGTGCAAAATTCAGTACTTTTCACATTATGTTTTAATATCATTGGTGGAGGCAGTAGGGGAAGAATTACATTAAAAAAAGTGAAATCTGTATTAAACACAAAAATAATCTCTGCTAAGCTAAAAGAGGGTAACTGACAAAATTATGAGAAAAATCCAATAGAAAAGCTGAACGATATGTTACACAACCGTTCATGTATGGTGCTTTTAATCATTAATAAACGTAAGATAGCCAACCTGATACTACATTCCTGCGTATAAAAAAATATGCGAGCTGAAATGTCAGATAGAGTAGCGTCATCTACGACAATTTATTACAGCAATGTTTCCCCTCTCCGCAGTAATTAGAAACCCACTTAGTGTCTCATAGATGTCGCTGTAGCCAAATATATTCTATATGCCAATATAGTTGGCTGCAGCGCCATCTATGAGACAAGTAAATTGCTAATTATTGCGGAGAGGATAAATATAAAAATAGATGACGCTACAATATCTCATTTTATCTCGTATAATTTTTTCTATGCGAGAATATGGTATTAGGTTGAAGATCAGGACGCATATCAATTTGACGTTGCATGGATGGTAAATGTGCATCGTCGAGAACGTGTTTCAATAAGTACGGTGACGCCGAAGTTCAGTGTTATGATCGCAATGTTAAGCTCTCCCTTTACAATTTGCTCCATCATCCTAAAGTCGCAACCATCACCAAAAATTCTTGCATGTTTCTGCCTCACTCCAAAATCGATCGGTTTATTACATTTGGAGCAGGTGTGGATGGTTCTATAAAAATAGGGAACCTGAGAAATGGAGTGATGTAACATCAAGCTGTTTTAGTGGCCGTGAATGATGACCTTTATAATTTTGCAGAATATAAAAACTCACTATTGGGTGCCATACAATATAATATAACCATATGCAGATTTCACTTTTTGCAAAGTGTTTGTAAGTTAGCACTATTCTAATACCAGTAGGTTATCTGAATTACCATATCATGGTAGGTGGTACTATCTTTTTAATACAGAAAAAGCCAACGATATACTTACAGTGTGATGCTTTTTAAAATTATACCAAATAGTAATTCCCAATTAACAAATATTTGTGTATTTATGTTAGTCATTATTCTTTAAATACGTAGATGTGTTGATTATAAAATATGAATTACAGTAAACAAAAATTGTTGAAAGCATGGAAATATTTTAATAGTATTAAACATATATAGAAAAGTTGATATTTAGTCTTGTGATGGGCACAATATGACAACAGTCGATTAGCTTATATTCTTTTTTTACATTTTTATATGTTTTGTAATGTTGGTACTGTGATAACTAATACCATTCTTGTTTTTTATGCATTTATCTTCGTGCCAAGATTGATTTCTATAAATTAGACAATCTGGATTATATTTCGCACCAATCTTCCAAATTCACAAAAATATCATTTGTCGGAAGAATTGCGCTATTAGACAAACTTTTAGTAATGTGCTCGCATATTTTTAACCTCGTTTCATAGTGAAGGTTGTCTCAATAAGAGCGCCGGATTTGATTTTCAAGAAAAACGCAATGTTTATTCTAATTAAGTAAGTATTTATATTTCAACATGAAGAGGAATAGTTGCGATTAAACATGAAATAGGGCATCTGGCAAATGGCCACCACGAAACTGCTGGCGCGGGGTCAGTCTTTTCTTAAAATTCTGGATAACGTTTTCGCATAACTGTGGCTGTATTTCGTGGATAACGAGTATTTTCTTTAAGGCGTTCAACTGTTCGCTTACTCTTTTTCCTTCACATAGCCCCAGACGAAGAAGTCCATTGGCTTTAGATCGCGCGATCTTGGTGATCAATGTTGTTCGCTAAACCGAGAGATGACACGGTCTGTAAACTTGGTCCACAGTAACACCATTGTCTCGCGTGCTGTGGCAGGTCGCACCGCCTTGTTGGAAGAACGTATCCTCTACATCAATTCGATCCAACTGAGGCCACAAAACCTCGGTTAACATTTCGCGATACCGCATACCATTAACAGTTTTCAGAACCCCAAATTCGGCAGTTCTGCTTAATGACGTACCCGTTCAGTTAAAAATGTACCTCATCAGAGAAAATCAATTTGGTGGTGCTCCAGCACCCAATCAACGAATTCTCGACGCTGCGCATGATCCATTGGCTTGAGTTGTTGCGTCAGTTGAACCTTGTACACAGATCTTTTGTCAAAATTTGTTGCAGAGTGAGTCTGGTAAGGTTCAATTCTTGGCCACAAATGGAAGTGCCTGGATTCTCGCCACACTTTTTGGCACTGCAACTATATTTTCGAGGGACCGACCAGGACGAGGTCTTCACATTCAGCAACGTGAATTTTGTCTCAAATTTTTTGTAATGAAACGGCGAACTGTCAACTTATTTGGCGCATAATTGCGACCGAAAATTGTACGTAATTTGCGAACTGTTTCCGCGCAATTTTCTCCATTTTTGTAGTTTTCACAATAATTAAACGTTGCCCGTTTGAATACTGCTTCATGACGTCTAATTGCGTGGTCTGGACATGGCAGCTGTCATCAAGTAAACACCATACCGTTTGTACAAAAAAATGGCGGCAAATTCAAATCCGGCGCTCTTGTTGAGACACCCTTCATGATCGAATTGACTATTGTAATTCTTTCCTTTAAAGGCTTCAGTTTGATAAAAAATCCTCACAAAGCTTGCACAAATTTAAAAGCCGACATAATTTGACACACATCTAGTTAAATGTAAAAATTTGCCATCTCCAGTGATTTTTTTCTTAGAATCATTGAATAAAGACGGTTAATAAGGCAATCTTATAAAAATATGTGAGAAATTATTAGCAGTCTATTTCATATATATTTTTTTCTGTTAAAAGTGACTTAAATATACTTTTGGGTGAGAATCGATTTACGCTATTATTTAAATTATTGATCGTTATTATGAGCATATCCAGTTTGTTTACATTTTTCGATAGCGCAAATATGATTTTTCTTTAACTAATTCTATCCGACAAGATGTGATACAACACCGATATAGATGATGTTTAGAATTGTCACCATGCATGCCTAGATGCACCATGATGTTAAGGATTTAAGAAACTGTAGGAAGAAGTGCCAAAATAAAAGGTAGATGATAAAGATACATATTCTATTTTTGCTTATAATAACACCTTGTTCATGTAATACTTATAATTCAAAAGGCAATATCGAAACTAGTTGGAGCTTATTGAGAGTTAGCCACTTATCATTAATATTATAAAAGTGATAGTAAAAACAATGAGAGTATAAACTTCAATACATATTCACAAGTCAGGTAACAGGTTGTGAACTAGCTACAATGCAACAATAAGTAATTTTTTTGAATTCCTCAAATACCAAAGCACATTTAACTCATATTCCAACTATCCTTTCAAAATTATGAGATTTTTGATAGTTCAGTTTTCATTTAGTTATTGATGAAATCTGACTTATCGTGGATAGTTAGACAGTTTTTAAGTTAAATAATAGCGAAATATTAAGTACTGTTTAAACTCTAATGAAATTTCGATAATTGACGTTAAAAAAATACTGAGAATTCGATCTGACATCTTGACAGGAAGCTTCGGAGATCACCACGTTAGTTCGTCAGGGATTCCACCAGGATACTCGCCTGTTAGACAAGCTGTACAATGGCCTGTCTTAGAATCAGGGTTTATTTCTTTCTGTACAGCTGTTTTGAGGCCTTCTACACTTAGATATTCTATGCTATCAGCATCTGAAAAAATACGCATAAAGAACTTGAATCGTGATCCATTATTGCACCTTGCTTCAAATTATTAAAAAAAATCGCGACAAATAGGATGACACAGCACTTTCTTCGCAATGCAGTCATTAGTTCATAAAGGGTTAAGTTGAACCCCGTGAAAAAAAAAAAAATAGTTACCAACATGTACAATTAAAAAAAAATAAACCGATCAAGGCAAACAGACCCATACAATTTGTCCTACCGGTGGTTCCCGTCCATCTGGCAACGTTGCCCGTTCCCATGTCGTCAGACGCCGCAGTACGAGCAAGTCAATACTCCGAGCACTGAGCCCAGAGAGCAGAAGGAGACGCATATCGAAAACATTTCTCTATCATCAAAGTTTTAACGACCAATACATGGGGAAATCTTCGGTGTGTGAAATGTGACTAATAGGTGCGTGGAATTACCGGAGCTGGGAGCGTATAATAATAAGAAAATTGAGATGTACCCCCTACCACACACACTCCCTAAGTTTTCGCCACTAAAAGTTTCTCCAAAATCATCAGAAAAATACAAAGTTCTTCGTCCCTGGCATAGTGGTAACCTTGCGTAAAAATTTCATCCAAATCCGAGTAGTAATTTTCAAGTTATAGACGGGCCAAAAATTAACCAGAGACAGACTGGCCGATGGTTTTTCGTGATGTACATGTCATATTCCTTCATATGTATTGGTCGTAAAAAATTACGTTATATTTTTTTTATTCACCTACCAACATTTTGAGCAAACTCCTTAGTATCTTTCAACTTATTTGCGATGAGTTCCTCTCGAGTCGGAATATTTATCCCCATGAAACAGGGGTATTTCAGAGGAGGACTTGCTACGCGTATATGTACTTCTTTTGCTCCAGCTCTTCGCAATAGACGAATGATTGGTCCTACAGTGTTTCCACGTACTATCGAGTCGTCTATCAGTATGATGCGTTTGCCTTTGACATTGTGCAAAATGGGACCTGAAATATCAGTTTTTTAGTACTCAATTACTTGAATTTAAATACAGTTAATTGCAGGCGAAGTTTAGCTACATAACATCTCAACCACTTAATCCTATTCTTTGTACACTGGTGAACTAACAATTCACGTGTTCAATATATTATACAAGAGAGAAGCGTGCAACATGCGTTAGAAAGAGTGCGCCGATGGCGCTTTTATCTCTTTTAACACACGTATTACTCTGTTCTCGCGCACGTTACTACGTCATCAGTGAAATTTGGTGTTCAGTGTATAGGCATATGTATGTTATCTAAAATTAGTGTATTCATCATCATATTTTATTTCTAAATTTGATATTTACCGAACTTCAGTGCAACGTTGATTTGCCTTAGTCTGTTGCTAGGTTGGATGAAAGTTCTTCCAACATAGGTATTTTTGGATAAGAGTTCCCCTAGAGGGATTCCAGACTGAAACAGAAGAACAAAATAAAAACTTCAAAGTGTGAAGGGTCATGTCATTCAGTTATAAACCTGCAGACTAAAGACTTTTTCATTTGACAGTTTAGTCGGGTTCGGTACGACCCGAAAAAGTTCGATATATTATAGCCTTAAAACCATTGATATAGAATCTCTAGGAGATATGTATGATTTACATATACAGGGTGTCCGCAAAGTTGGGGTTTTCCTTTACACGACGTGGAGATCTTGAAAACATAAGCAATTTTTCTTAGTACCATATACACCAATGTCTTAAGGGAACCGAGATAAAGGGCGCAACATCAAAAATATCTGAATACCGTCCTGTAGCCGCGACCCGCGACATCGCCGAGTGGTACTAGGACACTAGCTCAACCCGACGACAGAACTGGGTCGGGGTCAGTGTGTCAGGTCAGTATGCAACCTTCAACCGACGGTGACGGTCACGCGTGTAGAGGTAAACGAACCCGTATAATCGATTGCGTTTCAAAAAACAACAAGCACTAGAGACGTGGCTAGAGAAGTGCAAGTATCAAAAACTAAAGTGTGGCAAACGCTGCGTGAAGAGGGGCTGTATCCGCTTCACGTCCAACGTGTACAAGCCCGTCAACCTGACGATTTTCCAGCAAGAGTGCGGTTTTGTGAGTGGTTGTTGCATCAACATGACAATAATCCGGACTTTTTGAAGTGCATTTTGGTGACAGACGAATCTACGTTCACGCGTAATGGGGTGAATAACTTTCGCAACACTCATGTTTGGTCAGTAGAAAATCCGCACGCTGTCCGTCGGGCACATTTTCAACAAACATTTTCGGTGAATGTTTGGGCTGGCATGGTGAACGGTATGCAATACCTAGACTTTTTACGCAACATTTTGCCTTCCTTGTTACAAGATGTGCCATTAAGTGTAAGACAATCAATGTAGTTTCTGCGTCTGCTCAGTAGCGCATCAGCTGTCATTTTCTGTTGGAGCGGTATGATTTCGGGCAGAGACGTACTTAGCCCTTCTCGTCAACTGGCGAGTGAGTACTTTTTCCTTTATTTTTTTTTACTTGGTCGCCCTCGTTTCACTACACATTACCTTTGTTATTTCAAGGGTATTTGTTTCTGAAAAGGAAAACCCCAACTTTGCGGACACCCTGTATATAAGAGTAGAGAAAACAATTTACATGAGAGAGAAGTGACGCCAGGGTAGTGACAAACATATGCTGAGCTCGAAAAAAAAACTTGAGATACATTTATTATTATATTGTTGTATGTGTTTTATGGCCTTTGTATTTAAGAATCGCTGTTTTTTTAATTCGTTACCATTGCGGTTCACAAAGATATACATATCAGGGTAAATATTGGAACCATTGACAAAAGGGTATTGGCCGACACTACGTGAGCAACTGACTCGTTCCTGACTTCAGTAGGTTAAATCGAGCTAGTTTGATCCTGGTCAAATCGCGAAATGGTCACATTTACACGAAAATATGCAATTTGAATTATGGCAGGTGAGGAACCACCAAAACTGTGTTCTTTGTGTTTATACAAATCTTTAGTGTCTCTTGTCGTGACAATAAGTTATATATAAGTATGTACGTATGCACCAATAAAAAGAGTATTCCTATATTGTTATACTAGTTTTATAGTTTGTTTATATTTGTACTGAAAGTCAGGAACGGAACACGCCAGGGTAGTAGGTATTTATTTTGTCAATTTTTCAAAAATTTCAAGCACACTGCGCCTAAATCTTAATGTGGTTACACAAGTTGCAGGTCCAAACCAAGATTTTCTTAATTGCTGAATAGCTACTGAGGAATACAGAACGTGAAACTCAAGATTTGGGTCTATGTGCAAAATGCAGTGATTCTATGAAAGTGGTACACATTTGTATAGTGTACCTGTTTGGAATACCCAAATGCGGCAGCATTTCCAGATTCTGGCACAGATCCTACCATATCTGCCTGCACAGGGTGTTCAGTAGCAAGTTGCATGCCACATCGTACTCTGACACTATACACTTCTTGTCCTTCAAAAATACTGTTGGGGCGGGCAAAGTAGACGTACTCAAAAATGCAGAATGCCAAAGACTTGCCTGAAACAGAAACATACTCGTACAATGATATTATTTTAAGAAATACCGATTACAGAAGACGGCCAATTGGTTATTTAAAAATTTAGAGAACGAAGGGTTATCTGTCTGTCACTATACATTATACATAATTGCCTGTAAGCAGCTGTAAGAAGCAGTGTAAATAACCATTGATTAACATTCACATACAATCTCCATCATTACAGCCATGTTAAGAAGGATCACAGTGATCCCCTTAGAAGTAATAAAATCAAACTCTCATTTTCCTATTAATAAAAAGTGTCAAGTAGATTAACTGTGCATTTCCTACACAGTGCTATAATCAGTTCAGGCAGGATTACGTGCGGCACAAGTTAGACCCTCTGAGAAAAAAGTTACGTATCAACATATAAAAAAATTAGTCCATAGTCATCTTTTCCCTGCCTTACCGATAGCAATGATAGCATTGTCCATCTGGCAACGTCGCCCCTCCCCCTATACATATAAAACATCTAATAGGCGTGTAGAATTACCGGAGTTTAAATCGCTACAAGCAAAAATTGAGGTACATCCGTCACCAGTTTTCAACCCCTCCAACATTTTTTCTGACAATGATCAGGAGCCTCTGAAACGTCAAATACGAAGTTTGGGCGATTTGTATTTTTTTCCCTCTTTTGTCTTTAGATCCACCCCCAATAGACCGATTTTCAAAAACTACAAAGCTTTTTCGTCCTTGGCATACTAGAAACCTTGTATGGGAATTTCATCAAAATCCGAGAGCTATACTGTCCAAGTTATAGACGGGCTAAGAATTAGCTGACAGATCGTCGGTAATCAGTGACATGGTTTTTCGCGATGTACATGTCATATAACATCTAAAAAACAATATATCATTTTTGATATTTTTCGGGATCACAATACTTCCTCGCCAGTGGCGTAGGAAGTAAAATAGTTTATTCTTAAACATGAAATCAATCGCCTTCGTAATTATTTCCATTATACTTAGAATTCCTCGACGGTGAAAATGGAAATCTCATAACACGCGGCAACGCTGATATTTAAAGACTGTGGTTGACAGGTTCTAAGCATACGTGGTTGGCGGCACTGTGAGACGTAATTGGATTATCTTTTGGTGTATGAAAGCTAAGCATCAAAATCAGCTACGAGACTGCACGTGTAAAACAAACTGATGAGAAGAAATGGAGTTACGAATTGGTTACCTATTGGCGGCGGCACAACATCTATACTTTTCACGCCATATTTGGTCATTTCAACAATTTCTCCTGGTAGTACTTCCCTGAAGTACTTCATTATCTGCAATTGAGTAAAGTTGTGATATTGGATTGATATCAAATGACTCGATTATGCTTACTGGCAAAAATGAACAGGATTCTGATGATACTACCCAACCTTCTTCATTCCTATCCATATCCCCACTTCCATCATTTATTTCTGAAACCAAAAAATAAGCCAAATTCAGATAAAGCTTTGTTGATCCTCAAAATATAAGAATTCAAATTATTTAAAAAAAAGGTTAATGAGGATTTTGCGAAGATACACTCGTTTTTCATTTCAGTTAATGTAAATGTGAATATATGTTTCTTACCATCTGTATTAGTAGCCATAATCTTCCCAAGACACAATGGTCTATTACCATAGGGATCTCTCACAGCATATATTCTGTCTTTCAACATGATGCATAATGAGAAACTGAGTGGAGCCAATTGCATGAGATGTCTGATACGAGCTGGCCAATCAGGACCATTCACTTCGCCATCTGGAGGGATTAAGCACAAAGCTTGTGTGATCAGCTCACTGTCAGATTGAGTGGAAAGTCCCACACCTCTTCCCAATACCTAAAAAGTGAGAGAGCAACCTGAACAAAAATATATGTTTAATCCATGATGTATTGTAAATTATAGTATGTTACTACACTTCAGCAAGGAATCACAATTTGAAAATTTAAAAATTGCCATCAAGTAGTTTGACTCTGGCATGAGCAGGTGAAATGCCAAAGGCCCGATTGGATTTGATTTCACAATATCTAGCAGAACAATATTGATTTAAAAGTTTTCTGTTGATTTAAATTTATTAAAACAACACTGACACCCAATTTTTATTCACATTTTAAACCAATCAAACACCAAGATTTGAGAATACCTCATTCTTAGATATGGAGTATTGAACTCAGTCTACAAAATTGTGCCTATCGTAGTCCCATATAATGACAGAATATAATGATTTGTTATATCACCTGCTTCCTGAGTGCCCCTTTATTGACAAGTTCTCCATTATGTGCTACTGCAAGGGCCCCATGCATCGAGTACACAACAAAAGGTTGGCAATTCACTTGCTCAGATTTAGCACTGGTTGAGTATCTGTTGTGGCCTATACCAATATTTCCTTTCAACTTCATGATACTCTCCTTGGAGAATACATCTTTGACTAAACCCATGCCTTTGTGAATATGAAAATCATGTGTGCCTTCACTGACAACCATTCCAGTGGACTCTTGACCACTGAAAAAGTGTTTTGAATAGTAGATTAAATCCAAATTTGAGAAAATCTGATTTTTGTGTCTTAAAAATCAGCCGAAGAATAGCTAAATAGCATTTAGAAAGGATGACCGTAATAATTGTGTGGAAGGTCAAATATAAAATAATATTTCCAAATTCTATTGCAGCTTAACGACCTATTAAAATTATTTATAGTAAAAAAATAAACTTTGCTGACATTTCAGCTACTTTTTAGTGCTTCTTTCAGAATAATTAAACATAGATCAGTTCTGAAAGCTACATTTAAGTATCAATGCCTTGATCTGGGTTTTTTAAGTTTCTATTTCAATTTTTTAACTTTGTGAACGACAATATATCCAGAAAACCCAACATCTGTGTTTAAGGATGGATACTATAACAAATCTGTGAATATAGTACAACCAACTGTTGAATGTTGGTTGAGCATTCTGCTTATTTTCCAAAATAAAGCGAAATATTTACCGGTGTTGCAAAGCCTGCAAGCCGATGCAAATAATTTGAGCTATCTCCGAGTTTATGGGCCAGTTTTCATTTCCAATAGCTCCAAAAATTCCGCATTCGTGTGTCAAACCGCTTTCGGTATCAAATTTTTGGGAATCCATGGTCACACTGACTGTTTTTTTCAAGAGTTAAAACAATACTTGAAGATGTTATATGAAATTAGTTACGATATACGCTTATAACAACGATTTTAAGTTGAATTTTTCAAACTGCTGACAAGTAAACACAAACAGCACGTGCTAAAATTGGTTAAGGTAACCGGGCGCGACCTCGCGCTCGTTGATGGAATGCTTACAAAAAACTGAATGTGGATATTGAAAAACTCCCTCACAAACTAACATTTTCGCTTTATCAAGCATTATACTGCTTGTATAGTTTGGAATATCGATAAGATATATCATTTATTATTTTTTAATTGTTGCTCGACAGCAAAATCTACATTAATCAGGTATCAATAAAACAGAGGTTTAAACGTTTCTGCAGGTGCTGCAAATCTGTTTGCATTCAATACGTATATATTCAGCTTGGTTTTACAGCATTCATTCATAAATTTAAAAACAGGAAGCGATAAAACTGTCGCCCGGTACTACATGATGTGTGGATACATGCGCAGTACTACCTGAGCCTGGAATATGCCATCACCGCTCTACATTTTATGACAGTCAGTGACATTAGTAACGTTACAGATGTTTGATCTTAACCTCACTCTTTTGTTTTGGCTTATTGAGGTCAAAAACATGTGCAGGATGCAGGTGTTCAATTAATTTTAAAATTACCCCTCAAAGGACAAAGGACTCATTCAAATTGGCGGTTAAAACCTATATCAAGCCAACATGTCGATGCTAGCAGAGAAACGACGTAAAACAAAATATTCGCTAAACCCTAGAGGCAATCAATGGGCACAAGGTATATGGACATATAAACATAATCTCTCTGGTATCTGAAACTTTGAATGTTTCTTGTAGATTCCAATAAATTTGGCCAGAAGATTTTGGAAAGAATGGGCTGGAAACATGGGAAAGGCCTAGGAGCAAAGGAGAATGGTATAACAGAACATGTTAAGGTATCATACAAGAATGACAGCAAAGGAATGGGTTATAAAGGCAATGATGAACAATGGACTGAACATGAAGACAAATTTGCTGCATTGTTAAGTTCTCTGACGGGTGAAACAGAATCCAAGCCTGTAGCAGTAAGTTCTTTGGAGAAGAAGTCGCAGAGTTCCAAAGCTAGGGTACACTACATGAAGTACACCAGAGGTAAGGATTTGAGTAGATATTCCGAGAAAGATCTAGCATGTATTTTTGGGAAAAGATCCTTGAAGGAAGATGGAGAGATAGCAGCCAAGGTAGAAGAACCAGCTAACAATGAATATTTGATAAACAGTGGCTCAATGGCAGATTATTTCAAGAAGAAACTACCGAATTTTAATAGTGCTGCTGCAAAATCAGGATCAGAGTCTGAAAGTGAGCTGTCACATTCATTTGGTTTTGGTTTTAACAGCGAATCTGTTCCAAAACAAGAGAAGACTACATTTGTTTCATATCTGTCTGAAAATAAACGAAAAGCTGAAGATGAGATCTGTGCTCCCAAGAAAAAATCTAAAAAAGAGATAAAGCAAGAGCAAGATCTAGGAGTTGCAAATCCTGCATTCAATCCACTATCCACTCTGATAAAGGTAGAAAGACATGTTTTGGAAACAATTGAAGAGAGTATAGATGAAGATGCTTTGGAAGTTAGTACTAAAATATGTTATGAAGTTGATTTAGAAAATAGTCTTGAGCAAGGTTCTAAAAAGAAGAAAAAACATAAAAAGAAAGATAAACATTCTGGAGACATTTCATGTTCTGGAAGAGATGATAATACCTCCAAGAATTGTGGTAAAGATAACACAAATTTTAGTTGTGCTTTAGATGATTCAGTAACCCAATCAAGTGAAAATCCATATGAAGTAAAAAGAAAGAAGTCAAAAGATACATCAATTAAAGAAGAAAACCCATTTGAAGTTAAAGTGAAGAAAAGGAAATTACCCAAGTTTGCTGTAGAGAACTCACAGTTTAAAGACATTGAAGAATCAAGTGTGAATGATAATACTGAGAATATACCAGATAATCCTCATGAGTTTAAAATAAAAAAGAAGAAATCAAAATTTGTAGTAGAAAATCTAGCATTTGATCCCAGTATGAATATGAATGATATTTCAGCAGGAGTCCAAGAAAACCCATATGAAGTGAAAGTTACTAGTAAAAAGAAGAAATCGTTAAATGGGATAGAGAATTCCACCTTTGATGCAAGTATAGATTCAAATGCAACTGAGAAAATTGAGGAAAAACCTTATGAAGTTAAAGTGAAAAATAAAAGACCAAAATTTGCCATTGAAAACCCTAGTTTTGACATGAACAAAGATCCCACATTAGAAAATTCAGTATCAGTTGAAGAAAATCCATATGAAGTTAAAACCAAGAAGAAAAAAACAAAATTTGCCCTCGAAAATCCTTGCTTTGATATGAACCCTGATTCCGCCTTAGAAAGTTCAGTAACAGTTGAAGAACATCCATATGAAGTCAAAGTCAAAAACAAGAAGCATAGGAACACAGTGACAAGTAGTGGGGTTCAATTGGAAAATTCAGGATCAACCCATGAAGCAGAAACTTTAAATAGTGACAGAACTAATGTATCTGAAAATTCTAGAGAAGTCAAAACAAAGAAAAAGAAAAAACAGAAAGAAATTGAAGGAAAATCAAATCCCGAATTAAAACGTGATGAAAGCATAAACTCTGTTAATAGTGAAATAGTTGAAGATGAGCAACTGATGTTGAATGTAGCAGTTATTCCTGTTGAAGTCAAGGCTGATACTAAAGACACTGCCAAAACATCACAAAGTGTAAAGAGAAGCAAGAGTGTCAGATTCAGCAATGTAATTATACAAAATAATGAGCATATCAAAACTGGTATTGATAACGAATGTTTTGACAAACAAAAAAGCATGTTGGATGAAAACATGCAGTTTATCTCTCAAACCATAGACCGGTTTGAGGCTGAAATAGAAAATGATTTAAATGAAGAGAAGCAATTGATGGTTGGGGAAATTAGAAACCCTGCAGGACAGCCTGAAAAGCTACCAGATGGAACAACAAGATTAAAGTTCAAAGATGCTAATTTGGGGACAAAGACAGCAACATATCATCTGAATAAAACTGGAGCCAAGAAATCATATAAACATTTGATTAAAGGTGACATTGTTTTGAAGTTTAAGGAAACCAATCTCCATGAGATTTCAGGTTATGCTGCTAAGAAAGAAACACTTGTATAAGTACTAGTTTTATTTATTTGAGAATAAAGTTGTTTTAATATTGGAACACTTCATATGGTTTTTTATTTTTGAGCCAACATCTGGTTTATCATGTGGGTTTTCTGATTCAAAATCCTACTGGAATGTCCATCTTCTTATCCATATTGCTCAACTACTGATGAAAATCAATTGGTCTAAGTAAATATAAAAATAAATATTTTTGAATATTAAAGCCATGCATTTCTGAGAAAGTATGCAATTAAATATTGGAATCAAATTCGTTGTCTCTCTCTTTCGCAACGCTTTTCTTGGGTCCCTAAACACGTATTAATTCACGGTGGTGTAGACCTAGCACCTACTTTTCGTTGTGCAGGGTCCAAGCACGAAGCTTTCCTGTACGCCTTTGCCTTCCAAGTATCGAAGGGAAGGATAAATTGCTTTCCGTCTCGTTCACGATCTTGGAATGACCAACCACCGGTTCTCGTATCGCCCACGTGATCTCATCGCGCATCCTTAGGCATGCTGAGATGGATTCCCGCTTTATACGGCATCCAGTGGCGGCAGTCCCAGGATAATTTGAGGGGCTGCTGGAGGGGTTGTCTACATCGCGCCAGTTATCCCCAACCCCGGAAGTCTTTGAGTCTTGGTGAGCTTGCAGGTAACTGAAGCCTTTTCGATATATGCTCATCATACTATGCATCCATACTATATATCCTAGGTCTTACCACTCGTGTAGAGCCAATGCAGGACTATTGGTCTTAATCCCTAAGTCCTGTCGACTACCTGACGTAACTGCTACATGGATGCTATCGACTTCTTGTAGATATAGTCGACATACTGCTTCCGTGACAACGTACAATCCAGCACCACGCCCAGGTATTTTACTTCTTGACTGAGAGTCCGTGGTACTCCTTGGGGGTCGGTGAATTGAAATATTCAATGTTCCGTCTCTTGGTGAAGAGGACTAGCAGTTCAGTCTTAGATGGATTGACTGACACACCATTTTCCTAAAATATTCTAAGAACTCTCTCAGACGACGTCTAAGAACTTGCCTGAAACAATGTCAACATCGTCATCTGCATACGCCTGCGCGTAGAAGCCGAATACGGTCAGTGCCTCAAGGAGGTCGACCGTCATGGATGAGGGGATAGGCTGCTGCATTGACCTTGCGGCTTCTAAGAGCCGACCCCACCCAACAGACGATGGAGGACGGAGCTCCTTTCGCCTGAAGTGTGCTGTAAATAATTGCCCCGCACTGGCGAGGAGCTGGCGCATAGGCCACCTATCGGGCCCTTATGCACCACTACATTCCCTAAGCCTCAAGCTCCGCCCTTCCAACGAAGTTGACTGGAGCCTTGAGTAGCAGCTCTTTAAGGCCCGTATCGTCAGTCGTCCCTACAATTGTAGGGCGCCTTTATGGCCTCCTTGATTGTCATAGTTTTCTACTTCTCCGTGTCAGAACTCTATTTTGAGGTTATGTCACAAACATCTATTTGCATCAAATTGTGCTTGCTTTTGAGTTATATCATGTTTTATCAGCCTGAAATTTCCTACAATTTAAAAAGAAAACATATCTTCACAATAGGAGAGCGCTGACGATGACACGGGACAAGTGTAATCTAGAAATTTTTGAAGGAGAGAAAGGAATATGACAATCAAGGAGGCCATAAACGCGCCCTACAATTGTAGGGACGACTGACGATACGGGCCTAAGATTCTGGGGATCTAAAATGTTGCCCAGTATAGTCTGTAGTAACTCAGAGTTTCGCAGCTACATAGAACATGTTCCGAGGACTCCTCAGCCACCTCCATTACATGCAGGTATCGCCTCATCGGGTTCTGGCTCTATCCAAAGATAGTAATCTTATTTAGAAGCTGGTCTTTTACCAACGAATACAGCTACAACGCTCTGTAAATGCAAGATCCGACGGTTTGTCACTTTTGACAAAATTTCGAAGTAGTTACTAGGTTAAGCATGTAACGTAAAAAATGGACGTATATTCCCCCACGATAACAAACGGAGGAGTAAGTAGTTTTTTATACGATCTTAAATGTTGATTATGTAAGCACCTTATTTCTAGCCTCCCCTTAAATTGTGCCCATTTGTAACAGAACATGGCGAACTAGATCACTATGTGTGCCTCAAAAACGAAAAATGCTGCTCGCACGGTTGTTGCTACGATTCATCTTCGAAGTACTATTACCAGTCGTGGTACTTTTGGTAAGAAAGATTCATTTTTAATATCGCATATTATCAGAAAAGGAGATAATATCTTGTTACGACGGTGTTCTTTTCTTGGTGTCAAATATGCTGCTTTAACTACTGAAGACAGGACATTTGGTCGTCTGACTTTACGCTGCTTCAATACTTTTGAAACTCATCATGTGTTTGTACCTCACCACGTCTTGCTTCAGTCATTAGCCTACTGAGCTCAGGAGCATGGTCCACCAACCTTAACTGAAGCTTGAAGTCATGTAATTTTGGACCAAAGCGACTAACAAAGTCTGTTCCACAAGGTGTTCTTCAGGGTTCAGGCCCAGGGCTAATTCTATCCTCACTTTTTATTTATGACATTTCTTTCTATATGTAGATCCCATCTGGACAATATAACTCCGACAAGAATATTCATAATTTTTTTTTTGGCAATCCAGGTTACTAGTGTTGGCGATCTTCGGTACATTTTATTTTCTGACATGGTACTGCAAGAGATTAGAACGGAAGAGAAAAAGAAGAGCAGCTTTGACGCAACAGTCACGTCTTGTGCGAGCTAACCATCGTACCAACGATTTTATGGATATAACGGATGACCTTATGTTAGGTACTTTGGTTTTAAACATACATATTATCTATATAATTATCGATTTTTTACTTTGGGACCGCTTATAAAGAGATCTGATATATGGGAGTAAACCTCTTCATCAGCCTTTCCCATGAAATTGAAGCACATTTCGTTTTTTTCGATGTGTCGACTGGATCTAAGGCTTGAGTGATATTCTTCTTTACTTAACAATTTTTCCTCAATAATACAAATACGATACTATGATTAGGACGTATCTTAGAAGAAAACATAGCTGCAAACAGGCCTTACGAACCACCCCAAGCAGACATAACTTGCCACGTCGCACCACCACCGAAGTACGCAGAAGCGCTGAATATGCCCAAAGTGAACCCAACGTGCCCTACTACACGATCAAATGATCAAGTGAATCGCACTGACAGTGAACCACTTCCTACTTACGATTCTGTGATCAAACTCGTCAATAATAAAGATGATTCTCCTGTTTGAGTTAGTTTTTTCATTATTACTCTAAGATTCAGTATAAAGGGAAGAGATATAAAGCTCTGATCTCATTGGTTCTGCATTATCTGCAACTTTATTATAGTGTCCAGTGTAAATAGTAGCTTAGGTATCTACCACGCCTTAGTGGAGTGTTTGAGCAGTTTATTGGATAAGCAAGGTTTGGTGTTACTCACTCAAACTGGAGCCCTTTCAGATGGCTAAATCTAAATTCTTTTGAAATTCCTTTCAAGTTCGAAAATGATAATGGGAAGACTAATAAAATGGAATAAAACACCATTGAGAGTAGAAATAAATCTTCATTTGGACTCTTCCACATTCTTGGGTCAATAAATACACTCTAGATATGCCAGTGCTTGCCCAAGCCTCATTTACAATCATTGACCTACTTTCAGATCACCTCTCGTAACAACGACCAGATAAGTTTCACTTACCCCGACTATCGAAGCATGCAAAAAGGGGTACAGCCTCATTACCTCTTGCAACATATGGGTTATTTTTGTATGGTTTCACATAATTACTACATAACACCCATATGCGTGTGTTCACGCATTTTAAGCTGTTTGTAGAAAATAGAAGGATGCAAATATAGCATCCTTGTTAGGTTTATATGCTTTCTGAAGAAGTGATCGGGATTGAAATAAGGGAGTGAAATAATAAGTTATAGGAAGTGATGGCGGTTTTAGTACCACTGAGTTGTTCTCTGGAAAAAAAGGGCGGAAGTCTTGCCGTCGTCAATCGATCTGATCTCTAAAGATAAACTTAACTTGACGGTGAAACATTAAACGATATGAAGAACATAGGAATACATTATTTTATCGAAAACGAATGTATTCACAAACTTGTTTGATAAACTTCAACAGATATCACAATATGGGATCATTCCTTAGGGAATATTCTATTCTGCAGCGTCCAAGAATTCACCACCATGAAGTGGGAAAAGGCTTATGATTTTTTTATGTTTGCTATCTCAAATGTTTTTGCTGAATATGTGCCAAATTATCAAAAACTCGAAAACAATAAAAAATCTATGATTGTGGATGTTAATAATTTTTTGTTTTTTGCTCACAACTCTGCCGCCACTTGAATGATTTTCAAAAATTTCAAACCTTTTTCGTCACTGATACTGTAGCAACCTTAGGTGGAAGTTTCATCAAAATTCGATCGATACTATCAGAGTTATAGAGAGGTCAAGGACTCATGGACAGATAACATTTGCTTTTTAAAATATTTAGCAAGAAAGCTGACAAATCCAGAGTCCTATTTCACTACTTAGTATGGCAAATAGGTATGGACCACGTACAGACATTTCTTTGTTGCTAGGTTTTATAAGTTATGAATACGAGACGGTTTGCGAGAAGCTTTATCAACGACTGTCTCGCAAGTCCGATCTTATATCACAAAATGTGTACGCGTGGAAACTTAAACGCACCAAATTTTCACTTTTTTGAAAAACTTTCTAAAACCCGTTCCGAGTTTTTTCAACAAACAACAGTGCCATTCTCTAAAAATTACGTTTATCTTTGAGATAATTTCTATATTCTTGACAGTTCGGCACTCGCTGTGATATGCTACCAAGGAAAATTGTCTTGCTTGGCTGAACGTTGTCAGGTCTGGCAAAAATTCAGAAAAGTAAGTAACGAGAATGAATGAAATATTTCAACTATTCCAAGATCAATTCCTTAAATAATAAGATGTGGTCATGGAAACAGAATTTCACTTATACCTTTACCGTGGCAGACCATTCAACTTAAGATTGTGATGTATCATTCTACTTGTTTACCTCAAAATTGGAGAGGGTCTGTACCATCCAATGTATTGTAATTTTTAACATATGAATATGTATCATGGTAAAGATGATACCAACATCCATTTAATATAATAGAAACCTGTCATTATTGTTGTTTTCCTGTATTTCAGCATTGAGAATGGATTAATGTTTTTAGCTTCACTTTTTTGTGTTAGCATTATTCAGAGATGTTTTTTATAGGGTTCCGCCATTTACCCAAAGTCCCGTTATGCTATGTTATTAGATAACCATGACATAGGTTGATTTTATATAAAATTTACCCATATCTAAAAAAATAATGACAACACGCACCCCTGGTATAACCACTCTTCCGTAGAGGAAAGCACGTGCCAGATGCCACCTGACACGACCGGCCGGGGTGCAATGTTTGTATCGAAGCAGAATTATTCATATACCATACAACCTTCGTCGGTGATCACATGTCATGTCGCACCCGGCATCACTACGAAAATAACCATCCAACCTTCACTATAGAACATCAATACCTTCACTAGAACCCTCAGGGTAGATATGGACCCTAAATTGGTCCATTACTGTAATTATAGACACTACTACAAGGACAGAGACCTTGGGAGGATACTGACGATATCAAGGGCAGTTCAGGAGAACGATTTCAATAAAAATATAGTGATAAAAAGGACTATTTTTGGGAGTAAGTGTGTGTTGAAGATCAATGAAGATGTTAATTTGGAGAAGCGTAAGAGGAAAGCTAGGATACGGTTGCTGGTGTATGTTTCAGTGGGGTGCAGTTTGATATTTGGTTTGTGTTTAGGACTATTTTTTATCTTAGGTATGTATACGTTAATCGAAGGATTCCGCGTAAAACGAATGCAAATTCCATAGATTTATGGGATTGACTAACATATTTTGGAAAATACAATAATCGCTGATGGTAAGAATTTTAGACACCACTACCAAAAGTCAGTTGTTTCATTTTGAATTTAAATATAAAAATTGTTGAATGCGTCAAACTGTTGATAACATAGGCGTATTATCTTATTTAATTTACAAAATCGCACATTGCTTTTGTGAACACTTTGCAGCCATAGCTGAAAAGATAAATGCAACAGAATGTGTAAATATTAAAGAACCAGGCTACACTAAAGGAAAAAACAGTACTTAACTCGATGGCATTTTATGAGATATCCCCAGAAGGGATGCAATCTCTAAATGAAATGAAAAGTAAGGATGCGTGTGGACCTGATGGATTACAAATGAAAGTACTAATCACAATATTTAATATATCCACTCACATATTTATTCAACAAATAGCCCCACGGTACCCAATGGGTGTTTAGGCCTTAGGCCTTCGTGGTAGTTGGAGTATAAAAAAAAAACTTATCAATGGCAACTGGTACCTTTCCGGATTTGTTGAAAATAGCTGTGGTGTTGCGTGTTCACAAAAAAGGAAGGACTGAAAATTATCGCCCCGTAGCATTACCGTCTGCCTTCTCACAACAATTTGAGTTTATAATAGAATGTATGCTTTTTCGAATGAGCACAATATTCTGTTAAACAACACGGTTTTCGAACTAACCACTCACCACATGACACAAGAATAACATTATCAGCAAAGTCGCTCGAGGATATATACGTAGACAGTTATCATAATGCAAAATTTTCAAAAGTGGGTAATATTAAACAGGTTACCAATTAATACAGATAAAACCAAGTATAGTACATCTTGTATCGCAGACGAATGTTGCAGAACAACATCACTTTTGCAATAAACAATAAGTCACTGGAAATAGTACCAGACATATTTTTGGTCTAATAGTGGACGAAAATTTGAGCTGCAAAGAAAGACCACATAGAGTATGTAGCCAAAAAATGAATTCAACATTTAGGCTCTAAATAAAAATAATTAAAATTAATTAATTAAAATACATAATGAATAAAACACTGACGTCTACTACTCTATTGTATAAGCCTACCTCAAATATTTGGTGCTACTGGGGATCGTCTGTTGACGCCCAACAAATCTTTACCCTTCAAAAGTGAATAGTCAGACTCTTATTCTCATTGCATCCTCTGAAATCTTGTCGAAAAACATTCTATTCATATCATTACTCATTCTAGACATGTGAAATCATACCCTACTAAATTCATTTACCTTAAAGAGTCCCAGAGATACAATCTAAGGAATAACTACGTTACATTGAACAATCTTAGCCTCAGCACGTACCTTAATAGCCTTTTCTACGTATGTGGATCTCTCTTCAATAATTTGTCCTCCGAGTTAAAAACGAGCGACGATTCAAAAGTCTTCAAAAACTTTTACCATACTTGTACCCAAAGTGCTTTTACTCTCTACAAGAGTTTCATAATTCTTAATAATTATATATTTATCTATTTTATTATACATTTATGTTGCATACTTTTTCTATTTTAACTATTTATGCTTCTAAACAAACATTATTTTTCTTTTACTTATGTAAATATGAACTTTTCCTGTAGAGGTTTCATATTTGATTAATGGATTCCATCTGAAGATACAAAATTTGTCACAGCTATGGTTCTTTTTTCCGCAATAATAGAAAATCTAGTTTGTAGCCATTTATATATGAGCAAATATAGCTACAGCGCCACCTGTGAGAC